AGGTCAAGTTCACAGTGCTGTCAGGCATGGCATCAGGTCCACGTCCTATTCCAGCCGTATGTCCACCCTGGCCCGTCAATCTGCTTGACAGTCTGCCCTACCACCCCGCTGACCGAGCCTCCCAGGGGAGAATTTGTCTGAGAAAGTTCAATATAGATTAAACCCATTCATCAAACTTTTAAAGATTAGGAAGTGGAAATGTTACAGTTAATGCTCAACAAGGATGCCGTGTTTAGCACTTGTCTGAGGGGCTAGAGAATGTAAACGGAAACCCAAGAAAATGACACCACTTGAGGCACAGGCGGCGTCCTTTACGAAGTTAGCTGGTCAAGATTATACCAGACGTGAAGCAGGTTTACGCCGAGAGAGGGGCTGCTCGTCGCTCTGCTTCAGACGAGCCTTCGGGCAGCTGTTGAGTCTTAGCTGTAGCATGTGCACTGCTAGCCATTCAGGTTTGTCTGGAGGCTGCTCCACTTACTGACTTCTAAACAACCTTATTTCTACTTAAGAACGAAGGATTTGTGATTACTTACAATTTCAGACACTGGGATTTGGTACAGTTACATGGCTTTTTAGACTTTGTGTCCCATGAACTAAGAGTTACTCTACAAAGATTAAAAAAGAAAATGTATTCAGATTGTTACTCTTAAAAAGAGACTTAGCTAAGCATCTGGTGCTCTCGCACACATACTGAGACTCTCACCACCAGACAGGCCTAGGCATTATTCACAGGTGCCTGGCCATGAAGCGGGAGCGGCAGGCACATTCGTGGGGAGGGAGCCAACCTGCTCAGCTCCAGCCTGCGTGCCCAGAGATGCAGCCGGGATGCCGAGCAGGACCCTCTTGCTGGCCCCTTCCCAGAGTCCCCTCCCTGGATCTGTTTAAACCTGTATTGTGCTTGGCCCCCCACGCCAAATAGCTCTTTTCATTTTTATGTTCTGTATCTTCCGAAATTTGAACACTAACAGAAAGTAGGACTCAGAGAACAATAGACAGACCATCGTTTGTACTGTGGTAGCAGTGTCAGAGCTGGCCGCACTGTGAGGACCAACAACAGGATCAAAGTGTGTTCAAGTGGACCATGGGACATTGGGGACCTCCCTCCTAACTGTTCCTTTAAGGATTCGCCCAGAATCCATCTTCAAGGGCATCAGAGCAGGAGAGACAAAAGTGTCCCGGGTGCTGTTAAACATGACGGGGAACTGTGGGTTAAAAACTCAGGAAAATTTCCCAAGCGTTGCTCAGGAATACTGCTCACTGAGAAACTCAGAATACTAGTGATGTAAGAAGTTTAACAGATTTTGGTAAAGAGGAGGGGCATGTGTCAAAACACGATTGTGCTAAGGGCTCTGCCTGGGGTGTGTGTGGCCGTCTCATTCGGCGACATACCCCTTGAGACAGTGTGCAGGCTTCCTGTCTGCCACCCTGGCTGCTTCCGGGCAGGGACACATCCTGGTCTGGGGTTCCTGCAGGAACTCGAAGAGTACTTGGCACACACTTAACGCTTGCTGACAGTCTCCTGTCGCCACTGAGCACAGCAGCTACTCCACACCACTTGCTCTCTGGTTTAACTAAGACAAATACCCTGGAGAGCGTGTGCTGGGCAAACGCTGCACACTCCACTCAGTCAGTCCTAAATCCCCGCTCAGCCCGCCCTCCTCTCTGCTCTGGCGTGGCCTCCACCTGCTCTGACATGCTCACCCCAAGGGTTCTCCACCGCCATCCTTGCCATCTATGCCTCTGGTTAGTGACGCCTCTCCCCCATCTGAAACAGCGCATAGCACCTGACTGACGGACAAGCTGCCAACTGTAACTTCTTCCAGAGATGTCCCCATTTTGAAGATCACGTCCCCACACTATGCCACTGAATGCTATATTCATTTCTTACTCATCGAGTTTACTTTTCCCCTTATAGAAGGGGAGTTGCAGCTTTCTGTCCCCGTGGGTGCCCAGAGGTGGCAGCTCTGGCTGTCCCAGCCCATGGCCTGTCCATCCTGGATCAGACATGGGCTATGAGAGGAGGGGTGTGGATACCACGTCACTGCTCCAGCCTCAGCCACTTCAGTCCTGCCCCTGCAATGGGCCCAGGGTGGCCTGGCACAGCCTGTCCAGAGGAATGAAAACTCTTTCCTTTAAAAACAGGGTGGGGACACATGGGGACATTCCAGTGGTGACCTGCCGTAATTGTGGAAGGAGAGAGTATAGTTCAATGAGTATCTACGGTGTCAGGAAGATGCCAACAGGCATTTACTAAGGGATCATCACGTGGCCAGCTCTGTGATAAGGGCTTCAGGGGACACCAAAAAAATACATTGTTTAAATTTACAGTGCCTGTGCTGAAGGAATCCACCAAATAATTTGGGACATGAGATACATACAATTGAAACGTTAGAGAACAGAAGATGCTATATAAGCAACTGTCAAGCTGTTTGATACTGACTGTAAATGGTATCAAATTCAGAGATGGAAGAAGTTAAAACAAAATACTTTTGAAGGAGGTAGAGCTTGACATTGACTTTCAAGATGGCGAGGGTTTTTATTCTCGGTCAGTTGAAATGACAGCATGAGCAAAGATATCACATTAGTGCTGAGCACAGAGTGTGGAGGGGACAGCAGGGGACAAGTTGATTGTAATGGAAACTGGGAAAAAACGTCCACGGCTCTAATGATATTTAACCACCCTCTAAGCCAATCTGAAAATTAGAGGGCGAGAAGAGAGCTGGGCAACTCTGCCTCAGAAGAGCATTATAGATAAACTGGTCCACAGTGAGATATGACCTCAGCTTTAAGGAAAAATTTCCAGAGCAGCAGACTCTTGAATATTCTATGTTATAACGTTCATTATGTTACCAAAACAATAGCACAAACAACGTATCAGAATTCACGTTTATACCTGATTGATAATCAGATTACTAACGCTATACGGAGTGACAGGACATGAGTTTTTATTAAAGGGTTTTATTAATATGATAAGCTAGTTAATAAGTTAGCCAGGCCCTCATTCAACTCTAAAGAATAATGACTGGATGAAATCACCCCCACGGGCAGCTGGCCATCAGGCCCAAGCTGACCCACCTCTGTGTCAGCTACGAGTTAGCTTAGCAACGTTTGAGCCCTATTGTGCTGACGGTTTCCTTTCCGATGTCTTCAGACCTAGCTTGACCTTGTGAACTGTGGAAGTCAAAAAGAGGCTAGGAAGTGTCTGAGAGGTGAAGAGATCCAGCAGATTAGTCACGACTGGGAACTCAAACAGAATGAAACAGCCGGCGACCAGCTTTCTGGCCACTCCTTCCCACAATAACAGACTGGTGGAGACGCCCGCACCTCAGTACTGCGGATGGTGCCACAACAACCATCAGGGCTGACTCAAGGGAATGACAGCACATCAAGTAATCATTTGCCGCAAAAATATACAAGCACAAAGCACACGTTGTTCCTGGCACATCATTTATAACAGAAAAATATTTTATGACCTGCACGGTTACTTCAAAATAAAGAAATATGTGACCACTTGAGAAAACCTAGCAGAGACTGGGGAGGGGAGGGGAGGAAGAGGGAAAAGGAAGAAACAGATGGCAATGAAACCCCTCGCTACACTCCTCCGTGAAAACGCACATCAGCTGACCACAGAGAAACCTCAGATGGCACCACAGCTGCGAGAAGGAACACTAGAAACAAAGGAGAAGCACCAAGCTCCCTCCCTTGAGCGCTCTGTTATGGCACACGGTGGAGCGCCACTGTCGGCCAGATGCTTCCCGGTCACAGGAAAGATAAAGTAAGTGTCTTCAGGATCATAATGTCTCAGGTCACACTGTGTACCCGAAGCTGCAATGCTACCAGCAGAATCTAGAAGCTGCTTACATCGTTTTCGTTTTGTCCAGAAACATTAAAGGCCACAATGATAGGATCGATTACAATAATAGTAACCGCATCCTTACCAATCCATCACGCCAAGAGAGTGAAGCATGGAGAACGGCTCTGTGCTCTCTTACTCCGCGAAATCAGTGTGGAGTCATCAGGTGGCGTGGCACAGTGTTAGAACCAGCCGGAAGACCAGCTGCTGAAACCGAAGCAGCGAATCCCGTGAGCGGCCAGCCCCTCCAGGGACCACGCGGCGGGGAAAGCGCTGCTCGAATGTATGTCTCCGAACTCCACCGAGTGGTCCACACTGCCTTCCACACTGCCCCCAAACAACCTGCTCACACTTACCAAAGCCACAGTGAAGATGCGCTGGGCGGCAGACCATGGCAAGAGCCTAGAAGGCACTGAGGCCACAGTGTGCACTTCGTAAACTGCTTGACCCGACTTCTTCCGGGACCTGGGACGGACGACTGCATTAGGTTTTGTGCCCAAAACTCTTGGAGGCAGGAATACATTGATCTCCATAACCAACTAAAGGGCTCAACCAACGGAAGGGCTACCAGTCCGCTGTTAATACTTGAATGTCAACTCCACAAAGAGTTTCAACCAGCTTTGTTAGTTTAATTAGTTACAATTATAGAATGACTTTAAAATGGCAAGATGAGGTCCCAGAGAAGTGCAGTCCACGTCCACCTGGAGACGGTGTGCCCCGGCACCTGCCATAGGGCGTGAGCGGACCTAGCAGGGAAGGCAGCGGGCAGAGGCAGCCCACGCAGGCACACGCACACCACCACCGATGTTAACTGACTGCCATGCCATTACTTACGCTGATGACAGCAAAAAAGAAATAGAACAGCTCAGCTTAAGCCAACGTGAAACCAAGACAGAGCTAGGAATGGCTCGAGCCTCTGAAACGCTGACACAGCACAGCGGACAGAGCGGAAGCTTACAGACCAGCCCGTAAGGGACAACAAACCAGACATGCGCAGCCACACTGCTTAATGTAAAACATAATATTTTTAAAAGGCATGAAGCTTGCAGGTAAAGCTAATTTTATAACTTAGAAGAAAATCACAAATGTACCCAAGAGCCTCTTAAACTCTTAAAGTAAGTGACAATTAATTGCTTTTAATCCTTACCCAGCCAACGTTATTTTTGGTGGTCCTGGAAGAGCTGATCCAGAGGGCAAAGCAGACCCATTGGCTATGGTTGGCAAAGCTCCATTGTCAAGCTGTATAAAGTCAAAGACAAGCATATTTGGAATCAGGACATGTTTTAAAAGTCCCATCCCATCAGCCCCTAGCCACAGATAAAAATGATTCTTTTTCTTCTAGAGGTTTACATCACAATCCCTGTACAATGACATCTGGGCCTCGTTACCAGACGATTCCACTAACACTGAGCAGGCTCCAGGCAAGGCTTTTCAGCAGTAGTTGGGGGAGCCTAGCCATGACATGCCCGGGGGTGAGAACGGTGTGGACTAGATGCCCCGACCGTGTGGACAAAGAGGGAAATAAATGGGTGACAGATGCAGGGCCAGGCCACCAACAACCTGGCCAGCAATATGCACAGCTGTCAGGTGGCTATCCAGGGACATTGTAATGGGCATCTTTTTCATTTTTATGAACTATAAATTGTGAAATGAATTACAAATTTCTGTAAACTAAAAACGTTAATTATCATTATATTCTTAGTATAACATAAGAGATCTTGCTATCTGAAGCCTGATTGGCAAACATTACTTTGTCATCTGTTCACAAAAGTATTTTGTAGTCAATTTGAACAAATTCAGAAGCAAAGTCGTGATCTCTGCATTATCCACGTCCTCTGCTTTCTCACTTATTTTTCTTTACTGTGCTCACTAGCAGGGCTCACAGAGGGCATTCACGGGGAAAGGAAAGGGTGGCAAAATCACCACAGATCTGATCTTCCTCTATCAGAAGCTTGAAGACATCAAATGTATTGGATAAATTTTGGTTTTGAGATTATTTGCATACATCAGAGTTAAACATCCTAGCCTTGTCCCTTCCGCCCCTGAAAACTTGAAATTTAAAAATAAGCTTTGTTTAAGAGATATAGTCTTGGGAAAACACCATTTTATTCATCCTGTTCATTTTCTCTCTCCTGCCTCTTTTTAAATGGTGTGTAATCACTGTCTGTTGTGCCTCGAAGACTGAGAACCACCCAGGGTCCACGTCCCTCCTCACAAATGCTGCTGAGTCCCCCGGGGAGTGTGACCCCCAGGACCCCTCTCTCTCGATCCGGCCAGGAGCCGGGGCTTGCTCTCCTCTCACCCAGTTTACAGGAGGGAAGTGTTGACAAGTCGCTGCAACTGTGTTTCTGTCACAGCCACCCAGACACCTAATCGTTAGGCTGACGTCTCCAAGTGGCAGCGCGCAGAGTTCTGCATTCATTTGGAGAAAGGGTTTTGCAGTTCTCGGGGTTGAGGCAATTCTTTGCATAAACCAGGTACAATTTCTCTTTTTCCCTTTGCTTATTTAGCCCCAAAGTAAAGCAGAGAAAAGGAAATGTCTTTTGAGTACTATGTAGGAGAAAACCTAGGGCGACGTTATACTGGGATCCATGACTTTCCTCAGCCATGTCTGGCCACCTAGGAGTGAAGAAAGTGACTCTAAGACGGTGCTGCTCAGCCCGTCACCGGGAGATCTCACTGAAATGCAGGTCCCGCCTCAGTGAGTCCGGGGGGGCCTGAGACCCTGAATTTCTCACAGGCTCCCGGGTGATGCCCATGCTCCTGGTCCATGCACCCCACTTTGAGGAGCGAGGCTCTAAAAAATATGCAGAACTGGGGGTTGGCAAGGGAGCAAAGGGTTCTAGGGGCACAGCAAAGGCATTACTAACATAACTGCCCCGAGGCCCACTGGGTAAGAAGTCAGGGGGAACCAAAATGGGGACAAGAACAAACACAGCCAAGGAAAGATGGGGAGAAGGTGGAAAGAAAGGAGGCTGTGGTCCAAAGGGGCATTTCTAGTGCAAGATCTTCGAGGCGGAAGAGCGAGTCCAGTGTGTGCCTTTCTGACTGGGGCTCAGAGAGAGAAGAAAGGAAAGCCCGCGGTGAAGAGGAGGCGGGGAGGAAAGAGGCTCACACGCAGTCTCAGCAGAGACTCCACATCGGGCGCCGCCAGCATCACACCTGGGACTGCATCACCTCCCGCCCTGATTCATACTCTCTCCCCTCCTGGCTAATGCATCATTTGAGAAACATTTATTTACTCTCTCGGCAAATATTGACACCCACCGCCTCAGAGATCGCCTCTGGTCTCGCGGCTAAACACCATCTATACGCTGGTGACTCCCTCCCTCCAGTCCAGACCCTCCTTGCCCTGAACTCCAGACTCACACACCTGCTCCCACACGACAGCGCCCTTGAATGTCTAGCAGACATCTCAAATTTAATATTCCACACGGAACTCCTGGTCCCCTCCCAAAACCTGCACTGTCTCATCTCTTGATGGACGCTCCATCTTTCCATTTGCTCAGACTGAAACCCTCGGGGCCCTCCTTGACTCCACTCTTTCTCTCACATTCCACACCCAGCCCCCGCTGGCTCAGGCTTCCAAGTGTCCCGACAAGCTGTTTCTCGCCACCTCCACTCCACTGCCGGCCTGAGCCCCATCATCTCACCCAGGTTACTGCAACAGCAGGCTCGCCCGCTCTCGCCTTCCCCTCCTTCGCGCCAGCCCCCTTTCAGGCAGAGCAAAAGCCACAGCCCTTCCTCTCCTTTGACTGCCTCCCTCCTACTTCTTGCTCACTCCATCCCAGCTCCGCTGGCCTCCTCACTGTCTCCCAGCAGATGTGACTGTGTGCTGTGCTGTTCCCCCGTCTGGAATGTTCTTCCATGTGATATTCACATGGCTCACTCCCTCTTCTCTTTCAAGACTCTACTCAAGTGTCACCTTCTCAATGGAGCCAACTGTGACGACCCTGTTGAAACTTGCAACCTGCCTTCCTCCCCACCGAAGCCCCATCTCCCAGCGCCCATCCTCTGCTGTCCTAGCAAACATTCTAATTTACTTCTTTATTAGCTGCGCTTATTGTCTGTCTCCCGCACTAAGATGTAAGCTGCGGGAGGGCAGACTTGTGTGTTTGTTCTGGGGGCCTCACTCAGCGTTAGCTCTTGGACGTAACCCACGTGCTCAGACCAGCGCCCGCCCAGCTGAAGGGGGAGTGAGTGCCCTTTATGTGCCAGGCTTTGTCCCAGTTCTCAGTCCACAAAGACAAATGAGACTCACAGGTATCCACGCTTATGGAGCTGGCACTCCTGTGGGTGAATGCAAACCAACCAACCACCCAACCCAAAAACTGCGAGACAACGACAGTGCCGCACAGAGAACGAAACAGGAGCTGCGACAGGGACAGGCTACACTGGGGAGCCAAGAAAGCCTCTTCTGGGGAGGTGACATTTTAGATTAAGACTCAGTGAAAGGACATTTGTCTTATAGTTAACATTTAACATAGGCATATTATGTTGTAACAATCAAAGCACTTTCAACTTTTGAAAAGCATTTCCATGACACCGAGGAAGGTGAGGGGTGTTCTAGACCAAGCGGGTGGCATGTGCTGCCGTAGGTCCACCAAGGACACGTTCAGCCAGCGGGGCAGAACGATGGACTGGAGGCCGTAGGAAAGGGCAACAGTTTCTCAGAGGTGGCAGAGAACCGTGTCTTAGGTTCACTCCACTCCTCCCACAGCACCTGACACAGTGAAGGTGTTGAATACTTGGCAAGTGTCTCCCTGTTGATTTTTAAGTGGAGGATAAATTATATTTCCTGAGTAATTCCAACTTTGACAATCGAAATTTCAAGAAACAATAATGCCCAATTGTATCTTTTTTTATTAAAACAATGACTCACTTGTTGTGTAATGAGATTTAATTTTGCTGGTACTGGCAAAAATCTTCCTACTAAAGTAGTCATTGGTTTAGGGACATCTGTAAGGAAGACAATTAATAGCACATATTAATTCCTCTTCCATTGCACATGGAAGAAAGCACAAAAATATCATGTATCATGGATTTATTTTGTGCAAAGTCATTTAAACTTATCTTGATACTATTTATGTTTTTTGATCTATAAAACCTTTTGGGTCAATTTATTTTTTTACGTGTTGCATTCTTTTTCTTTGTCATGAAGCTCCTTAACTCGAGCCTCCAGGGATAGTCTACTATGCTAAAAGATGTTACTAGTGCCTGGGCTCCCAAACTGTGTGTGTCCCGTGGCACCAGAGCACGGCTGGAAATGCCAGGGGGCCACTGGACGCTTTACATTTTCAAAGACAGCACAGCGCCGTCTGTTGGACACCACGTGAACTGCTTTCACTGTAAATGTATTCTTTTTTCAAATGGTTACTAAGTTGTTAGGATGTAAATACTTACTAGGCTATTTTGACCAAATTTCTCAACGACTGGAACTGATAGGTATTTCTTTGGCTTAAGGCTGCCGTGAAAACCCTTCCTGAGACCCTAAGGGCCCTGTGACCCTCGGTGTTTGTGATCCAAATGCAAGGAGAAACGTTCCTCAGTCTCCTGAATCGCCCATGAGCTGAACACACTTCCTGCTCCAGGCCTACGCAGCCTTTGAGCGATGTTACCTTGAGACTCAGGTAACAGGATACTTCTATTTGACGGTGATATTTAATACGTACACAGTGTAACAAAGGAGACTGGGTGGTGGGGAAGGTTATGATTATATGACAAGGAAATAGGTTTGGAGAGCATTATATTAGCCCTCTCCTTCTGTGGATCTAAAAGCATCAGGATTTTGTCACCTGCCAGGAGGAAGGGAATTAGGAGAGAGCCCCTCCCTGCCTGTGTATAGGACCAGATGCCACTCTGACCTGCACGGAATGGAGCCAGAAAATCCAGGGCTGGTGTCGTGCAAAGGGCTTTGGGCCAAAACCCCAACCCTGCTTCTGCATCATAGAAGAGTAAATGTCTTGAAGGCATTTTATCTGTCCCTGGATAGACAGACCATCAGGGTGGGACAGGAGTCACACCCTCTGTTTTTGCCCTGGACTCCAAAGGGCCACTGAAATGACATCTGGATTTAATATTGATCTAAATTACTGACAAGGTCAGTGAATCGTCTGATAATGAAATATTCCAATTAACTCAAGATTTAAAGGAGCACGATTATGTATATAGTTCACACAGAGATGCCCAGTTTTCAAGAATAAGCGTCTAACTTTTGTAAACACGATCCTAACACCATGTCATTTAATCTTTATTCACAAGGCATTTCAGGATCAGCGAGTTCTTCCAGGTCACTTAGTGTTATTGTGCCAGTTTACAGAAGTTTCTGAGGAAATGAATGTCAGACAACTCAGCGTTTGATCAAATTATTTCAGAACTCACGGCGAGTAAAGCAGAGTGATAGTTTGCAGTGACTACAAGGAAATGTTTGTATTAAAATTTATGTAGTTCACACCACACCTGAATAGCCCACCCCCACCCAACCCGGGAAAGGCTGATGTTTCAGGCCAGGCACCCTCGGCACCCCCTGGTGGTGTGAATCGTTCCCCGGTAGGTCACGCAGATCTCCGCAGCTGGCGGAAGCAGAGGACAGGAATTTGCCATCGTCAATACAATGGCCACAAGGGAGTCTATAAAGACACATTTTTCCACTTCTTAGCTCACTGATACGGGCTATGAAGTCTGCCGAACTGCCTAGTCCACACCCTAACTGCCTATTTCACTTTTACCCTATATACAAAGCCAAACATATTCGCTTACCAACTTACATATAATATATGATGTAATTTTTTTATTAATTTACTCTGTACCTGACTGTAGATAATTATTTTGGTCTTGATACTGAGGAACCAAATGAAGTGCTTTTAGTTCGCTCGTGCCAGAATTGTCTATACACAGCATTTGTGTACCCCCTTTCAACTGACATATCACCTAAAATGAAAAATAATGATCAGGTTTCATTGTTAAAAGATATCCAGTAATATGAACCTAAATAAACTTAAATCTGACAAAACAGCTTTAATCCAGAATTTAAGTTTTAATGGGAAATGGCCAACTATAAATCGGTTCTCAATTTCTTTTCTTTTTTTGTGAGGAAGATTGTCCCTGAGCTAACATCTATTGCCAATCCTCCTCTTTTTGCTGAGGAAGATTGTCACTGAGCTAACATCTGTGCCAGCCTTTCTCTACTCTATATGTGGGATGCCGCCACAGCATGGCTTGATGAGCGAGCGGTGTGTAGGTCCGTGCCCGGGATCCAAACCCATGAACCCCAAACCACAGAAGTAGAGCACACGAACTTCACCACCACGCCACTGGGCCAGCCCTGGTCTTGATTTCTTTACTCTACAATAACACGGTCTCTGGAGGGACCACAGGGCAAAAACTGCCCTGGGAAATGTTTCGTGAGCTGTGTTCAGTGCACCGACAGCAGTTGCTGCTGACGCCTTTCTTCCAGGTGTCTGACCCTGGAGGTTCAGGGTACGGACCAGGTGAGCCTGCGCAGAGCTTCCTTCCCCTGGCCTCACACTCCAGTCTCCAGGAGCTGCGAGAGCAGGCGCCGAAGCCCAGCCTCGGTTAGACCTGGTTAACTCTAAGAAAGACTTCGTGCCCCTGACGCCCTCTCTGTAGCTGGCCACACACTTAGAATGATCTTTAATTTTATGACAGCTCTCTCCTGCCACACACACTTTTACTTAACAGGTGAGATTTTGTTTTACGTCCATTAATTTTACTTTCTATAAGGACAGCTTAGAAACGTTAATCCAAGAATTGGAAAATTCTAAGAAGCCATGCCAGGCTTCTTGGGCCTGACTAGCACTCTCAGATCACCTACGGGATTCCGACCACAAAGATGTCCTCAGCGAGCTGAGTGAGTCCATCAGTCAATCACACAGTCAAGCAGAGCAGAGATGGAGCCCTCACTGCGTGCAGCCCATGCAAGGCCAGAACAGAAAGGCAAGAAAAGCTGTGGTTCCTGCCTTCAGGTTGCCTTTGGGTTTCCTAGCCATGAAAACCCAAATAAGCATAAAGGATTCATGTTACCAAAATAAGACACACACAGCCTATGCTGATAAAGTGCTGATCACTGGGCCAGGCTTCAGCTCATCCAATGATAAGAGGCCAGCACCCACGTTTGGTTGGAATTTTATTTGTATTTGGAGGATAAAATTATAAACCCCCCCCCCGCCGCCCCCCGCCATGCACACGCACTAAACTGAGACAAAGGCTCAGCACGGGCTCTCCAGGCCTCTGTCTACAGCACGATCCTGGGCTCTGGCCCCCTCCTGGAAGTGTGCTGACATTCCTCAGGAGTCGGGCATAATTGGGAGTGATCTTAATCCGCTCCCCTGGTCCACATGTCCTGGAAAAGCTCTGCTCTCCAAACCCGTGGGCCTGAGGAGAACCACAGACAGAGCGGCTGGGTCAAAGCTCGTGCTGAGCTCACGCGCGAGCATTTCCTAGCGCAAGAGCTAAGGCCTCCTTTCTCGGATCACAGAGCTGCTGTGGGAAGGGCACTCATGTGTTCTTTGGACTCCTTGCTAAAGGAGTGCTTGGGGCCAGAATCCCTGACTCCCCTCCATCCAGTCCTCACCCCTAGACCCGGAGTCTTAGACGTACCACTTACAAGCAGCCCTTGCAACATCTCTGTCTGGAAATAAAAATAATGCCTGCCCTAGAGAGTTGATGGGAGGATTAAATGAAATTACAAACATGCAGAACTATTGCATGAGCCGCAGATGTTAGTGATGACTTCTAGTTTTGTGATTAGGAACTGGAGGCAGCCAGAAGGGAGGCAGGCTCTGCCCGCAGCTCGCCCTCTCACCAATGTGCCGACCGCACAGCGCAGCGGGCCACCCCACCCCGGGCCCACTTGGGTCTACACTGACCGATGTGACTTGTGGTCAGTCTCCTTAAAGAATAAAGCAACGTCCTAATCTTTGTTTGATTTGCCAAGATTAAGTAGAAATGAGCATCTTAGCGGTGAAAGGAACATTAGAAAGGCTCTAAATTAGGCTCCTCTTTTGATAGATGAGACAACCAAAAATGTTGATTCAACAAGTAAGCAGAAAGAAAAACAATGCCTGAAATTGCGATTACTGTTGCCTTAGTAACGGTGAGGGGCAGACATTTACTACAGTGTTAGCAGACACATTTCCTCTGGCACGGTTACCATTGGGTTGGCGTCCTTCTTATGAGCGCAGCCAGAGGCATCCTCTGCTTCTTGTGATGATGGCAACTTGCAACAGGGTTCCGGGGCAACAGGGTTCTGAAAAGTCGCTTCCTCCGGATTGTTACTTGTGAGAGTACCACCTGCTTCCTTTATTTCAACCTGAAAAAGCAATTGGGACTTTAGAAATCCCACTGTGGACACTGGGTTTTGCGGCTGGGTAACAGAGAAAGTTCTCAGTAGAAGTCACGTTTTTCAGGTCACGAGCCCTTTGCCCTCAGTGCCTCTCCTCCTATTGTTCTCCCTACAGGGCAACAGGGCGCCTGACAGCCTCACTGGGGGCTGAGGATCCTGCGGATCGAAACTACTGCCCACAAGGTGTGGGGATGTGATTTCGATGTGGCGCTCACGTTGTTTCAAGAACAGCATAAGTGACTGAGAAGATTCCTGGGTCGGTCAGGTGCCCCTCGGGCTGCTGGACAGCCCCCTGCTCTAACGGGGCCACAGCCTGGCAGGACCTTCCGTAACCTCACCTGAGATGCTGAACCCCATCACCGTGCTCAGAGCGTGCTCATTAGCTTATACGCTCTAGTCAATTGTTCTGCTTTTCCCTCAAGCAGCCTGAAATCCTTGTTGATGTTTTAGCAATATTTACAATGTAACTTATAACGTATTTATAGCAACATTTATAATTAAACAGTAGAACTTTCCTGACTGAACAGTAGGACAACAGTTAATATGAAACAGTGAGGGTAGGAAATAACTGCCAACTTAATTTTTAAGCTTTCCTCTGCAACAACTGTCAACGACATGCTAGCAAAATGAGCAAAAATAGGGAGAAACTCCAATGATATTACTGAAAATCAATGCAATTAAAGAAAAAAACTAAAAAGTCTCAATGGTTAAAAAAAATTACCACCAGAGTTGAGGGTTTTACAATTGGGATGCTTCTTTTTAAACTTTGATAGGAACGTAAGGAGGATCGGGAAACAGCAGTCAACCCGCACTCTGTTTGCATCGTCCCTCCCCGCTCCTTAACCTCCACCTGTCCAAAAGGACAGGAGGCAGGCCACAAAGTCCTTCATAAGAGACCGGTGACTCTAAGGTGACATTCTCAAGACCTCAGATAAAGACAGCACAGATAAGTATCTTTCAAAGTGTGGGTATTGAGTCAAACTTGGAGACCGTCTAACAATAAAATCTAGAACCCAATCAGATACTAATTATCATGAACTGGCAAATTACTTAGCACAGTAGACTAGCACCTAGGTATAAACCTTTAAGGAGACAGAGGAAAGTTTAGCTATATTTCAAATTATAGCTTTATTATTTCAAATTTTATAGAAATATAAAAAATTTTTAATTTTCTCCTTTCTGCTTGGGGAACTTGCCATGCACATGTCATCAAAGTTTAGATTTAACTTATCTCCCTGTAACGGACAAATGTTTATACAGTAAATACATTGGTTCCTCAGCCCCATACAAGTAACCTCTGAACCACTTAGGCTACCGTAAAATCTTATTTTTACAGAATGGATATACACAAAGGTCAATACGTGGAAATGAATTTCTAGTAAAAGGAAATTAGCAATTCACCTTGAATATTTACTGAAACATTATTCCATTCTGTTCAAATGAGAAACATGTCCATGCTGAATCTTTTTCATTTTATTCATGAACTAGGAAATACTCAATAAAAATTCAAAAAAGCAAAGAAGTATCCCCAGATAGGCTCTCCTTTATTTCGTGAAACCAGCATTCTGTCAAATTTGGATTACACTGAAAGAGAAGTTGACTGCTTTAACATGACCCAGTGCCCCTCCTGCTCTGGTGACCGCTCCCAAGTCCGCCTTGTGCAGGAAGGGAGCCGTGCTGGGAGCGACAGGTGCCGGGACACAGCTTTGGCCTGGGAGCAAAACGGAGAGTCTAACATTTCAAGCCGTCTGAGGAAGACCTCCGCCTGGGTGAAGGCTCGTGGCACCAGATGCATCCCACGGCTCCTCTGAGTCAATCTGAGGGGACGGCAGAGGCCCCATCAGTGTAATGACCAAGGAGCAGTCATTCCACTCACAGAAAACCAGAAAGCAGAAGCTGACGTGCAAAGCCAGGCTCCGGCCACCTCAACACCGACTCAGACAGCTTCACAAAGGCTTAACTCATAACTTACTAGTTATGTACCCTAGTTTTCCAAACTAGACCTTTCTGGGGGGGACAGCACACACTTCCTTAAGAACAGTTAAAAAACTGATTTGTTTAGTTTCAGCAAGAACAGAGCAGAAAATGACCGGCGGTTATCCAAGCAAAGGAGGGCAGTCAGCTGAGAGCTGGCAGGAATTTGCCCTGATTTATATTACACGTGCTCGAAGTTCTAACATCTTGATTTCCGGGCTCACCCAACACAGGGATGAGCTGTGAGTCCTTGTGGGCCTTAGGACTCTAAAGGGATAAAATGTGCAAGGCAAGCACAGGGGAACCAAGCAGGCCGCACTCGGTTCCCAGGCCCTCGTTCCTCTAACGTCAAGAGGGCGTCTCTCCTAAAGCGAGCGACAGCAACAGGGCGTGCGTTAAGACACTTCCTCAGTTTCCATCTTGTGTTGTCTGCTGTGTGCAGGGTCAGGCCAGGCTGGACCCAGGAACCCAGGACGTAATTCACCTGCAGACATGCGCCTCGGGTGCCAGAGGGAGGCGCCCCGTTTGGAAGGAGTCCTTCCGACCGACCAGGGATGCTGCGGACACAGGACACACGCCCCCTCGGGGAGGGCATCCGAGGCACCGGCCCGGCGTGTCGCCGCTCCCCTCTGCAAGGGACAGGGAGGGGTGCGTGCCCACGGCCCAGCTGGAGCTTACTGGAATCACGCGGGCGCCGGGCGGCGCGGCTCCTTCGCGGGCCCAGGCGCCCAGGGGCAGGACGGCGGGGCCGCGGGCCGGGGCCAGCAGCGAGGACAGCAGGTGGACGCTGTAGGCGTGCGGCGGCCCGGCGGGCAGCGCGGCGTCGTCCAGCGGGGCGAGCTCGGGCAGCGCCCCCAGCAGCTCCTCACCCTCCCGGCCGCCCGGCAGCTCCGCCGGCCCCGCGCTGTCTGCGGCGGCGCCCGGCGCGCGCGGGTCGGCCGGGCCCAGGTACGCGTCCGGGAACACGCGCAGTGCGTCCTCCTCGGGCGTCGCCGCCGCCGCCCAGCCTTTCGGGGCCACGTTTTCCGAGGCGAACGCGCTCTCCGCGCCGAAGAGGTCGGTCGCCAGCTCGGCCGCGGGACCCGGCAGCGCGCCCAGCAGCGCGCCCAGCAGCGCCGCCTCGTCCATGTCCCCGGGGCCGCGGGGGGCGCACCTGCAACGACGCGGCGGCTCAGGCGGCGCCCCCGGGGGTCCCGCCGCCGCCCCGCCCCGCCCCCCGAGGGTCCCGCCGCCGCCCCGCCCCCCTAGGGTCTCGCCGGCCAGAGGGCTGACCAGGGGCTCCCACCGCCCCCTCGAGGCTGACCAGGGGCCCCGCCGGCGCCCCCGCGCCTGCAGACCCCAGGCCCGCCCAGGCCGCTGGGAGAGCCGCCAACGGCCCGGGTCTCGGGCCTCCTCAGCCGGACACACCTGCGCCGCCGGGCCGTCGGAGCGCAGAGGATGCGGGGAGCCGCGGGACGGCCCACGCGCGCGGCCGTTGGCGGTTGGGGAAGGGGCGGGGCCGGGGAGCGGGGCGGGGCCAGGGCGCGAGAGGCGGGGCCAGGGCGCGAGGCGGGGCGGGTAGTGGGCGGGGCCTGGGGAGCCGCGGAGGCGGAGCGCGCTGGGTGGGTGGGGAATAGGGCGGGGGCGGGGCGGAGGCGGGGAAGCTCCGAGGGGGAGGGAGCATAGGGCGGGGTCAGGGGCGGGCGGAGGCAGGGAGCCCGGAGGGAGTGGGGCATAGGGCGGGGTCAGGGGCGGGCGGAGGCAGGGAGCCCGGAGGGAGTGGGGCATAGGGCGGGTCAGGGGCGGGCGGAGGCAGGGAGCCCGGAGGGAGTGGGGCATAGGGCGGGGTCAGGGGCGGGCGGAGGCAGGGAGCCCGGAGGGAGTGGGGCATAGGGCGGGGTCAGGGGCGGGCGGAGGCAGGGAGCCCGGAGGGAGTGGGCATAGGGCGGGTCAGGGGCGGGCGGAGGCGGGAGCACGGAGGGAGGGGGGCATAGGGCGGGGTCAGGGGCGGGGGGAGGCGGGGAGCGTGGAGGGGGGGGAATAGGGCGGGAAGGGGCGGGGGCGGAGCGCGGAGGGGGGGGGCATAGGGGGGGGTCAGGGCGGGCGGAGGCGGGGAGCGCGGAGGGGCGGGGAATAGGGCGGGGTCAGGGGCGGGCGGAGGCGGGGAGCGCGGAGGGGCCGGGAATAGGGCGGGTCAGGGGCGGGCGGAGGCTGGGGAGCACGGAGGGGGCGGGGAATGGGGCGGGGTCAGGGGCGGGGCGGAGGCGCGAGAGAGTGTCGGGTGAGGCTGTGAGGTTAGATGGGTCAGGGGCGAGGGAGTGGGATAAGCAGGGACCGGGAGGAGGACTGTGACAGTGAGCTTGGGCGCACGGGGAGCAGGGGCATGGGGCGGGGGCCAGGGGACGGCCATTGAGGGGAAGTGGGCGGAGAACGACACTCCCAGGATCAGCAGCTCCAGGCTCAGGTGGGGAAACTGAGGCCCCCGGACCCGTCTGAGGCGGCGCTGTGTGGGATGCCCTAGCTTGACTTCTGACCTTAGTCTTTAAAATGCATTTTTTTCTGCGTTCAGAGCCCAGCCAGGGAGCACCGCTGGAGGGCCAGTCGCCTGCACTTGCAAATTCGGCCCTAGCACACACTTCAGATCCGTGGTGTGCAAGCTTGGGATGCGTAAGTGAAAACTGGGCGTCCCTAGCCTAATATAGACAACCAACCCTGACGACGCATGTTTGGGGGGAGGGGCACTCGGTCAAGACCTGGAATTAACAAATGCAACTAACACTAGTGTAACACAAACTTTGGGTGGGGAGTGAGCTAAATCCACCTTTCATAGAAGCAGAAGTCAACACCACTTCATCAAGAAACGAGGTGAAAGTTTATTTAGGGTCATGGCTGTGACCTGCAAGTCGGTATTCTGGGATGGGGTGGATTTCTGGGGATACAGAGACTCACAGGTACCCTGTTTCCATGCGCAATTGTTTTGGTAAAATAAAAATGTAAAACAGCTTTCTCGCCCATTTTTTAAAAAGTAAATACTTTTCTAAGTCAAACAGTAGTAACCAAGCCACAGCAAGAGGGGCTATCCCGTGGCCGAGTGGTTAAGTTCCTGCGCTCTGCTTCAGTGGCCCAGGGTTTTGAGGGTTCAGATCCTGGGCGTGGACATGGCACCACTCATCAAGCCATGCGGAGGCGGCATCCCACATAGCACAACCAGAAGGAGTGACAACTAAAAAATATATAACTATGTACCAGGGGGCTTTGGGGAGAAAAAGGAAAAATAAAAATTTTTTTAAAAAATCTTAAAAAAAAAAAAAGAGCAACACTCTGTGCTACTATTTAGCTGTACACTTTAGCATTCAAGAAATCCCAAGAAAATTTTGCAGTTGAAAATTCCACATTTTTCTTTTTTTCAAAGATTGACCTTGAGCTAACATCTGTTGCCAATCTTCCTCCTTTTTTCCTCCCCAAAGCCCCAGTACGTGATGGCATATCCTAGTTGTAGCTCATTCTAGTTCTTCTACGTAAGATGCTGCCACAGTGTGCCTTGATAAGCAGTTCGTAGGTCTGAACCAGTGAACCCCGGCAGCTGAAACAGAGCACACAAACTTAACCACTTGGCCATGGGCCAGCCTTGAGAAGTCCTAAATTTAAGGCACAGCCTTAAGTGTGCTAGGACTTTCTTATGTAAAAAATTATTCTGGGACATTAAAAGTTGACTTTAAAAGAACAAAATGTAACTATGTTCTCACTGTGGGAATCTTCCTGCCATGTGAACAACTTAAAATATATTCCTGGGGGCCGGTCCCGTGGCCGAGTGGTTAAGTTCGCGTGCTCCGCTGCGGTGGCCCAGGGTTTTGTTGGTTCGAATCCTGGGCGCGGACATGGCACCGCTCATCAAGCCACCCTGAGGCGGCGTCCCACATGCCACAACTAGAAGGACCCACAACTAAGAATATACAACTATGTACCGGGGGCTTTGGGGAGAAAAAGGAAAAAAATAAAATCTTAAAAAAAACCCCATATATATATTCCCAGCAACCAGTTCATTACAAACACCCTGGAAATGAAGTCCACCTCTTAGAGAATTCACTTCCTGTGTGCCTGTGACCTGTGGGGCAGGACTCCTTAGAAAGCTCCGGTGGCTTCTTCAGATTAAAATTAGGATAGCTTTTTCCTTTAATTACACAATCCGTAAACCCTCCTATGCTTTAGCACTGTGCCATCCCCAATCATGCTGCCTTTCAAAGAGGGGATCACTATGAGGTCCCTTGGATCGGGGGGCGGGGGGGTTGTGCACGTGTGTGTAGACAGCTTTACTCTAACTTGATGGCTGGAATAATCCCATTGTGTTAACTTAGTTGAGCTCGGGAGCAGGAATGAGAGTACAGCTTGGACTCCCCAAACTATAGGGATCCAGAAGGCGACTAATACAAATTGCAGACGCCAGAGAAGAGCAGTCAAAGGCCTGAATAGCCTGAGCAAGCACTTCAACCCACAAGGCCTGTACTTCTCATTTGTTAGCAAACATGGGGCAGCTCCCATGTGTCAGGCATTGGGTCTGGCCTGCCCGGCACTGTGTGAGTCACCAAGCTGGTCAGAATCAAAGGCCTGGAAACTCTGTCATGCTTGCTTCTAGACGCTCTTCTGAACATGCTGCATGGGCCAAAGCCGCCTGTCTTGTCATTCAGGTCTCAGCTCAAACTGTCAAACCCATCTGTAAATCAGCCTTCTTCCTGTGCCAACTACTCTTCTTCCCACTCATACCCCCCCCCAACACACTCACGCACGCATGCGCACACACACGATCTTCTTATCTGCCTTGGAACACAAGATCCTTCCACTGGGTCTCTACCTCTTCCCCTGGAATCTGATCTCCATGACGACCAGGACCTGGTGGGCGTCCCAGCTGTACTCCCATGGCCTAGACAGAGCTTGGCGCACAGTAGGCGCTCACTAAGAACTGTTGAGAAAACCAAATTTATGCATTCATTTAAGATATCTGACCACCTACTATGTACTGTTTTAGGGCACCGGGACAAGGGAGAGGATGAATAAATGAATATAGAGTGAAAATTCACAGCCCTCCTTAGCAGCTTCCCCTCCATCATCAGGTCAATGAATCTCTGGCCAACCCAAGGCCATTTCTGCATATCTTGGTCCCACCTTTGTCCTGTGGAAATTAATAGAAGAAACCTTAACTAAACTGGAGTCAGGAAGGCCTGCGAGGGAGCTCTCACATCCATCACACACACTGTCAATTACACCAAACAGGAAGAGAGTGAAGTCACACCTTCCACAGGAAGTAAAACTACTTTATTACTGAAGGATGATTTTTCTCACCAGGGCAACAGCCCAACCAATGAGAAATGCCGCAGCTCAGCCAATGAGAAGTGCCGCAGCTCAGCCAATGAGAAATGCCACAGCTCGGCCAATGATAAACCATTTTGGCCCTGAACTGTTACTTTGCCCCAATGGCCTTTTGTTAGCACAGCCCCTCCCACTCCTCCTTTTTCTCTATAAAAGCAGCTCCCCTCCTTTGGTTGCTGGATTTGCCTATGGTTCACCATAGCATTCTTTTGGCTATTCCCAAATAAACTGATTTTTTTTTTTTAAAAAAGATTTTATTTTTTCCTTTTTCTCCCCAAAGCCCCCTGGTACATAGTTGTATATTCTTCGTTGTGGGTCCTTCTAGTTGTGGCATGTGGGACGCCGCCTCAGTGTGGTTTGATGAGCAGTGCCATGTCCGTGCCCAGGATTCGAACCAACGAAACACTGGGCCGCCTGCAGCAGAGCACGTGAACTTAACCACTCGGCCACAGGGCCAGCCCCCCAAATAAACTGATTTTGAGGTAAAATGACAGGCAAATTTGCTTTCCTGTCCCAAGTGCCTGAGCCTGACTTATATAATCTCCTTATTAGTGTAAGAAAAGGGACAGAAACTAATACTGTGGTAGACCAGGATTAATGTTTTTATTAATGATAACCTTCATACTGCATTTCTAAGATTTACATCAAAAAGAGCATATTGTATTTACATGCAATGGACAGTCCAAGATAACAAATTCAAACCACAGCTCCGTTGACACTATGGCTTGTTCCAAATTAAATTAAATACATAATACTCTTACCTCCTCCTTTCGACAAGTACAATAAAAACCCACTCTTCCTTCTTTTAAGGAGTATAAAATTGCATTGATAACTGCACTGATTTGCAACAATTACATCTGAAAACATTTAAAACCTGAGAGATAAGCCCAAATATGTTTGAGTGCTGACACGTCTACACTCGAATTCACGTGTGAATGCTAGGTAATACAGACTTGTCAGGGGTCCACAGTGCACGATTTAGGTGGCTCTGATAGCAACTGATGCCAGCATTGACAGGCAGCCATGCCTGGCAGAGCAGAGCAGGCTATCCCCACCCCCCCTCCTTGACTATATCACCACAGGTGAACGGGGGGGGGGGGGGGGGCAGGGGGCAGTTTATTACTGTAGTTGTTGGTTTTCCTTTTTGCTTTTTTGTCTGTTTTCATTTCTTCTTGCTTTTAAGAGAAAAAAAAAATCTTTGGCCCATTGAGGTGGGATTTTTACATTACAACATATACAAAAATAAAATACACATGTGCTCTGCCCCAAGCACCTGTTCTCTCCTCCCAGAGCCCAGCCTCGTCATCGTATCATTGGAGTGCAGAACTCTTACAGGCGAGCCCAACAAAGTGGTCAGAAAAATAAATACGCAATTTAAAAAAGGGACAGCTACGCTTGTCATTACAGCCCAGAGGCAGTGGGCATTTCATTCCATGATCCTTTATTTTTACATTAAATACTGAAGACGATTCAGTGCATAATTGCTTTTTGGTCAACCACACTCCTTCCATAAAGGCACTCCCATCAAAAGGGTAGGCTGGGTTAAACCTAGCACCCATCATTTGTGACGTTCCAGTCGGTCACTGAGACGGCCCAGCATACTGTTTCCAGCTACCTCCAGCTCCTTTGGAAACAAGAGTGAGTCTTGCCTCTCCCGTGTGGGATGAGAAAGCAGTCCTCCTGGCGTACCGGAGCTGACCCTCGACCATTTTGAGGTCACTCTTCCCTTTTGTCAAGTTTTGCTCCCTTCTTAGTGGCAAATGTCCTGCTCTCCTTGCCATCAGTTTGGGTAAGCGGTAATCCTGAGGCACATGTTCTATTCCACTCTTCAGTGACTGCTCCAGATACATAATATTTGATCATTACATCCCTCGCTCTCCATTTCTGACACACACCCATTCTTTCTTTTGTAGCGCGATCATGAAAGGAAGGCAGTCTGATGGGGGAAACCAGCCTAGCTGCCTTCACAAGGAAACTGGTCTTTCTAGGGGTAGGGAAATGACAGGAAAATGCTTATTTAGGGTTATTCACTCAGTAAAGTGAGAAGGGAGTAAGACACCCTCGATTCCACCTGAAGACTTTATAAAATAAACCTTTCATACGGGCCCCCCCTTACATTTAGGGCCTTCCGTTTTTAAGGCACTGGGTTTTCAAGACTTGCAATCAGTGAAACTAAAGATGTGTCCTACTACTTGCTTCAAACGTGGAGAGACAGACACACACTAGCAAACTAGACGATGACAGAGTTACCCACACAGACGAAAATGTTTCCAAAAGCACAGCATTTTCTTTAGCATATCATGTGAGTGTCAGCTGTAAGTGTTAACCTCTCCAACGTGAACAACGCTCTTCTCTCTGAACAAAAGTTTATGTTGCTCTGATGAAATTAAATGCCCATAAGGACCACGGATTCAGTGGCCACCGAGGAAGCGTGCCATTTTCATTTCCAAGGCGTGCAAAGTCACAACCCCACTAATCCCTTAATTAGCGCAACCATATTTTAATCCCTTAATAACCACATGTCGATGCAAAGACTTTTGGGGGCTTCAGCAAATGTTCCCAGGGTTAGGACCTGCCCAGAAGTAGCAGGGTCATACTTCACGAGGTGGAGCCTGCTGTTCTAGAAAAAACAAAAACACCCAACCCTGGATGGAAGGAAAACTTTTGAGTTTTTTAGAGCAATTTTTCAACCTGAACTACAATCAGGATTAAGAGCTATTTCGCATTTGGTTTTTCTCCGGAGAGCTCATTTTCCTTCACGGTAGCTCTAATGGAATTCCTTTCTGGAATTGGAGCTGAACCCAAACAGGGCCATGATGTCGTTCATTGCTTGTTTCAGGTGCTTCCCAAAGCGATGAGAATCCTTTCATTTCAAAACAAAAGGCAGAAACACATTACGACATGGCAATTCCCGCATTTCAAGCCTTTTCACTTGTAATCTGACTCAAAGAACTAACATTCCTTTTTTACCAGTTCTCTAAGCTTGGACTTCACGGCCTGAGCATTAAAAGTTAGACATTCTGGAGAAAAGGTGAAAGTTAACAGAGATAACAGTCTATGTGCTTTTGATTTGAGGCTTCCCCTATCAGTGCATTACAGAAAACAGAGTAAGTGGATGCACCCCAAACTTCTCTGTTAATGGTGAACTTGGCATTGCTTGTCGGGCGACGTACAACGTGAAGGAGAGAATATAAATAAGGATTAAGTGTGCCACGCTAGGAAGGAGGTCGTGTGTTCCATTCACAAAGAACACTGCAGAGCCCCTGCTTTGTCACTTATGCGTATTTCTTAGCGTGTGAACACCAATCTTCGTCCACCCTCGAACATTCCAGAGTCTGAACGTTCCACAAAGACGCCAATGTTAAGTTTCAAAAGCACTGCTATGAGCAAGGATAAACATTTTCAACCAAGGAAGATAATATCTTTAAAACTAGCTTAAGAGGATTTTAAAATTCACTTATTTGAACACATCCAAACCAAGGAGAAGTATAAAATCACTTGGAAATTTTCTGTCAAATTAAAGATGTGCTCCCCTTAAAAAGAAAACAGTAAAAACACCCCATCTTTAGAAAGGGGAACTTCGTTTTGGACTCACCGTCTCAGGGCTGGAGAACTTGGAAGATATGTGGAAATTGATGAGGTTCTCTCCCACAAGAATGTACGACACGCCGTAACCATCGTCGGCAACCTACGGAACAAAGTGGTTTTTAATCTAACCTTGGAAAACGGGATGAGGAGAAGAGGGGACCTTCTAACGTTCTCAATACAAGACTGCCACTATGGGGGCTGGCCCCGTGGCCGAGTGGTTAAGTTCACGCGCTCCGCCGCAGGCGGCCCGGTGTTTCGTTGGTTCGAATCCTGGGCGCGGACATGGTACCGCTCATCAAGCCACACTGAGGCGGCGTCCCACATGCCACAACTAGAAGGACCCACAATGAAGAATATACAACTATATACCGGGGGGCTTTGGGGAGAAAAAGGAAAAAAATAAAATCTTTAAAAAAAAAAAAAAAAAAGACTGCCACTAACATCTGTCTGAAGAATCAGCAGGAATGCTTTTAAAGGGGCGCACCGCCAAGGTAATGAGGGGCACTCAGAACGGAGACAGGCCTACAGTGGAGGGGATGGGCACATCCTGTCCGTGGGAACTCATAGCTCTGCGGACATCGACGCCCGGTCACTCACCGGTCCGAAGCCCCCTCCGCTGGACACGTACTCCGGATTCCTCTCCAAGTCAAACAGCTCCACCTGCTGCTGAGGGGTCTGGCTGGTGGACAATCTCCAAGGCTCAGATAAGACCTGATGAGGAAAACAGGGAAACGTCCCAATGACACTTCTTCCAATCCCAGCCCCTTCTGTCCCTAAGGAGCCCCGGTGGGAGACAAGACAAGGCTTGCTTGGTCTTTGGACTCTTTCAGACACCAGGGGTCCTGAAGGGCATCGCTGGCTCAGGGCAGCACGTGTGCAGAGATGGGTAGAGCAGGTGATGGCACCTGGACTGGAGGGCCACCCACCTATCGGCTTCCCCGGCAGAAAAGGTGGCGGATGCATTAAGTAAGATTTGGAACGGAGGCCGTGGTGTGCTGGAGCAGGCTGGTACCAGCTCCCGGGAGCCGACTGCTAATATTTCAGGAATTTTTCAAGCTGCTTATTCAACACAGCCATCATTAAAAGTTAAATTTTGTAAACTTCAAATTAAATACACTATAATAAAAATGAAGGTGAGAAATACTCAGAGAGTTAGTCACTTCCCAATTATTTTAGTACACTTTACTATTACCTGTGCTCTGGAGGTTATGTATGTCAAGTGGGGGAATCGGAAGCAAAGTGTGCCGGGGGGATGAAGAACCAAAGCTCGAATTCTCCATCGTGATGACAGTTGAGCCCAAAGACCCATTGGCTACCCCAGTCCCCATCTGCAAGGCTGTACTGACTCACCGAGTTTTGGTTTAGCCAATAAACTGGGTGAGCTCCCGCGGGGAGACGGGCCTCACCTCCTTAAGGAAAGGGGAGTCGACGGCCAGGTACTTGGACACCACATAAAGGCAGAAGAGATGGCGGTCGATCCCAGAGCCGGTCATCGCGAGGCGGTACAGATGCTGATGTTTCTCGGATGCGATCTTGAACAATCTGAGCTTCTGTTTCACCTAAATCACGAAGGATGGGAAGTTTCAAGTCACGCAGTACGGATCTCAGCTCCAAGAGGAAGGTGATGGGCCCCTCTCTCCAGTGGTCCCACAGCAGGGAACTGGGGGTGTCCGGGAGACACGCGCTGGGCGGTTGCCAAGGTGACCTGACAAGAAGCCCCATGGACCAACCGCCCCCTCCCCAGATTCACGCTGCGAATGGTGTCACTTGGAAGCTGCGGGGGGACTGGTTGTTGGAGAAGCACTTTTGGGGTCCTATGTGCAGCCTCATTTCACCTTTTACACAAATGAGATCGCTGAGCAGGTGAGAAAGCTGGAGCCGGCAATTCATTGTCGGGCAATGAAGCTCTGCCCCTTTCAGTTAACCGTGACATTACCGTGGGCCTTAAATAATCCTCTACAGTGGTCTGGTCCCAACTCTGCTGAAACAGCACTTCGGGGCCTTTAAATCTGACCCGAAAAGCCTGCTTCAGGTTCTTCTGGGTTCTGTTGCGACCATGATAGAATGAGGGCAGCGCCGCACCCTCTAAGTGGACGCCCGTCCAGGCTTTCACCCACCCACTCGAGACCTGGTCTTCAAGGCTATTTTTGAAGGCAGCTAATGCTAAACCAGAGCCATCTGTCACCATCCCCACTGATGTCCGCCTACAGAACTGAAGCCTTTCCAGAACAAAGTTTTCCCCCGTCATCAGCAGTGAGCGCCTGTGTTCTGGGTCAGGCAGACAGGGGCACCATCTGGCCTCGGCCACTCCCTAGCTGTGTGGCCCAGCAGTGGGCCGAATTCATCCGAATCACTGTCCCTTTACCTAGGAAAACGAACTGATAATACTTCATGGCCCACAGCTGGGATTTTCAAACACCCGGGGCCCCCAGCCTGCTGGGGGCTGTCAGCGTGGGCAGCACTTGAGTAACCCAAGCGCAAGGCTCCCAGGGGATGGTCACTGGTTTCTCACCTGGCCGCCAACTACCTGTACTGCTCTGCACCTACCTCCAATCCCTTTATTCACTGGTTGTGTCCTGTACTGTTCGAATTTAAAGACTCTTGGGAAGCATAATCTGATTTGCACAAGCTACAGAACGATGGAGAACAGACACGAGCATTAACCTCTGTGTATGTCCCAACAACTGCCTTCTACCACTTTCTATTCCTTCAAAAGGGATCGAGGAAAGGAGCAGCTGCACACGGAGCCACTGGAGAAGAAGGGATGCCCAGGGGTTCACCGGAGAAGAGTCATTTTAGGAAAAGCAGGGTTCTCCCAGCCTGGCCGCACATTACCGTCTGGGTGGGGTCCACCATGGCGAGCACAAAGTTGCACGACTCAGAGGAACAGGAACGCACGGTCTCCGTCCTCCCCTCCCGGAAGAGCCGGGTCATCGAGGCCTCGTAGGTGAGGCAAAATTTGCCCATGTCCTGGGAAAGGAAAAGCATTTTCATACAAGGCAGGGCATGCGGATGACCTCTAAAGCTGAAGGAGGGATCGGTAAAGATCAGCAAGGAAAAGCAGACTTCATCGTCCACCTGAGTTTTTAGTCGTCGTCAGTTTTTACACGGGGTTATGCAGCAGGCAGATGGAGACGTCGTTAGCTTTGGAAAGGGCTGGGGGGTCAGCTTCTGGGTTACCCAGGTTTGCGTTTTCATACAACGGATGCCACGACACAATTTCCTGAGTTTCACACACCTACCCGAGCACAACACGGTTATGGAAGGAAAACGGTACACGGCAAGGAGATCTGCAGGCAGGAGTCTGAGACTATTTAAAGACACGAGGAGTTGATGGGAGATATTCCATCACCTTTAGATGATGGCGAGAATGACCCAGTAGAGAGACCGGTGCTTCAAGAGAGGGGATGGATCAGGAGGAATGCCCTTCCCCAGGTGGGCGGGAAGTGGGCGGGTGTCCAGAGCCTGAAGCCCAGACAGTGCCCCCCGGGACAGAGGGAAGATAAAGCAGGAGGGAACAGCCGTGGGGGAGCACACAGGAGCTCCCTTCAGAACATTCTCATTTTCTCAGTGAAACCAGAAGAAAGGTGGCCTGCTGGGAGGAGGATCGGGGGAGGTGCTGGAAGTCAGAGACACGGGGTGTGTAATGGGCACTTCGGGGCCCGCCAGAGTCAGTGCTCATTCATGAAGTGAGACGAGCTGGCAGTGCGGGGTTTTTCTCCGGCCACGCCGACCTCTCGGGTAAAGGATGGAAGCAGGTGAAGAGCGGCACTGAGTTGGGGGCAGTTCGGCTGTGCTCGGGGCCACGGGGCAGAGGTCGGGGTGATGGCCACAGGCCATGGAATCCACGCCAACAAAGGAGAAGCAGGAGGCAGGATGCGCAGACGGAAAGAAGCGTGGAGGCCCTGATGGGGCACAGGAACACAGGCATCAGGGACCAGAAGGGGGCTGGAATGACAGGAGGGCTGGTGGCGCCCGGAGGTGAGACCCTGGAGGTGATGAGATGACACCAGAGCAAGGGCTCCAGGTGGAGGACAGAGACAGAGTCGGAGGGAGTGCATGGCGGGGAGTCATCTGCTAACTGCCCCAGGGGGTGCCCAGGGCCACCAGGCCAGCAAGATGACCAGGTGCCCAGTATGGAGGGGAAAGTGATAGGCGGCAGTTTGTGGCCCCAAATGATTCCTGACCAGACAACATCCCTCTGGGCATTTGGGTCCTGGTGACCCCAGGGTGACACAGGACACTCTGCGACAGGCCGATACCATTAAGGAAAACCAGGAGGGGGTGCCAGAGGCAAGGGTGAACTTCTCGGGGGGCAGTCCAGGCCGATGAATGGCCTCGAGGGGCTCTTTCCCTCCCCATGGGCTGGGGGTGATGTCACATTCGCCATCCCTGCCTGGCCTGCACATAAAGCGAGGAAGTGAGCAGGCCACAGGGTGAGGTCCGAGGCCCGGAGGTCTGGGGGAGCACACTGCGATGACGGCCACCCCAGCCTCCGATGTTCCCCGCTGAAGGCTTCCACGGTGCCACCAGCCCGAAGCACCACAACTCACGACACTCCTCTTTGACACATCAGTCATTACATTTCCCTCGGATGGGGCCCAAGAGGGCTCCACCTCCTCGTTCAACCCCATGAAAGCAGGGGTCCCAGGGTATTTATCCAATGTGCCTCTCAGAGAACTGCCTACAGGCTCCCAGGTTACAGATGTTTCAAAGGGGCTCATGATGAAGTGGAGGGGAGGGCGGAGTGGGGAGGAGGCAAGGAAACAGGATATATTCGGTATTGTAGTCATTTAATAAAGGTTAACTTGGTATATACGATGCAATGATTGATCTGAAGTCAACTTGCCAACGTCAAATTTTAACTGTATAAGTGGTCAACACAATCATGCATTACACCTACAATTTTTAAAATAACTGTCTGAAAAAACCTCTTGGCAAATGCACTCAGTATTAGCATGCTCAGAGTCCCGTCGCAGAGCCAAGCTGGGTTACGCCTGCAGCCCCACCTAACCTGCCACAACCAGCCGCTGTCGCTGTCGGGAGAGCGGCCGCTCGCCTCCGCCAAAACATCGCCAGTTTCTAAGGAGCAGGATCAAAAGACAAAACCTTTAAAGATACGAACACGCACGGCGTGAGAACGCAGTCCCCTACACCGCGGGACCGTGGCCCCGTGGCTCACTGCTCAGGGTGGTGGCGCTGGGAGAATTTTTCACAGATTCTAGTTTCCAGATGAAAAATAAATCTGACCCCAAAGCAGGAAGCAGATAGCTATAGGCCAGAATTATGGCCACTGCCCAGCGTCTTCATTAAATCAATCATCCAATCTATATTTACTGACACCTCTTCCTCTGTGGCTGGTACGTGCCTGGCACTGGGGATACAGTGGCAAACAAGACGGATCATGTCTCTGCCATCAAGGAGCAAACCTCCCAGTGGGAGAGATGGGGGACAGACAAATATGCATGCACTTAACAGAAAGAACTCAGGGTGATGGAAGAGAGTGATGGGGTGGGGCTTTTTTAAATAGGAGATGGTGGCACCTGAGCAGAGACCTAAGCACCTATACCTCAATCTGGAAAACACCGACTGTGAGTGGAGAGCAAGTGCAAAGGGCCTGAGGTAGGAATGAGCCCAGCATAGTCAAGAGCAGCAGAAAGGCCAGTGTGGCAAAAACGGAGTGAATGAGGCCCAATGTCTTATTCGAGAAGGTTGGAAGGGTAGACAGGGATCAGATCAATGGTTACTAACCTGGAGATGTGTGAAGTTGGATGGGAAATATATATATTTTAATTTTCACTAACCACAAGCTGAAATACATCATTTAGAAGCACAGGCAACAAACTTCAGTAATTACAAGCAGTGCCTGTGACACTGAATAGAAAAATCATAGCTTTTTCACATCAAACTATGGTTGTTGCACATATCCCAAAATATCATCCACGCTTATCACTACTTCAAAATTTACAGCAATTAGGCCTGCTACTCAAAATTGAGTGCACAAAAAATTATGTTTACTGTATCACAAATTTATGCTTAATATTTCGACATCTGCATTTTAATTAGCAGGCTGCCTTTGTAACCCTGTGTATTTCATTTTATGCTTTATAAACATTATTCAGAGAAGGGGTCCCCAAAGCTTTCTGAAACTGCCCAAGGGGTCTCGGGCACAAAGAAGGTTCGGAAGCCTGGAGCAGACCCCCAGGACCACGCAGGACACATGGATGTGTGCAGAGCCCCATCGAGGCCCTGCAGCGCCCAGGTGGGCAGAGATGGGTCTGAATGTTAGCTCTGCACAGAGCCCCGTTCCTAACAAAGCTGGCACTCAAGCGAGCAGCCACGAAAGAATTTGGATGAATCTGTTTTATTTATTTTTTTTCTTGAGGAATATTAGCCCTGAGCAAACATCTGCTGCCCACCCTCTTGTTTTTGCCGAGGAAGCCTGGCCCTGAGCTAATATCCATACCCATCTTCCTCTACTTTATATGTGGGATGCCTGCCACAGCATGGCTTGACAAGCGGTGACATGTCTGCACCAGGGATCCGAACTGGCGAACCCCCGAGCCGCTGAAGCGGAATGTGCACACTTAACCACTGCGCCACTGGCCGGCCTCTGATTTACATTTTTAACAGATCACTTCGATAGATGGATCATTTTTAATAGATCGAGTGCTATGTGAAGAAGTGACATGGGGGAGGGGCAAAGAACGCAATCCTGACAGTTTCTAGCCAGAGGGCAAAGAGGAGATACAAGGGCTTGACTTATCAAAATAGATAATCCTTAACTTTGGAAAAGTAGCTTGATTTCCTTGAGTAATACATGCCTGTGCAAAAAATTAAAACACTGAAAAATAGAACACAATAAAGATCAAGCTTCACAGCACCACTAACATTTTCCATCCATCCTTTCTAGACTTTGCAGGTAATAATAAAGCAAGAGTCGGGAAATATTTTCTGTAAAAGGCAAGTAAGTAAATATAGTCTTTATGGGCCAGATGGTCTCTGTTGCAACTATTCAGCTTTACTATCATAGCTCAAAAGCAGCGGTGGACACGTCAAAAAGTGGGTACGGCTTGTGCCAATAAAGCGCTTTTCTATGAACACTGAAATTTCATTTGATTTTCACGTATCGCCAAAGAGTATTCTTCTTTCAACTTTTTCAACTATTAAAAAGTTAAAACCATTCTCAGCTCGAAGGCCGTGCAAAAACAGGTGAAGAGCTGGAAGGGGCCTGTGGGCCAGAGTTTGCAGGTCGTTCTAATAAATGATTAACTTTGACATACTGTTTGATGACTGAGTTTTTTACAGACTGTACCATTGACATCATTTAGCAGTGATACGATATCCCATTGTACAAAAATATCACAATTTAACAAGTTTCATATTGATAACCGTTTGATTGCTTCAAATTTTTAGAGAGGGGCATGCTGATACTCACCTTTGCGGACCTGTCTCTAAAGGATGCAACTCTCAAAGGAGAATTTTCCAGGCAAAGGGTTATGCTTTCACAACACTCTTTCCCGGCTGCATGGGTGTCACAGATGACTGTTCCTGCTGCTACAAACCCTTCTTGATCCACCCTTACAAACACGGGATTGGAAAAAGACCTTTGCAAACCGCACAGGCAAAAACTCAGTCTTGTGGAAGCTGCACTTACTAGATTCCTGTAAGGATAAACTTTCTGTGGGCATCCACTGACCATCTGTATCTGTCTCCTCTTGGGAACCACCAATTTCTGCTCTGACTCCATTTTTCTATTGAGCTGTTTATTTTTTTCCCAAATGGAACCATCTAGTCAGTTTTCCCAACTCATTCCTTCCCACTGAGGTTAAAGGTGTCCTTTACCATATACTTTTCCACGGAACTCTGCGCGCCAGGACCACACCACGTGAATTACCATACTCTTCTGACATCTGTATTTCAGGCTTTGAAAGAGCGAGACTCCACCTCACCCGGCCCCGCCTCCACCTCATCCTGCCCGGCCTCCACCTCATCCTGCCTGGCCTCCACCCTGTGACTTCTTTTTGCAGAATGTTACCGGTTGTTTGCAAATGTCAGCTCTTCCAGATGAACTTGAAGATCAATCGGTCAAGCTCCTTTCCTACAATCATCTTCAGACCTCTGACCACGTTCACAGCGAACATGTGAACTGGGAGCATTCACCTCTACGGTGTCAAGTCTTTCTATCCGAAATCATGGCCTTTCCCGCGACTCCCAGCGTGACCATCCATGCTCCATGGCTCTAGGCCTTCCTTTGCAAAGCTCCCATCTGCTTTATAAAGGCTGCCTGGGGATCCTAGACTTTTGTTTCTAGTTTCCACTATCTTTTCTGCTTGACTATCACTGCTATATGAGGAAGGCACTGGTCTTTATATAATTCTGCACGGGGCCCCATACTGAGCTCCCTTCTTCACTGTAAAACCTTCGCACCTGCTCCATCTTCTTAGTAAACATTCGAATGCTCCCCCTGCCCAATTATCCTGTCGGCTGCTCTCAGCACTTATGGAAAGACATTCAAGAACAGTGGAGCCGCTGGAGACAGCCTCATCTTTCTTAAGTTAATGGGGCTGCCTCCACATTTTCACCTTCAAATCCATATGCTGGCTACTGATACACGATGATATTTATCATGTTAAGGAAACAGCCGCTATTACCAAGAGCTGTTATCAGGAATGGACGGTAAATTCTGAATGCCTTTTTAGTATCTGTCAAAGTGGCTGTCCGGTTTCTTCTCTGATGTAGTAATACGATTTAATCTACTATCATATTTACTAACATCAAACCATCCTCCGGCCTCTGGTATAAGCTGTTGCTAATAACTACAATTTTCTCATACTAGTAAATTCTATTTGCAAATATTTTAGTTTGATTCTTTACATTTATATTCATGAGCAAAACTGGTCTGTGGCTTTCTTTTTTTGGTGTATCCATCCAATTAAGCTATATCACAGCAGCTGAAGACACAGGTTCTAGAACCAGCCTGCCAGATCCAAGCTCAGCCTTGCCACAATGAGCCGGAGATCCAGACAGGAGACCACGCCCCCTCTTGTGTGAAGCGGAGATGAAAGTACCCTCCTCGTTGCCACGAGGGTTACCCAGCTCCTGCAAAGCACTCAGCATGGCACTCAAGTTCCACAACAGGAGTTTTCAATTAAAAACAGGGCATATCTTGAGCCAATGCCACAATGACTTCCACTGCCCCGAGAAACCAAGGGTGCCCTGTTTGGGCTAGAATGCTCCCTCCAACAGGCATGAAGTCCCACTTAGGTCCTCCTAGGGGCCTGCCCCTTCCTCCAATGGGGCCACCACGTGCAAGCTGAATGCGACCGGGTGCTATGAGAAAGGAGGTTGCAACACTGCGTGCTTCTGTGTCCACAGGGACCCCATCCATCCCAGAGACCTCCAGGGGCTGGTCATATCCGCTTTGATGGAAGAGGATGTCAAAGGTCAGGGACATCAAGTCATCTGCCCTGAGTATTTCGGCTTTCCTAAACTCTACGATTCCTGGCTTATATTAAGGTCTAATTCTTCATGTTGTAGAGCAATGAGATCTCAGTGTGCTCCCGTCCCCCAGCTCCTCCCTGTCCTGGGTAACACAGAAAACTACTGCTACTGAAGACAGGTTCTGCTAAACACATGTCTCACCCTGTATGTGGCAGAAACACTCCACAGCGTGACACGCAAGACCGAGCACCGCTGCGCTTCCGCACCCGTGGCCACCCTATCCCGCGACAGGTTTCCAGCCTTCCCTACCCACGGGGCCAATGGCCTCGGGCCTGCGTTCAGGAACCCCGAAGGTGCTCGGGACAGAGGTGCAAGCTCGGGGCTCTCACCTTGTAATGGGCCAGCTGCAGGGCGAGCTGGACGAAGGCGTCCGGGCTCGTTCTGCATTTCTTGATCAGTCCTTTACCAAAAGCGTGGAACGGGAAAGAATGGAAATCCACATCGCTGGCCAGAATGTTCGCGGTGTTCAGGGACGTCTCTATCACATCCTGACACTTGAGAAGAAGGAGAAAAAGGTTTTACTTATTGCAGGGGAAGTAGTGACACCCACCCTGAAGAAAATCGCGAGCTAGTTTTCAGTGCAGCACAAACAGAGCTGGTGCTCAGAGATAACACGGATCACTTTTCAGGAGCCGCGGTGTGTTAGCGATATGGCATCCCCGCCCCGTCCTTGAAGAGCAGTGGGGTGGCCCAAGCAGGGGAACACAGGACAGAGACTGGGGCTTCCCGGGTCCCAGGGGGACCCCAAAGGGCACGTCGAACAGTCATGGGTTTTGTTTGTGAAATCCACTGTTGTCACGTGGTGGCGATGGAGGAAACAATTTTAAAAAGTAGATAGACTGTGGTAGAGCCGTACAATGGGAGTGAGCTATCGAACCATGAAAAGACATAAAGGACCTTAAATGCATGTTATCAAGTGAAAGAAGCCAATCTGAAAAGGCCTCATACTGTCTGATTCCAACTATATGACCTTCCGGAAAAGGCAAAACTACGGAGACAGTGAAAACATCAGTAGTCGCCAGGGGCTGGCAGTGGGGACGGATGAACAGACGGAGCACAGATCTTTAGGGCAGTGAAACTGCTCTGGGGGCTCCCATGATGATGGGTACCCGACATCATACGTTTGTCCAAACCCACAGAACGTACAACCCCAGGAGGGAACCGTAACGTAAACTGTGGAGTCTGGTGACGATGCCATGTCAATGAAGGTTCATGCCTTATAACAAGCACCACTCCAGTGGAGCTGTTGATAACGGGGGAGGCTGTGCATCTGTGGGGGCAGGGGGCACATGGGGAATCTCTGAACCATCTGCTCAACTTTGTTGTGAAGCTGAAACTGCTCTCAAAAAATAAAATCTTATTACAAATTTTTTTTAAATAAGTGGCAAGTGACTTGGTGAACTACAAGGACCCCGAGCCCAGGCACCTGAGCAGAGGCCACCCCGCTCTGAGGAGGCACACACCAGCCCGGCGTACTGCGGGAGCAGCGGCATAAGGCTGCGGTGCAAGATACAGGACCTTCTATGTGGAGAATCGGTTCTTGCCCAGGAATTCCCGCTTGGATTAGATGAGCTGCGATTTGGTGTTTCTAACCCTAAAATTCCTTCCCCAAAGGGCTTCTACTGAGCAGAGACTGAGAATCTTTAAGAGGAACGAAAACCATGTTAACTGGAAGAATTATAAATTAGTGATGGAGAATATTTCAACTCGAAACGAAGTGATTCTCTTTTTCACTTTTACATTGTGATGTGGAGCTAAGTTCGAGCTGCAAATCTTACTGACAATCTCAGCCAAAAGCTTTAAATGGAAGAAACACCATCAGGGCTTCCAAGGCAACAGGAGCTACAGGGCTCCATGGGCCCAGGGAAAATTCCCGAGATGGACTCTGTGGTCTTTTTTTTTGTTGTTGAGGAGGAGGATTAGCCCTGAGCTAACTACTGCCACTCCTCCTCTTTTTGCTGAGGAAGACTGGCCCTGAGCTAACATCCGTGCCCATCTTCCTCTACTTTATACGTGGGACGCCTACCACAGCATGGCTTTTGCCAATCGGTTCCATGTCCGTGCCTGGGATCCGAACCGGCGAACCCTAGGCTGCCAAGAAGCGGAACGCGTGCACTTAACCGCTGAGCCACCGGGCCGGCCCCAGTCTCTGTGGTCTTCAACTGAGCTCACAAATGCTCAGGAAGCACAGGTGGAAAGTTCGACGGTGAGAGTTTCAACTCGTTTCCCACCCAAGGTCATTAACCATCGTCTGATAACTTGCACTTACTTCTTCCGGGATGTCCCACTGGAGCCTGGTGGGGTATGGAATGTTGGGGTTGGTGTCCCCTTTACAGTGTCCATCCTCTGCATAACCCAGCTGAAAGCAGTCAGTGGACATGACATACTGTCGAAAACAACAAGATATACATGTGAAGTCAGAGAGGATTATTACAGTTACTAGCGTTACGTAAAGCGCATTTGACCTCCAAAAGGAGACAAATCCTTATCCTTTATGGAGACAGTATCAAGGCTCAACGACAGTTACCTAGCACCGGGATGTGCTTACAGTATGCACATCCTCTGCACGGCCACCTAACGGGACAGCTCTCATCTCCATTTTAGAGGTGACAAAATGAACGTGGACAGGTTCAACAGCCCGCGGACTGGCAAGGAGCAGAGCTGGGATTGAATCAGAGAGCGTCTGCGGCACAGGAAGCCGACTCCTGGGCCCCCGGCTGCATGCCAGTGCTCTCTGGTGCTCGCCAGTTGAATATTTACATCCAGCCTGCAAGGCGGTAGCTATTATTCCCACATGGATAAACGGGAAAACTGGGCCTCTGAGGGGTGAAGCGGCTGTGCGAGGCCCCTCCTCGGTGAGCCGGGACCCGAGCCCAGGTGTGGATGCTCCTTCTCGCGGGCGGGAAACCTCAGCCCGCTTATTCCACGGGACTGACTGGGCACCGACTCTGGGTCGGCGGCCTTTCTGAGCACCACCGCGACAACAGTGAATAAAACGGACAAGAATTTCGGCCTTGCCTCAAAAAGTGAAACACGGCCATATGACCTAGCGACCTCACTCCCAGGTATGTACTCAAGAGAAACGGAAACACACGTTTATGTAAAACTTGTACACAAATGTTCCTAGAAGCATTATCTATAGTAGTCAAAAAGCAGAAACAACCCAAATGTCCATCAAGTGACGAACAGATAAACAAAAGGCAGTATAATCATATAAGGAATATTACTCAGCCACAAACAAGAAATGAAGCATGGATGACGCTACAACATGGACGAACCTTGAAAACCTTATGCTACATGAAAGAAGCCAGACACAGAAGACCACGTACTGTACGATTCCATTTCTATGACGTGGCCAGATTAGGCAAATGAACAGAGACAGAAAGAAGATCAGTGGTCAGGGGCTGGGGAAAGAGGGCAAAAGGGGGAATGGGGAGTTTCTTTTGGGGGTGATGAAAATGTCCTGGAATTCAATAGCGCTGGTGGTTGCTCAACCACCTTGGGAATACACAAAACCCACTGAATTGTATACTTTCAGAGGGTAAATGTTATGGTATATGAATTGTATCTCAATAATAAAAATAATTTTTAAAAAAGGAATCTTTGGGGCCAGCCTGGTGATGCAATTGTTGAGTTTGTGCATTCCACGTCAGCACCCAGGGTTTTGCAAGTTTGGATCCCGGGCACGGACCTACACACTGCTCATCAAGCCATGCTGAGGCAGCATCCCATATAGAAAATAGAGGAAGATTGGCACAGATGTCACCTCAGCAACAATCTTCCTCAAGTAAAAAGAGGAAGATTGGCAATAGACGTTAGCTCAGGGCCAATCTTCCTCACCACCAAAAAAAAAAAAAAAAAAAGGAATCCTTGTGCTCAAGGAGCTTACATTCCAGTGGGGGAGGCAAAAACAACTCAAAGTCAGATGGTGACACTGTCAGATGGCGAGGGGGGTGGGGACTCCAGGGTGGGGAGCATGGAGGAGGCCACGTACATGTGTGGTTGGGGTCCGTGCTGATTTGAGAGAGTGAAGGAGCCAGCGTACGTGTGTCTGAGCTGCTCTGCATCAGAGTCCCAAGGATCCAATACATAAACACCAGAAATACACTGAGAGCAAACAACCATTGCCTCTGACCTGGTTTGTTTTTAACTGGCCTGGCCTCATAGCACCGGCCTGTTTTCCTCTGGCCTGGGCCTCCAGGACAAGAGAGTGGGTCAATTTCCATCCACGTGGAGAGCATCTGGGCCCCTGTCCGGTCCCTGGAGTCACAGGCCATTCCGTCAGCTGGGTGGTTAACAGTTACCCACCAATTTGAACTGGTCACCCTAGTCTAAGACTAAATTCCTTTTTCCTTATCTTATCCAGATACTTAAAAACAGAAGCTTGACCTCGTCAATACCCAGTAGATTCCTCTACTTGGTAAATTTCCCCTGTGTGGTCCAGCCTGCCCGTGATTCAGCTTCTTCCTCCTGTACCCAGCAACAGCCCTTACGCACTTATTACGCAGAACGTCCTTGGAACAGGGTGTCATGGGCCTGGACGACTATGCCCTGCAAAGAGATCTAAGAGGGTCCAGAGGCTGTGTTCCGAGGTGCCGAAGGCGGTCAGGTCTCTGCTGGATTTTCAGATAAAAGGATCTCTGAGCCTTTGTCGGCATCAGCAAAGACTTAAGGATGGTGAGGAGCCTTTTAGCTACTGGCTGCTTTTATCATATACTAATGTCTGAGGACCACACTGCTGTCTTCAACACTGCAGCACTTTGGTTTTTTCCTTTTTATCCTTTTTCCCACATAGAAAATCTCTGGTGGCCGAAGGAATGGCAGGTTAGGTTTTGCCAAGATCCTAACCAGAGGTAAGACAGTCAAGAGAAGTCAAGGAAAGGCCGGCCCAGTGGCACAGGGGTTAAGTTCGCACGCTCTGCTTCGGCAGCCCGGGGTTTGCCAGTTTGGATCCCAGGTGCGGACATGGCACCGCTTGGCAAGCCATGCTGTGGCAGGCGTCCCACATATAAAGTAGAGGAAGATGGGCACGGATGTTAGCTCAGGGCCAGTCTTCCTCAGCAAAAAGAGGAGGATTGGCAGCAGTTAGCTCAGGGTTAATCTTCCTCAAAAAAAAAAATTCTTATACAGTCAAATACAGCCCCGTGTCACTTAACAGCAGGGATACGCTCTGAGAAGTGCGTCATTAGGCGATTGTGTGCCTGTGCGAACAGCCTGGAGAGACTTACACACACCTAGACGGTACAGCCCACGACACGCCTGTGCTATGTGGTACTGACCTTACGGACCACCGTCTTACATGCACGTGGTCCATCACCGACCAGAACGTCGCTATGCGGCGCATGACGGTACTACAAAGTTAAATTCCTCCTGGGGTTTGGATTTGCAACAGCAACTCCCGCATTCAAGTGGAAGCTGCAAAGACTCACCTCCCAAAGGTGGCCGACGACCGGGGCGTCGGCCCAGGAGTGCTCCGCGTTCATGCCCATTTTGCCGTTTTTGAAAACAATAAATGTGAAGGACTTGTCAAACCACCTACGTGCAAAAAAGACATCTATGGAATTTAAATGTTTAAAAAGACAGAGGTAAACAAAAGCTATATATTTGTTTTATTCCGGATGGGCTCATTTACTTTGCACCCACCCCGCGAACAGCTAGCGGATGTTAATAAATCTCCGTGGAGAGAGGATCAAAGCACACACAGGTCCCGGAGTGATTCATTCTGTCCTCGTTCAGACAGAGGTAAGCATTATGCACTGGAGACTAGAAGAAGAGGATGCACTCTTATAACATAGAAGGATGCAGAAGGCAGCTGAGGAGAGACGGGAGGCTGGATGTGCCCGCACACCCCCCATCTCAGCGATCCTCGTCCCCAACCTGATGGCAGGCAGGACCTCACTTTACAGATAAGGGAAAGGAGGCTCCAGGACGTGGAACAGCCTCATGACAGTCACATGACCAGTGGCCAAAGCCACAGCCCACATCCCGCTCAGGCCCCGCCCATCATGTTTCCCGCCTGGTTCCAGGCACCCAGCAGCCACTCCTCACACCAGCATGTCCAAACGGAGGCAGGTGTGCACAGAGAGGGGCAGAATCTCAACTTTGCTGCTTACATGGGGTGTGTGTGCGTGCATGTGCGTGTGTGCATGTGCATGTGTGTGCATGTGTGTGCATGTGTGCGTTTGTGCGTGTGTGTGCGCGTGTGTGTGTGCGTGAGTTTGGGTGGAGAAGAAGAAAACAGAAGGTTCTATTTCTTTGCTAGCCTTACTCCTGAAGAGTGGAAGGCTGGTTGTCAGCCACACGTCACAGGCAAACTACCATCTTTCGGGCGGGAAGTGCAGTACCTGTCAGAACACCTGCCGTGCAGGAGGGACTTGGCGTAGCTGTCCATGGACGCGTCCGGGTCTTCCTCTCTGTATCCTTGTTCCGTTTCGTCCAGGGTCACGAAGAACGCTGCTTTTTCCACCGCATCAAGAGACTGTTTATTTTTTCCACGCCCAAAATAGGCCTGGCGACACTTGGCCCAGGGTACTCTGCAGTAAGGATTAAATATGGTTAAACCTGCAGCCAGTGGTGACATCTCCTTGCACATGACATTTGAAATGATGTTTTCCACAGTTTTTTAGGACCGTGAGGAAACCACACATTTACGACGTTCTCCACCTGCAGTTATCCAACAGCCTGCAGCTGGACCGCACTGCGGGCCGTGGCCGCATCTCCTCGCATCTCAGGCAGAGCAGAAGGCACAGCATGGAACTTTCTGCAATAAATGCTGAATGAACGATGAGAATGCAGACCGGCCCTGGGAGCTCAGCTGCCGGCAGGCAGCAGACCCCGAGAGAGAGCTCTGCTGCACGTCTTCCGGCCCCACTCCCATCGCACCCCCTTCCAGGGAACCATCCTAAGTTCTGACAGCGGAAGTCACAGCAAGGGCGTGTGGGCACTTCCCCCTGCCAGGGTCTGCTCCGAGACTTTTCATGGCCTAGCTCACTGAGGAACACTACCATTCCCATCTTTCGCACGAGGAAACTGAGGCACAGAGATGAAGTCACAGCTATTTCGTGGCACGCAGGGATTACACCCAAGCCAGCCTGCCCCAAGTCCATGCTACTAAGGACCACATGACATCGCCAGGATGAGGGGCACCCTGAGAGCCAAAGTCAAAGGATTCTTTTCATCCCACCTCACGTGGGACACAGGGAGCTGACACGACATCCACTTCTTGAGAGTCATCCCAGCCAATAGCTCCCGGGCCCCGCTCACTCGGGCCCTCCCCAGGTCCTTTGCCCCGGCCCACCCTTCCAGACCAGGGCCATCTGGCTTCTGTCTCCCTCTTCTCTCCCCGAGCGCTCGGATGAGGCAGCCCATGGTATCAACCAGCCTGTAAACACAATGGGTCCCGACACAAGCTCAGCACCGACCATTCTTATTGGTGCCTGGGAACAATGGTGACAACAGGATGTCTGCTATGCACTCAAGGCTCTGGAAGCCTCAGGAAGGTGACATGCTCGTGTCTACACATGGAGCTCAGGTGGTTGAGATGGGGCGATGCCCCATCGGTGAAGCTGGGAGCTGGGAGATCACGAGCCCCATGGGGCGAGCAGGTCCCCAGGTGCACCTGCTCCTCAGCGGCACCTGTGCCCACCCAGCCCCCACAGGGCCCCGTGGATGCTCTATCAGCTTGCGGGAAGGGACCTCACTGCCCAGGACAGTCCCCACTGTTGTTTCCTCCAGCTGCGTCGATGCCCCAGGGATGTGAACACTCCTGGGCATCTCGGACTGGGTCTCCCCTCCCGCTCACACTGCCCGTTTCCAATCCTCACTGTTTGAGGACCCCCCCAGACCAGAATAACCTTGTAAATCTGCTTCAATCGCCCCAGCCTGAAGTGGTCCCTTTAATGACATCTGGTCTCAGACTCAAGCCCAAATGTATTCTGGCCCCTGGGACCCTCCCCACCTCAGGTGCAGCGTCTCTGACCGACTCCGCAGTTCCCAGCATGCAGTCTGCTCCCTGGAGGCCCCTGCCGCTGGTCGGTCCTCCTGGCTCACTGCCACCTTCTGCGTGCCCTCGCCTGGAGCCTGGGGCATTTTCCTCTTCTCTGCAGAAGGGTCACTCACCACCTTGCTCCCCACGCTGCCCTAACAGCTGCCACGTTGCTGTAACTCAGTCGTTGACTGGGCAAAGTCTGAAGACAGTTTTGCTTGTCACAAATGGGTGGTCACTACTGACACCCAGTGGATAGAGGCCAGGGATGCTGCTGAACACCCTACAATGCACAGGACAGCGTCCTCCACCGAAACAAGGAATTATCCAGCCCCAAATGTATACAGCCAAGGTTGAGAAACTCTGTTCTATTTGCACAAGCCAATTCCTCGAACAAACAAAAGCATCCTCTGAACGATCTTTAGATGAGGCAGGAAATTTATCCCTGACACAGAGGCCTTGGTTTAAACTTGTTCTGTTTCCTAAATTAAATATGCCCAGAGCCCTGTGAGAAAGCCCAGCCCCTTCCATGTGGCGCCCTGGTATCCGTCCACACGCCTGCCTGTCACACACACACATGCCCAGGGTGGCCCACCGGACAGGGGTGGGACCTGCTCCCTTGGAACAAAGCTGAGCCAACAAGGCTCCAGCCCCGCTCCGCTGTCATCGCAGGGCAGGGACACGGGCCTCCCCTCCAGCGGGGGCCCTGGGTAAAGAAGAGAACCGTGGGTGTCCCCATAACCTATGTCACAGAGGAGCTGCATACCTTTCTCCGGCAGTGAGGGCCGCCAGCTTCGCCTCCCCAGCCTGAGGCTCCGACGGGTCGTCCAAAATCCTCTGTATCTGCTGCTCGATTTCCCGGGGCTTCAACAGCCTGCCGTCGTGGTAGAGCCAGACCTTGAAGTAGCGCCCTTTGTGGAACACGACGATGTGCTTGCTGTCCCTTAAGTGCTGGATGGTGTCTGGAGGGGTGCGGGGCGAGACACAAAATCGAGATGCACAAGGTTAGAGGATGGTGAGAAAGGCACCCCCAACTTCTCCCGGCACCACCTCTTCACCCCGCAGCACTCCTCTCGGCTCACGAGTCCATTTCTCAAGAGCCTGGGGAGATGAGCCCAGGAGCAGAGCTGAGAGCTGTGGAATCAGACAGGCCCGACTTCCAAGCTCTGCTTGGCCACTCGCCGGACGTGGCATCTCGGGCCAATGACTTAACCCTACCTAAGGCTCTGTTTTCTCATCTCTACGATGGAGACAGATCTCGTGTCCTTCGTGAGGATGTGTAAGAACTAAAAGACGACAATCGTAAAATGTCTGCTTACACAAAGCAAGCATTCAGACAGCATAGTTACTTTTTATTAATTAATTCCAACGGGCAACTTAGAAAACGTTCTTAGAGAGAAGTGGGAAATCAAAGAAGGAGAGCTCGTAAGCATGCACCCCGGAACCCTCAGCAACAGACTCAGAGGAGTTCTCATCACAACTTCGGAGACAGAAGACGCTGGGCTGACGCATCCAAAGTGTCAAAACACAAGCTGTCCACCAAGAAGCCTCGACCTGGCAAAACCGTCCTTCGAAAGTATGGGAGGAATTAAGACATTCCCAGATAAACAGGAGCTGGAGGAGTTTATGACCCCAGACCCGCCCCCGAAGAAATGCTCAAGGAAATCCTGAGAGGGGAAGCGAAGGAGACCAGACAGCAACTCGAGGCCAGGGCCAGACGCAGAAATGACGAGCTCAGTAAAGGTAAATACACGGGCAATTATGAAAGCTCGTATTATTGTAACAGTAGTTTGTAACTCCACGTCTTGTTTTCTACATAATTTAAGAGACTGATACAATCTTTAAAAGAAACAATCATTCGTCTAAAAGCATTACTGTAACTTTGGTTTGTAATTCTACACTTTGTTTTCTACATAATTTAGGAGACTAATGCATTTAAAAGAATTAGTAGGAGCCAGCCCTGGTGGCCTAGTGGTTAAGTTCAGCACGCTCCACTTCGGTGGCCTGGGTTCGGTTCCTGGGCGTGAATCTACACCACTCATCTGTCAGTGGCCACGCTGTGACAGCAGCTCAGATACGAAAAGACTGGCAGCAAATGTTAGCTCAGAGCAAATCTTCCTCAGCAAAAAAAAAAAAAAGAAAGAAAGAAAGAAAGAAAAAGAAAAAAACAATTTGTATAAAAAAATGAATTATTAGTTTATGATTTGGGGAACACAATGTCTAAAGATGTAATTTTGTGACATTAACAAATGAAGGGTGGGGGCTGGCCCCATGGCCAAGCGGTTAAGTTCTCGCGCTCTGCTTTGGCGGCCCAGGGTTTCACTGGTTCGGATCCTGGGCACAGACATGGCACTGCTCGTCAGGCCACATGGAGGCAGCGTCCCACATGCCACAACTAGAAGGACCCACAGCTAAAAATATACAACTATGTACTGAGGGGCTTTCGGGGAAAAAAAGGAAAAATAAAATCTTTAGGAAAAAAACCCAAAGAAATGAAGGGTGGGGACAGAGCTGTAAAGGATCAGTTTTTGTAGGTTATTGAAAGTAAGCTGGTAAAAATGCAAATTAGTGTTGTAACTTTAGGGATGTTAAAGGTAATCTCCATGGTAACCATAAAGAGAATAGCTATAGAATACACACAAAAGGAAATGAGAAAGGAACTTAAACATTTCACTACAAAAGAATCAACTAAACACAAAAGAAAACTAATGCAGGACATGAGAGACAAAAAAGCTAGAAGGCATGTAGAAAACACATAACGCAATGACAAAAGTTCAGTCTCTCCTTATCAGTAATTTCATTAAAAGTAAACAGATTAAACTGTCCAATCAAAAGACAGAGATTGGCAGAATGGATAAAAACCCACGATCCAACTATATACTGTCTAAAAGAGAGTCACTTCAGATCCAAAGACACAAACAGACTGAAAGCGACAGGATGGAAAAAGATATTCCATGTAAACGGTGATGAAAAGAGAACAGAAGTGGCTATACCAACATCAGAGAGAACAGACTTTAATCAAAAAAGGTTACAAGAGACAAAGAAGGACATTATATATTAATAAGAGCTTCAATACAAGATATAAGAAGTATAAACATTTATGTGCCTAATAACAGACCATCAAAACATCTGATGCAAAAACTGACAAAACTGAAGGGAGAAACAGACAGTTCCACAATAATGTTTGGAGGCTTCCAGAGCCCATTCACAACGGACAGAACAACCAGACAGAAGATAAGTAAGGAAATAGGGGATTTACACAATAAGCCAACTAACAGACATATACAGAACCCTCTACCCAACAACAGAATATGCAGTCTTCTCAAGTGCACGTGGGACGTTTTCCAGGATAGACCACGTGTGAGGCCACAAATTAAGTCTCAACAGATTTAAAAAGACAGATATCATACAAAGTGTCTTCTCTGAACACAACGGGATGACATTAGAAATCAATAATGAGGGGCCAGCCCCGTGGCCAAGTGGTTAAATTCGTGTGCTCTGCTTCGGCGGTTCAAGGTTTTGCCGGTTTGGATCCTGGGCGCGGACATGGCACCGCTCATCGGGCCATGTTGGGACAGCATCCCACATGCCACAACTAGAAGGAGTCACCACTAGAATACGCAACTATGTACTGGGAGGATTTTGGGAGAAAAAGCAAAAAAAAAAAAAAGAAAGAAATCAATAACCAAAGGAAAGCTAGAAAAGGCACAAATTTGTGGAAATTAAACACACTTTTAAAAAACAAGGGATCAAAGAAGAAATCACATGGGAAAAAGAAAATACATAGAGACAAATAAAAACAAAAACACAACATCCCAAAACTTACGGGATTCAGTGAAAGCAGTGCTAAGGGGGAAATTTATAGCTATCAACACTTACATTAAAAAACAAGAAGGATCTCCAATCAACAACCTAACTTTACAACTTACGGAACTAGAAAAAGAAAACAAACTAAATCCAAAGCTAGCAGTAGGAAAGAAAGAATTAAGAGCAGAGATCAATGAAATAGAGAACAGAAAAACAGTAGAGAAAAACTAATACAATCCAAAGTTGTTTCTTCGAAAAGATCAACAAAATTGACAAACCTTTAGCTAGATACACTAAGAGAAAAAGAAAGGAGGCTCAAATGACCAAAATCAGAAATGAAAGTGGGGACATTACTACTGATTCTACAGAAATAAAAAGGATTATAAAAGATAACTATGAACAACTTTACGCCAACAAATTGATAACCTAGATGAAATGGACAAATTTCCAGAAACTCAAAACCTACCAAGATGAAACTATGAAATAGAAAATCTGAATAGACGTATAAACTAGTAGAGATGGAATCAGGATTCAAAAATCTCAACAAAGAGCGCCAGCCCTGATGGCCATGTGGTTAAAGTTCAGCTTGCTCTGCTTCAGCAGCCTGGGTTCAGTTCCCGGGCACAGACCTACACCATGCGTCTGTCAGGAGCCATGCTGTGGTGGTGACTCATAGGAGAGAACCAGAAGAACTTACAACTAGAATATACAACTATGTACTGGGGCTTAGGGAGGGAAAAAGGAAGAAAATAGGAGGAAGACTGGCACAAATGTTAGCTTATAACAAATCTTCCCCTGGGCCCCTCCCCCCCAAAATCTCAACCAAAAGATTCACTGGTGAATTCTACCGAACATTTAAAGGACTAATACCAATTTTCTCAAACTTTTCCCAAAAAATGAAGAGGAGGGAATATTTCCTAACTCATTCTATGAGGCCAGCCTTAGTCTGATGCCAAAGCCAGAAAAAGACACTATAAAAAAAAAGAAAACTACAAACCAATATCTCTTATGAATATGGATACAAAAATACTAGCAAATAGAATTCACCGGCTACTAAAAGTATATACACCGTGACCAAGTGGGATTTATTCCTGGAATGCAAGGAGGGTTCGACATACAAAAATCGATCAGTGTGATACGCCACCATCAACAAAACGAAGGGAAAAACCACATGATCATCTCACTTGATGCAGGAAAAGCATTTGACAAAATTTAACACCCTTTTCAGGATAGAAACACTCAACAAACTAGGAATAGAAGGAAACCTCCTCCACATAATAAAAGCTATCTATGAAAACCAACAGCAAACATCGTACTCAACGGTGAAAGACTGACAGCTTTTCCTCTAAGATCAGGAACAAGACAAGGATGTCCACTTTCACCACTTGTATTAATATAGTGCTGGAAGTTCTAGACAGAGAAGTTAGGAAAGAAAAAGAAATAAAAGGCATCCAAATTGGAACGGAAGAAGTGAAATTCTCTCTGTTCACAGATGATATGATCTTATATGTAGAAGATCCCAAGGGTTACACAAAAAAACTGTTACTGACGTTAGCTCCGGGCAAATCTTCCCCAGCTAAAAACAAAAAAAAAGCTTTGTTTAAAAAAAAAAAAAACCTGTTAGCACTAATAAATGAATTTGGGAAAGTAGCAGGATACAAAATCAACAGGCAAAATCAGTTGTATTTTTATACAGTAACAAATAATATTCTGAAAAGGAAATTACGAAATTTCATTTACAAGAGCATCAAAAAGAAGAAAATACTGAGGAATTAACCAAGGAGGTGAAAGACTTGTACGATGAAAACTACAAAATGTTGGGGAAAGAAATTAAAGAAGACATGAATAAATGGAAACACGGCCCATTTTCATGGGTTGGAAGAGTTAATATTGTTAAAATGTCCATACTACCAGAAGCAATTTACAGATTCACTACAATCCATATCAAAATCCTAATGGTGTTTTTTTTGTGAAAAATAGAAAAACCCATCCTAAAATTCATATGGAAGGTCAAGGGACCCCAAATACTCAGAACAATCTTCAAAAAGAACAAAGATAGAGGACCCACACTTTCTAATTTCAGAACTGTTTGCGGTAATCAAAACAAGTATGGCATTGGCATAAAGACAGACATACAGAACAACAGAAGAGACAAGAGAGTCCAGAAATAAACTCTTGCCTATGTAGTCAAATGATTTTTGAGAGGGCCAAGATACAAGCTTTTAAAGAAATAGTGCTGGGAAAACTGGACAGCCACATGCAAAAGAATGAAGCTGGACCCTAACACCACATATAAAAATTAACTCATAATGGATTAAACACTTAAATATAAGACCTGAAACTATAAAACTTAGAAGAAAACACAGGAAAAACCTTCATGACATTGGATTTTGCAATGATTTCTTGGCTGTGAAACCAAAGGCACAGGCAGCAAAAAGAAAAAACAGACAAAATTGACTTTATGAAAATTAAAAATTTTTGTGCATCAAAAGACACTATTCACAGAATAAAAAGGCAACCCACAGAATGGGAGAAAATATTTGCAGATCACATACCTGATAAGGGATTAATATCCAGAATACACAGAGAACTCCTAAAACTCAACAACAGAAAAACAAACAACTCAATTCAAAAATGGGCAAAGAACTTGAATACACATTTCTACAGAGAAGACATACAAATGACCGATGAGCACATGAAAAGATGCTCAATATCACCAGGCATCAGGGAAATACAAATCAAAACTACAATGAGATACCACTTCACACCCATTAGGATGGCTCCCACCAAAAAAACGGAAAACAAGTGTTGGCAAAGATATGAAGAGATTGGAACCCTGGTGCCCTGTTGGCAGGGCTGTAAAATGGTGCAGCCACTCTGGGAAAAAGTATGGGGGATCCTCAAAAAATTAAAAATAGAATTACCATATGATCCAGCAATTCCACCTCTGGGGTAGACACCCAGAGGAATTGGAAACAGGGTCTCAATGAGATATTTGCACACCCACATTCACAAGCAGCATTATTCCCTATAGCTAAAACCTGGAAGCAAGGAAAGTGTCCTTTGATGGATGAATGGATAAATCAAATGCAGTCTATCCAGACAGCAGAATATTATTCAGCCTTAAAAAGGAAGGAAATTCTGACACCTGCTACAACATGGATGAACCTTGAGGACATTATGCCGAGTGAAATAAGCCGCACACAAAAGGACAAGCATTGTATGAATCCACCTATATGAGGTACTTAGTCAAATTCATAGAGACAGAACACAGAATGGTTGCTGCCAGGAGCTGGGGGAGGGGGCAAGAGGGGAGTTAGTGGTTAATGGGGGTGGAGTTTCAGTGTTACAAGGTGACAAGAGTTTTGGAGGTGGATGTGGTGATGGCTGCACGACATCATGAATGTATTTAATACACAGGACTAGACACTTCAGAATGGTCAACATGGCTGGGGCTGGCCTGGTGGTGCAGTGGTTAAGTGAGCATGTTCCACTTTGGTGGCCCGGGGTCCGCCGGTTCGGATGCTGGGTGCAGACATGGCACTGTTTGGCAAGCCATGCTGTGGGAGGTGTCCCACATATAAAGTAGAGGAAGATGGGCATGGATGTTAGCTCAGGGCCAGTCTTACTCAGCAAAAAAGAGGAGGATCGGCAGCAGATGTTAGCTCAGGGCTAATCTTCCTCAAAAAAAAAAAAAAAAGGTTAACATGGTAAATTTTGTTATGTGTATTTTGCCATAATAAAAAAAAACTGGGGGGGGAAATGCACCCTAGAGAGAAACTTTAAAAAGCTTAAACATCAGAGGAGTATGATTAAGTAAATTCATTCAATGAATATTTATGGAGTCCTCCCTCCTAAGTACTGTTGGGTGTGGGGCACACAATGATGTCTGAATGAGGCAGACACAGGCTGGTGGGAAAGACATCCTACAGACATAATTAATAGTATGATGAGTGTTACAAAGAATAAAAGGCTAATGGAGCCAGCCCAGTGGCACAGTGATTAAGTTTGCATGCTCTGCTTTGGTGGCCCAGGGTTCATGGGTTTGGATCCTGGGTGCAGACCTACACACTGCTCATCAAGCCATGCTGTGGTGGCCTCCCACATACAAAGTAGAGGAAGACGGGCACAGATGTTAGCTCAGGGACAATCTTCCTCAAGCAAAAAGAGGAAGATCGGCAACAGATGTTAGCTCAGGGCCAATCTTCCTCACCAAAAAAAAAAAAAAAAAAAAAAAACCCACTAAGAAACCATAAAACAATGGACCACTCTAGCCTGGAAATGCTGAGAAAGCCATGTGCCACCCACTGAGGACATGCCACTTAGGAAGGAATTGGCCATATGAGGCACAGAACTCATTAATATCCACGTTGCACCTAGTTTTTTCAGATGTTCGGCCAACCTGGAATGGAAGGGAACTTTTTTACCCTGCTGAAGGTTTCTAGCAGAAAACTACACCAAACATGCACTTAAAGCCTTTACTTTACAGTCAGAAATCAGAAAACGCACACGATGACCACCTCTATTCAACATGAACGAGAGACCCTGGCCAGTACGGTAAAATCAGAAAAAAGAAAGAAATAAAGGGCTTGGAAGGAAACTATCAACGTCGTCCTCTGCAGCCATGATCAGCCACAGAGAAATTCCCACCAATCTGAGCGGCTGTTTAAATTAATAAGAATACAGCTGAGTATAAACTCGATTCATGAAACATTTGCATTCCCATGCCTCAGTGCGATGGGCTGAACTGCGCCCCTCCCATTCATATGTTGACGCCCTAACCTCAGAATGTGACTGTATGTGGAGACAGAGTCTTTTAAAGAGGTAATTAAGTTAAAACTAGGTCATTAAGGTGGGCCCCGATCCCATAGGACTGGTCCTCTAAGAGGAGATGAGGACACAGACACACAGAGGGATGACCGTGTGAGGACACAGGGAGGACACGGCGTCTACACGCCAGGGAGAGAGGCCTCAGCGGGAACCAGCCCTGCCCATACCTGGGTCTCAGGCTTCCAGCCTCCAGGACGATGAGGAGATAAATGTCCGTGTAAGCCCCCGGGCTGTGGTGTTTGCTTACAGCAGCCCCAGAAAACTAACAGTCAGTAACCAAAAACTTGAAAATAACCTAAAACCATAAAAACAACAAGGTGCCTTGGAATAACTCCAACTGATGATGCACGAGACCCTTACGAAGAAAAGCTGCACATTTCATTAAAATCATTTTAAAAAATACTGTTAGAGAATGGAGAGAGCCAACTTGACTTCGTTACAAATAGCCAACTGTCCCAATACTGCTGTTTTTTGGCCAACTTATCCATTTTTCATGTGTCTGGGCACAGGTCAATGATCTCCTGCACGTGACAGAGAGGTCTACTTTTTAGCTGGAAACACCCCACACTGTGCGAGCGTGAACATACATGGGGTGAGTTCTCAGAGCGCCTTTGAACGCCGGGCCAGAGGAAAGCGACCAGTCCACTCAGGGAAGCCAGCCAGGGGCCAGGATTTTTGCCCAAGGGCCCCCTGCCCATCATGACAGTGCAGGTTACTGCCTGCGACTCATAGTCCGGAAGGACCGGCTGTGATGACACACCCTAAAAGCTGGATCGGCTCGGAACTCTGTATAGCCAGCTTCCAAAGCAGCATGGGGTTCATGACAAGGGCCTGCTGTGATGTCTCAGACAGGGTCCGGCTGGTCAATCGAGAGTGGCAGGTACTTCCTCCCTACACGGCCGTCCGGATGCTCAGAGACTGCACGGCCTGAGCCCTGCTGGGACGGTCCCAGCGAGCCGCTGTCTCTCCCCTGCCTTCTCGAGGGTGTCCAGCTTGGCCAGATTATGTGGCCACCTTACATTCGGGGGTGGGGGGCAGTGTCCAAGGTCAGGCTGCCATAAGTGAGCTGTTGGACCACAAATCCAGCTTCCCGAGGACAATCCAGCATTCGTTCCCCACTAAACCCCGCAGTGCGCATGCGACCCAGAGCAAAACACCCCTGGGGGATCCAGATGAAGAACTAGAATATTCCTAACCAGACCTGAGTAAACACCCTACAAGACAGCCTTCAACCGAGGAGAAAGTGACTCTGAACAAAGGTCAACCGTCCAGGCCAAAGACGGACCAAGGAGCGTCAACAGAAGGAACGTTCAGGAGCCTGAACTCTCTGACTCTCGGGAGGGGTCAGCACGAGTCAGTGTGGCCTCCTTCGACATCTTCTGATGCTGAGCATTCCCAACGGGCGCCCCGAGGATGCTGCACTCACCTGTCTCCTCCCCTGGGATCCGACAAGTATTGAACATCCGTTCCCACTGCGCCGAGCAGAGCGGAACTGTGGACCCCAAAAGAAGAATCTGGAACAAAAAGATGTTTCAAACAAACAGAAACTCCACAGGGGGGAAAAAAACAGGAGCGACGTAAGACCACACCTTTGAAACGCTAGATTTGTTTTCTGTGCTCGTGGTGGGGCTGGACTTAATCTTTTCCGAACTCCATAAAGGAGAGCTGTTCCCTGAGGACTTGCTGACCCATGCACGCCAGGGCGCAACTTCCCAAATCGTAATTCCTAAATAACGTTCTGCAGTCGGTCACTTATAAGCTGACACTTAAACCAAAGGAGGCTTTAAGAAGGAAATGTCTTGTTTCTTACGAGTAGCGCACCAGCCACATCACTGTCCTTCAAAAGCAAACAGGAGTTTCTTTGAAGGGCAAATCGCAGAACTAAGGTACATGAGACACAGATCCACTTAGGATATACAAGGAGAATTAAATCTCAAAAAAATTACGCTGAGTGAAAGAAGCTAGACCAAAAAAAAAAAAAGTGTATTCTGTACGATTCCGTTTACATAAAGCTTTGGAAAATGCAAACGAATCTACAGTGACAGCAGGTGAGGGGTGAGCCGGCGGTGATGACGGGGGCCAGCAAGGACCAGGAGAGAGTTGGAGAGATCACAAAGGCGCACGAGGGAGCCTTTGGGGGTGATAAAGTGTCTGGTATCTCGATCACGGGGATAGTTTCACAGATATACCTACATATATGTGCCAGAACTTATCAAATCGTACGCTTCCATCCTGTGTGATAGGTCAACGAGACTTCAATAAAGCTGTTTTAAAATATCTTTTTTTAAAAAAGCACTTTGTTCACATACTGGCTTGATTTCCTCCCGGTCCAGCTTGTGTCTGTAGAGCAGGATGGCGTGGATCCCGTTGCCTGCTCTGGCTGCCTGCAGGTGAGTCGGTATGACGTACAGCAAATCCTGAAAACGGAAAACCCATGTCAGCAGAGAGAGCGTCCCCCGGGGAAAGCCAAGCCAACTGAAACACCGCACAGAGCGCTTCCACACTATTAAAATGGTTCCACGCGTCTGCTACATTACACCTGCTCCCAGAAAGGAGGTTGTAATTTCATTTCCTACACTTTGTCAGTTTTATTTGGTTCCCATCTTATAAGAACATAAGCCCCCAAGTAAATTCTGGGGCTAGTAAAGGTAATGGTATATTTTAAAATTAAATTTTCAATAAATATAATTCAAATTTTTAAAAAGATAACAGTATTTTGCCCCACGTATCCTCATAGAAAGCATTAAAAGAAAAGCAGAAATAAAAGGGAACAATTAGATAACTAGGAAGTTTCCTGAAGGAGATTTAACCAAAGGTTAAAATAAGCTTTTCTGTAGAGTAGTGCTTGCAACTTTCTAAATCTTGAGACCCATTTGTAAATGCCTCGATTTTCCCCGATTGGAGGAAAAGGCCGAGGGGCCCGGATCTGAACCACATTTTGAGAGCACCTATGTGCACAGCACGCCCCCAGTGATGTGGGAAAGTGCCTTGGCCGGTGGGAAACAAACACCAGTTTCCAGGAACAAGAGGGCACCAGGCGGACGGCTCAGTCTCAGAAAAGAAGTTCCATGTTCCGTCCCAACCATTTTTTGTCTAAGTTTGAGATCGTTTCCGATGGAAAAGAAAGTTAAGAGAAAAATTTTAAAAGGAGAAGGACGGAAAGAAAAAGCAAACGATAAATAAAGAGAAAAAAAAAGGAAAAGAGGGAAAAACAGAAGGAAATGAAGAACAGAAAGAAAGAGAAAGAAAGAACTAGATTTGCCAGTTATTAAAGTTACTAAACACTGGTTATTAGAACCCAAATTGAGAGGCTTCTAATAAAACAATGGTGTATACTCTCCCAGACCATCGATGTCTAGAAAGAGACATGAAAACAACATGATATGCAACCCCCGGTGTCCTAGGGTGTAGAAGGACCAAGCTCTGTGTCGGCCGGGGGCAAACTCTCAGCCGATCCTGTCACAGAGAGGAATTCCTGTTGGCCAAGAGAGTCCGTCTGCCATCCAAATTTCTCCGCAGTAGCTCAGTGCCCTTGAGCTATTTTGCAAACACAAAAGGCATCCACAGTGTTCTCTGGCCTGGAAAGCAGGTCCTGGGCTCCCTGATGGACAGGAAGGCAGGACCAGGAGGAACAGGGGTCAAGCCCTCAAGCTTTCCCAGGCAGCCCACGGTGCCAGGAAGTCGCCTCCCCGGCCGCTGGGTCTCCACCCGTTGTGGCGTTGTGGCGCCGGCCTGGGGCACTCACCATGGCGTAGTAGTTGCTGTTCACCATCAGAGGCCCCCGGCCGCGGAGGTAGACGTACTCTTCCCACCAGTCACTCACCTGTCGGGGGCAAAGAGGAGAGACCAACCGACAAGCTCGACGGGAGCAACCCAGGTCGCCAGGGCCCCAGGCGGAGCGCCGAGGGCTTTCTGTCCCGCCTGCCTGGCATCATGTCCCTCTCTCAGGGCCATTCCCAGAAAGGCAGCCCTAACTAAGTGGACCGCAACAAAGCGAGAAATCAAAAGTGGTTTTTTTTTCTCTAGGTTATGACATAGCTAGAAGGTAGATCACCTTTATTTTACACACAGTTAAAAAGAAAAGACCAAGTGGAAAATAGGTGATCAATGTTTGCTAACATTTCATAACAGTCAACGCTATCTAAAATGGCGCTGCAGACTCTTTCTCGTCTTCCCGCATCCCGGGGCTCCCCACAGCAGCCGCGGTCTCAATCCTGTTCGGTTCCCTTTCAGAGCCACCGCACTAACACGGGCCCAGGTGCATTGTCTTCACCGCCCCCGCCCCCACCCCAGGGCCACGTCCCAGTATCCCAAGATGGCCAGCGGTCACAACCACACCCACAAGCTTCTGGCTCGGTCACATCCTTCTGGAGCGAGGGACCACTTTTTTTCCTACTTTGTGTTAAAGGGTATACACACACAGAATGGTGCGCACGTGAGAGTCTGAGGGAATGTGTGCAAATGTTCAAGAATTCAACACACCTGTGTAACCAGCCCCTAATCCAGAGCAGCACGTGACCCCCAGCCTCTCAGGCTCCCTCCCTCCACTGACTGCCCACCAATCACCTCTAGCCTCATCCATCAGTCTTGCCTGCCCCTATTTAACACCTTCTCTCCCACACCAGCTAGTCCCTCAAAACCAGACTCCCCGCCTCGTTTCACGCGCCAAACGTCTCCTCTTGCCGCCAGGCAGAGGGACGCTCAGCTGGTTCGTGGAATGATTTAGTAGTATTATCACACAAAAAAATCCCACCAAGAAAAACAGCGTGCGTAGAGACTCACGTAATTCGTAGCCCACCAGGATTTCAGCTTCAAATACCACTGTAACCTCGGTCCGAGATTGACAGCAAAATCCTGGGCGAGGGCCGTCATCCGCTTGAAGTCCTCATCCTTCATCAGAGGCCTCACCGATTCCAGATACTGGAAGAAACACAAGCCGGGCTAAAGCACACGTGGGCCTGAGAACAGATCTAAACCCACGGCAGAGATTTTCAAATCCTCCCCAAGCCGGTTTCGCCAATCTTCAAGCAAGTTAGCTCGCTCAAGCGAGAAATGATGTTTTAGCGTCATGATCATGAATTAAACTTTTTCAGGCTTTACTGGCACACAGGCTCCCCAGATCCTGCACCAGCACAAAAGCGTCAAAGTGAACCTCAGGGCTGACAAGACGGGCGGACACCCAGGCCCCAGGCATCTCCCGGGAAGAGCCGTGGGCCTCCCACCTCCCTCCTCTCTGCACCGCCTGTTTCACAGGCAAGGGCACAGAGATGGGAGAAACTGGAAAAGGCCAAGCGAGACTAAGTAACTAAGCCCCGACTCAAAAGCCAAGAGGTCCCCCAGTTACTACACAGTTTTGAAAACGGGGCCCTCGGACGTGGAGAAATCGGAGCCCTCCCACACCACGGGGAGGAATGCGAAACGGTGCAGCTGCTGTGGACGCCAGGCTGGTAGTGACGACAAAGTTCTAGAAGGACTTGGTGGTGGTGGTTGCACAACGCTGGGAACGTACTTAATGGCACAGAATTGTACACGTGAAAATGGTCGATTTTACGTTATGCATATTTTAACGATATACAAAAAAAGAAATGGAGTGGCTCCCGCCCTTGCAGAGCGGTTCTGAGGGGTGAATGATGGCTGTGGTTGTTGTCACGACAGGTCTTACAGGGGATCCACGCTCTGCTCCACGCCTTGCCCCACGGGGCCCCAGAGACAGCAGCTGAGGGGCACTCAAAGGCTGTGGAGTGATCCTCTTAAACATTCGGGGGGGGGCCCCGTGGCATAGTGGTTAAGTTCACACTCTCCAATTCAGCGGCCAGGGGTTCTCGGGTTAGGATCCCGGGTGCAGACCTACACACTGCTTGTCACACCATGCTGTGGCAGGCGTCCCACATATAAAGTAGAGGAAGATGGGCACGGATGTCAGCTCAGGGCCAGTCTTACTCAGCAAAAAAGAGGAGGATCAGCATCAGATATTAGTTCAGGGCTAATCTTCCTCAAAAAAAAAAATAAATAAAATAAATAAAAAACATCTAAGATGTGCTGATACATTGGGGAAAAAAAGATCTCATGTAACAGGCCTACCAGGTGCACTCCCGAGGGCTAAGACAGCCAACGACGGCAAATTCACGGACGGCCATCCTCAGGTCCTAGACCTCAAGCCCCAGGACGCAGCACTGCAGAGAGCGGCTCCACCTACCCTGTTCACGGTGTCTTTCACGGCCGGGACCGGCAGGCGCGGCAGGGACGTCTGGAAGCTGTACAACATGGGTTTTCGGCCAGAAAAGATCTTGACCATACACTTGGGGGAGGAAAAAAAAAAAAAAGGTACGTTTTAAAAGCTGAGACTACGTTAAAGATCCGACAGCAGTTCTCAAGCGTAGACAAGCCGTCGACTGTTTCCTGATTTTCCGTGGTGTATTTTTCCTCCAGTCCGCTTTGCGCCCCTACCCTCGCAGGCCTCAGTAAATCTGCAGGTAATGCCCCCCAAAACAACCAGGCCGAATGATTGAAAAAAAGCCTGGGGGTGGCAGATGCTTCCAGATGTCCCGCCCCATCCAGGAGGTGCCGCTCCGCGGGCACCACGATTCTGCAGTCTGACTTCGGCTTCTGCATGGGGGCAAGTTTCCCCCACGTCCTCCTGTGAGGCCCCTGGTTTCGGGATTGGCTGGAAGCTCTGGCAACAGTGAGGAGGGGCTGAGTGGAGGCACCTGGACCTCGAGCCACCCCAGGGGAAGCAGTGTGGCCCCCTCCATCACTGTCAAACCTCGTGGACAGCACGCACCTCCCTTCTATCGGCCCTTGATTTAGGCTGGAATGATCTAACCCTGGTGTAACGGGTCATCTCATGCTGACCAGACCATAAGTGATTTTCTAGGGCTCATGGTGTGGGAGGGGTTGTTCTTGATGCTGAAGGGCGTTGGCACTCAAAGGGACATTGGCCATGAATGCCATCCTAGGGGAACGCCGCTTAACCCGTCTGGTGAAGCGAGGGGAAGCCATCTCTGATCCGCTCTGGGCATTAAATTCTGCTTCTCTGGAACTCAGAAAAGGTAACACCAGCACCAGCAGGAAGTCACTTTGGGAAAGAGGGAAGTGCAGGAGTGTGGGGCCGGCACCACCGTGGCTCCCAGGCTTCACTCAGGGGCAAGGCCCCAGAGGCGGCGTCCAGCCCACGGACGGAGCCGTCCTTCGGTGAAATCGGGACAAGCATCCATGCACATGGCAAATATGTGACACTCGGGCAAAGGGCCGAGGCGAGCTACTGGAACATGCCGGAAGCTAAGGCCGAGTCAGGGAGTCGGGGTCAGACTGGTCAGCTAGGGAAACCTCTTAACGCCCAACTACAAGCCGGACGGAAAAGCTCCAAAAAGTGGACGGACGGGATTTTTATTCAGTGGATGATCTGGATGACAAACCTAGCAGACATTAGTTGAAATGTTCAGAACTCACAAACATCATTAAAGAAAAACACCCTTTGACCTAAACTTATGAGTCATGGTGAATCAGACCTCTCCAGCACTTAGAGGTCAACACCCAAGTCACCAACCAAGTGTCCCGAGGAAAGGTCCCAGGAGGACACCACTTTCAAAAGTAAAAGCCCTCGGGGTTGGCCCGGTGGCGCAGCGGTTAAGTGTGTACGTTCCGCTTCTCAGCGGCCTGGGGTTCGCCGGTTCGGCTCCCGGATGCGGACACGGCACCGCTTGTCAAGCCATGCTGTGGCAGGCGTCCCACATATAAAATAGAGGAAGATGGGCACGGGTGTTAGCTCAGGGCCAGTCTTCCTCAGCAAAAAGAGGAGCACTGGCAGCAGATGTTAGCTCAGGGCTAATCTTCCTCAAAAAAAAAAACGTAAAAGCCGTCCACACGAGACACTAGGCTAAGTGAGATGAGCCAGGCCCAGGACAAACACTGCCTGACCGTGCTGATCTGTGGAACCTAAAGGAGTCAGAGAATCTCGGACACAGTGAGTAGAATGATGGGTGCCAGGAGGCAGGAGAAATGGAGATGCATTGGTTAAAACGTACAAAATTTCAGTGACACGAAATAAATAAGTTCCAGGGATCCACTGTACCACACAGGGCCTGCGACTAACAATACAGTATCATATACTTAAAAATATGCAGGGGCCGGCCCCGTGGCCAAGTGGTTAAGTTCATGCGCTCCACTTCGGCGGCCCAGGGTTTCGCTGGTTCGGATCTTGGGCGTGGACCTGGCACCGCTCATCAGGCCACACTGAGGTGGCGTCCCACATGCCACAACTAGAAGGACCTACAACTAGAATATACAACTACGTACTGGGGGGCTTTGGGGAGAAGAAGAAGAGAAAAAAAAGATCGGCAACAGATGTTAGCTCTGATGTCAATATTTAAAAAAAATAAAAAATTAAAATCAGGGGCTGGCCCTGTGGCCAAGTGGTTAAGTTCACGCGCTCCACTTCAGTGGCCCAGGGTTTCGCTGGTTCGAATCCTGGGTGCAGACATGGTACAGCTCGTCAAGGCACGCTGAGACAGTGTCCCATATGCCACAACTGGAAGGACCCACAACTAAAAATGCACAACTATGTACCGGGAGGCTTTGAGGAGAAAAAGGAAAAATAAAATCTTTAAAAAAAAAAATTAAAATTAAATTTAAATTAAAAAGAAAAAAGTCTGCTAAGAGGGGGCCAGCCCAGTCGCATAGCGGTTAAGTGCACACGCTCAGCTTCAGCAGCCAGGGGTTCACAGGTTTGGATCCCAGCTATCGACCTATGCACTGCTCATCAAGCCATGCTGTGGTGGCACCCTACATACAAAAATAGAGGAAGATGGGTACGGACGTTAGCTCAGGGCCAATCTTCCTCACACACACACACAAAATTTGCTAAGAGGGGAGATCTCATGTTTAGCGCTCTTACCACAAAAGGAAAAAAAACAGTGGGGCACGAGGAAACTCTGGGAGGAGATGCACACGTTTGTGGCAGCGACGGTGGTGACAGCTTCACAGCTGTCGACTGACCCCCAAACACATCAGGCGTACACGTGAAATAGGTACGACTTTTTGTATGTCAAGCCCATCTCGATAAAGCGGTTAAGAAACCCCACAGCAGCTCCCCACAGAGAGGGGAGATCAATTACCATCCAGATTCTGGTGGCGCGACTCATCTTGCCGTGCTCCGCAAACATCCAGCCGTGGTAGGACAGCAGCACCTTCAGGGAGTAGCGCATGGTGATGATGAGGGCCACCCACAGGCCTGTGCCAAAGAGGACGCCGCTGACGATGTTCTTCGTCTGGCTGGACATGTAGCCACTACCGAGACAGGACAAAACGCGGGTACGTTAGCGTGCGAAAAAGACGTGGGCCGCGGCTCCGGGAGACACCGCATCGGCCTGCCGTGGACACAAAGGGGACCGCAGGCCCCGATCAGAGTTGGGTCTAATCAAAGCGAGGACATTCATATTAGTCCAACTCTCAAAAGACTCCGGCACTTTTCTTCTTGCCTCCAGAAGAACCAGCCCCTCCTGTGTCGGTGGTACTCGAAACAAGCCAAGGCTGACTTGTGTGATCAGGAAAAACGCACCAGTGCCTCGAGGGTCTAGGGACGACCACAACAGAGGGGACTCTGTGAGGCTGTGGCCCGGCCCCGAGGATAACGAGCCTCAGATCGACCTGCTGGCATCTGCTTGGCTGGCCGCTCGCAGCCAGTCTGTGCTATTCCCTTCCTGCTCCTTGTGGGTTTTTATTTTCAAACATACCTGTGGATTTCACTATTACTCATAAGAAACTTGGATCCCTTGGCAAAACCATGACCTCAACTATTTATATCGAAAAGAGCTCTAGGCAGGAATATTTATCACAAATAAAGGAAGAAACTGATCGTGTAAAATGAGCATTTATTTTTACTTATTTATTTTTTTAAAGATTGGCACCTGAGCTAACATCTGTTGCCAATCTTCTTCTTTTTTTCTTATTCTCCCCAAAGCCCCCCACTACATAATTGTATATTCTAGCCGTGGGTCCTTCTGGCTGTGCTATGTGGGACGCCGTCTCAGCGTGGCCTGATGAGCGGTGCCATGCCTGTGCCCAGGATCCGAACCAGCGAAACCCTGGGCCGCCGAAGTGGAGGGCATGAACTTAACCACTCAGCCACGGGGCCGGCCCCTAAAATGACCATTTAAATAATAAACTTAGACAGAGAAAATGTTTTCATTTGCTAAGGAAAGTAATATATTTTATGGTAAAGATAGGACTTGAAAAATGAGGAAATGTAGTTCTTCATACGTCTTTGTGGTTTTAGATGTTCTCGAAACCATCAAATATTTAAAAATAAAACAATTTAAATAACAAATGTCGGTGAGGATGTGGAGAAAAGGGAACGCTTGTGCACTGTTGGTGGCAATGTAAATTGGGGCAGCCACTACGGGAAACGGGATGGAGGTTCCTCAAAAAATTAAGAATAGAACTACCATATGATCCAGCAATTTCACTGCTGGCGTTCATCTGAAGGAAATGAAATCACTGTCTCAGAAAGACATCTGCGTCCCCATGTTCACTGCAGCGTCATTCACAACAGCCAGGACATGGAAACAACCTAAGTGCCCATCGACAATGAGTGGATAAAGAAGATGTGGTATGTATATACAATGGAATATTATTCAGCCACAAAAAAGAAGGAAATCCTGCCATCTGCAAAACACGGATGGACCCCGAGGGCATTATACCAAGTGAACTAAGTGAGAGAAAGAAAGGCAAATACTGCATTATCACACTTATATGTGAAATCTAAAAAAAAAAAAAACCTGAATTCATAGACATAGAGAACAGACTGGGTGTTGCCAGAGGCTAGGGGGGAGGGGGATGGGTGAAATGGGGGATGTTGGTCAAAAAGTACAAACTTGCAGTTATAAGATAAATAAGTCCTTAAAAAAGATAAATAAGTCCTAAGGATGTAATGGTAACTATACTTAACTGCATATATGTGTATATATATATGTATATGAAATTTTTTTTTTTTTGGTGAGGAAGATTTGCTCTGAGCTAACATCTCTTGCCCATCTTCCTCCATTCTTTTTTTCTTGAGGAAGATTAGCCCTGAGCTAACATCTGTGCCGATCTTCCTCTGCTGTTTTGTATGTGGGTCACTGCCACAGCATGGCTTGACAAGTGGTGTAGGTCTGAGCCCAGGATCCAAACCTACAAACCTGGGCCACTGAAGTGGAGCGTGCCGGACTTAACCACTATGCCATGGGGCCAGCCCCTGTATTGTATATTTTTGAAAACTGCTAAGAGAGTAGATCTTAAAAGTTCTCATCACGAGAAGAAAAAATTTGTAACTATATGTGTTGATAGATTTTTTTTTTTAAGATTTTATTTTTCCTTTTTCTCCCCAAAGCCCCCCGGTACGTAGGTGTGTACTTTAGTTGTAGGTGCTTCCGGTTGTGGCATGTGGGATGCCGCCTCAGCGTGGCTTGATGAGTGGTGACGTGTCCTCACCCAGGATCCAAACTGGAGAAACCCTGGGCTGCCAAAGCGGAGCACACGAACTTAACCACTTGGCCACAGGGCCGGCCCCGATGTGTTTATAGATTTTAATTAAACTTGTGGAAATCATTCTGTAATACACACATGTATCAAATCATTATATTGCATATCTAAAGCCAATAAAATGTTATATGTCAAATATATCTCATTTAAAAAAGTAAAAAAAAGGAGTAGGCCCAGTGGCACAGCAGGTAATCTAGAATGTTCTGCTTCAGCAGCCCAGGGTTCACTGGTTCAGATCCTGGCATGGACCTTCACACCGCTGATCAAGCCAGGATGTGGCAGGCATCCCACATATAAAATGGAGGTGGATGGGCATGGATGCTAGTTCAGGGCCAATCTACCTCAGCCAAAAAAAAAAAAAAAAAAGAGGAGGATTGGCAGCAGATGTTAGCTCAGGGCTAATCTTCCTCAAAAAAACTAAAAAACAATTTTTGTGTGTGCTTCATATTATTAAAACAACCAATATAGCCCTAATATAACCTAAAACAACCAATATAGCCCTAATACAACCCTAAAGGTATCGCCAGTATTTGGAAACCACCAATTTAACACCTTATAAAACTTAAGTTGGGGCCGGCCCCGTGGCCGAGTGGTTAAGTTCACACGCTCTGCTTCAGCAGCCCAGGGTTTCGCAGGTTCAGATCCTGGGCGCGGACATGGCACCGCTCATCAAGCCACGCTGAGGCGGCATCCCACATGCCACAACTAGAAGGAGCCACAACTAAAAATATACAACTATGTACTGAGGGGCATTGGGGAGAAGAAGGGGGAAAAAAACATTGGTAACAGATGTTAGCTCAGGTGCCAATCTTTAAAAAGAAAACAAAAAACTTAAGTAACATAGAAACAAATATCTTCAAGCTAAAATACTCTTGCTTCAAAACTCCTATCCTTCTATAGCGTGTCAAATCTTGCGGTCCAGTTTCCCTGTCGTCTCTACTTTAAACCTATGCGGTCTTTTCTGAGGGTGTCATCTACAGGCAAGCTTGGGTTCAGGAATCTAAGAACCTACCTTTCAGATGGTCTACACTTGAGATTTCTAAGCACTGCATCACTAAAGGAAAAGACACACACATTTACTCGATTCACAAAAACCAAACAGCATCTTAATGTCCACAGATAAATGACACGCCCAGGACTTTTTATATCTAGACACACAGGCACTTTCATAACAGGCGCTCGCAGGAAGCTTTCTATTAACGAACAGCTTCCTCCGAGGCTGCAGGGGAGGGAAAAAGACACAGCGAACCCCACACGGCCCCGGACACCTGCCCTTGTGAAAGCAGCGGCCGAGAGATGTCGGGGATCCTCTCCAGGAAGACAGTTCCAGAACGGCCCCTGAGCCTGGAAACACTGGTGCTTAATTAACCTGGTTTTTCTAAATTTGGGCCGGGGATGGCCCAGTTACCACAATTGGTTTAGAGGGACAAAGAAACAAATCTTATAAAGACCCAGATTATAAAGGGCTTTAAATAGCCAGGACTTCTAAATATAATCCAGCGTTAGGAGACGGCCCACACTGGAGAGCCAATTAAAAACCAGTGTTAAACCCACAACCGTCTGAAAAGCACGCAGGAACAGCACGACAGGGCGTGCAGAGGTGAGCTGTCTGCGCAGGGGGTAGGCCTGGGGTTCCTCGGGAACCAATGGACCAGAGGAGAGAGGCTCTGGCAGGAGTGACAAGAGTGACAGGGACCCTGCCCCAGCCTCCCCGGCCAAGGAACCTGGCAGGCCTCCCGTGCAGGCAGGCTTCCACCAACTCGACAGGACACTTGTCTCCTGTCCTTGCAGACACTGACAAAGGCGTCACCCAGCCTTCGAGAGGCAGCTGGAGGCTGTGTCCCGTGTGTCCCGGGGGCTTCCTGAAGTGTTCACAAGGCAGGGACTCCCGCTCAAAGCCACATCAAAAAATCCACACCTTTAAGTTAAAACTGCTCAATCATTTCTTTAGGGTCATCAGAATCAAACTCAGTGGCGAGCCATAAGTTCTCATTCATGTCACACTCTGCCAGTTTATCCTCCTATTCCTTTCTTTTTCTTTTTGTTTTTTTTTTTTTTTTGAGGAAGATTAGCACTCAGCGAACATCTGCTGCCAATCCTCCTCTTTTTGCTGAGGAAGACTGGCCCTGAGCTAACATCCGTGCCCATCTTCCTCTACTTTATATGTGGGACGCCTCCCACAGCGTAGTTTGCCAAGTGGTGCCGTGTCCGCACCCGGGATCTGAACTGGCGAACCCCAGGCCGCCAAAGCGGAACATGCACACTTAACTGCTGTGCCACCGGGCCGGCCCCTTCCTCCTGCTCCTTTCTGAAGGAACTATATTGAATCCAACGACCAGCAGCTGCTAGCTCTTGGAAAGGCCCAAACGTTCCCTGGTGTTGCTTAGGCCAGACCCCAGCACCACAGATACAGCCCGGGAAACGTGGGGACACACCTGGGCTGCCATCTCGTCCCCCAAGGGCCCCCACCTTCCACACGCAACGCCTGCCCCAAGAAACAAAGCCCCATTATGGGACGAGGACTTGGGCGCCACTATTTCTCCAGTAAGAGACCTAAATTGATCACCAATGTAAACAAGCAACATGGAAATAGGATGGAAGGTCTGGCACCGGGCAGCCACGGGGGCATCAGAGGAACTGGGAGCTTTCTTAGCAAAAAATAAAAATGTGTACTCCAAAGCAAGGGCCACGGGCATGAACAGGGTAGCAGAGCCGGCCCAGGTCCCACCGTCTGGCCATCCGTGGCTAAGGCAGCGATGCTTGTCTGTCTGGCAGGAAGGTGCCCTGAGGGGGGCTCAGGGCACTTGGCGGGAAGCACACATGTCAGAGGTGTGCAGAGTGGGGTTTGAACTCCAGCCTCCCACCTCCTCTCTCTGTGACCCTGGGCAAGCATCTGCATTTCTGAATGTCTCCCCTTCACAACAGAGACCTCAGTGAGAGAGGTCACCACGGCGCAGGGTCCCACCCGCAGGAGATTCTGCGTGGGGGTCAGGGCCACCCCTGGGCCTGGAGGGAAGCAAGGACATAAGAGGGGTCCCATCAATGTCCTCTAGGGCACGTCCAACCTTTCGGTATTCATACCTTTAGAGAAAAGCATCAACCCAAAGGCTCCTCGGGGCCAAATCTCACGGTAGGAAGAAAGCTGCCTTTCAAGCTCCTAGAAAAAAATCTAAAACTCCCAGGAGAGGGTATTGGGGTTCACCCCGGGGTTCTAAGCCACTCCAACGGGGAACCAAGGGCTGAGGTCTCCCCAGAGCGCCCCACAGCAGTCAGCTCTCAGGGCCACAGAAGCCCAGGAGGGACTCCAGTGCAAGGAAGTGACTGTGTCCACAACCAGCTCCTGGAGCCAAAATTCCTTTAGAGGACGCCACCTGCCAGGCTAAGCGCACCCTGCCTGGCCACCGCCTCGGGCCCCGACACGGTCCAGCGGGTAGCCCTGGACCAACGTGCCTCTTCTCACCCCTGGTCTTCAGAGAAAGGGCCACAAGGGACCACAAACTTTCCAGGGGGACCTTAACACCAGCCCAGGACCTGACATGGTAACAAGAGCAAAGCTTCAGACAGAATCCAGACCAGTAATGGTCGCTATATTGGAAAAGACATAAAAATATCAGCAACCACAAAAAATCAATAACTTCCTAGAACACTTGAGATTTGAAAGGGTTACTTACGTCGTGTCAAGGGTCCGATTGATCTTTGCGATGATGCCCAAGGAGGGGTCGATCTTGGCGTACATGGTTGACATCACACCCACCACCACGATGAGCCAACTGGAAGGACTCGCTGGGTACACGCCAGTGATGACGCCATTCTAAAAACAGACAGGCGTCGTGAGCAAGGTCCCTCCCACAAAACCCCACGGCCCCTGGCAATGGGGACCAGTGAGATGTCAGGCAGTGGGTGGGAGATGTTTCCAGCACGTGGGTGGCTAAGCCACCTGACCCCGCGGTCACTACTGGAAATCTCTCCCAGAGCCTCCACCTCGAAACTGCTCCAACTTGTGTGTCCAGTTCCTTCCCTTCCTCTCCTCGAGCCAAAACCCTCCTAAAACAGTTTCCCTGAGAGTGACCCCAGGACATTAGAATCACCCAAGGCACCAGTTTTACAGATTCCGGAACTCCACCCAGACTGCCTCACCACACCCTCGGGCTAAGGAAACCCTGCAGGTTAAGGACGTCACTGAGCCAACCGTGCCGTCCTCCCCCACAACCTGCTACGCCTAGGATGCCCCAGACCCCAGCTCCAAAGCCACGCCTCTTGCCACTCTAGAATCACGATGCTGCTGAACCTCAAAGGATTAACAGGAGACCTCACTCCGTGTCGAGAATCTGCTGTAAGATACTTCAGCCAAAACCCTCCACGCACCCTTAAAAAAAAAAAAAAAAAAAAGTAGCAGGAGCCGAGGAGGAAGAATATGAAAACAAACGCAAAACACTGATGGCTGTGGAAACCAGGAGGCAAGTGGGACAGCACCGGATTCTCTTTTACTTTTGTGTATATTTCGAAATTTCCAATTAAAGAAAAATTCTTACTAAAGCCATCTTTTTTTTTTTTTTTTTGAGGAAGATTAGCCCTGAGCTAACATCTGCCGCCAATCCTCCTCTTTTTGCTGAGGAAGACTGGCCCTGAGCTAACATCCATGCCCATCTTCCTCTACTTTAGATGTGGGATGCCTGCCACAGCATGGCTTGCCAAGCTGTGCCATGTCCGTACCCGGGATGTGAACCAGTGAACCCCAGGCCACCGAAGCAGAACAGGGGCACTTAACCCACTGGGCCACCGGGCCGGCCCCTAAAACCATCTTAATAAGAGATTGATTGAAATGAAAATGGAGGGAGGAAGGTTCTAGAGGAAATGTCCCGGCTCACCACGTCCCCGCGCCCCTCCCCGCATCAGCAGCAGCGCTGACAGCCCTGCCGGCCCCTCCTCCCTCCGAGCACGAGATGGTCCTCTCCTGAGCCATTGGTTGGCACGGCCACATCCTGTTCACTGTACGTTTTCATGTCTGTTAGTCTTGCTGCCTCGATTGTACTAAAAGGTCTTTAAAATCAGAGAACAGCATTTCCACTGGGTTGAAAAGACGGCCACACCTCTGCGCCCAAGTTTCTATTTTCCTGATTTGAAGGTAAAAAGGAGGCGCTCCCAGCAAGGCCAGGCGGGCGAACTTTCCTTCCCCTGTGGGTGGTGCCCTCCTCCGCTTTGGGTGGACCACGCCAGCCGGTGCAGGGACAAGCGACACGGGATGTGACCCAGAGCCCACTGGCAGAGCCCAGCGACACCTGTCCAGCCAGGCCGGCTGCCAGGGGCCCGCCCACCTTCCCATTGTCCCCGCTGTCACCCGCTCCAGCTCCCGGGCCTTTCTCAACAGCCCTCACCTGCGCCACCCTCGGAAAAGGAAAACGAGAAGAAACGGACAAGGTGGTCTGGGTCAACCCGGGGAACGGGGAGGGAGCACCTTTGACCGGAGGTACTTTCATCCTGTTCGAACGTTTTTAAACAGGCATTCATTTACTCCTTCTGTGATTTTTAAAATAAATTAAAAACAAGGCAGGTGCTTAAAAACAGTGACTGCCTTCCCGCTCGTTCAGGTGAACCGAATTGAGAACATGCAAAGTTAAGTGTGTCTGAATGGACGTGCCGATTTTTGTGATGTTTGATGATTTTATCAGCGAGATGCCTGTTAGACTCGCTGCGGTTTCACACGGCTGGAAAACAATCCTCTTCCTACAATGGGTAAAGGGTTCTGGACGCGGAGCAGGAGATGGGAATTCTAGTCTTTCCTCGGCTTCTCCCGAGCAGGTGACCTGCCTTCTGTGGGCCTGGATTACTCACCTGTCCTGCAGGTACGGACTCCTCCTACCTGCCTTACAGAGTTTCTTCAAGAACTCAGCAACCCAGTGTACGTGAGAGGCCGTCAGCCTTAGAGCACCTCGGAAACACAAATTAAGTGCCAAGGACACTGAAATGCTTGTCCTCCCACTGCACCTCGACAACGAGGCTCGGACGGTCAAGCGAATACCGGACGGATTTAAGCGAGTCGCTGCAAACCTTGAATCGGATGAACTTCTTCTTCCAGGAATGAAGTCCGGACAGGTAGATCTGCTTCAGGGCCTCGTGGCTCAGCCGCAGGTCGATCCCGTCCGGGGTGACCGTGAACTGGAAGGCGACGGCTTGGTGAGCCTCTGCCATCTTTAGGGATCTCCTGGGAAGAAGTAGGGAGAAGGTGACACAGTGTAGCATTTTACAGGCTATGAGAAAACCCCTCGGACGCAGGTGTAATTCATTCTGAATTTCAGTTCGTCCTCCCCATTTAACAGACGTAATAGTTTTCACTAAGAGCAAATTCTGTGACGACCCACGGCGCCCCCTCCCCTACCCGTCCAGCACTATAGGGACAATCGCTGCCTCTGCTTAGGGGCCCTGGGAGCGGAGTCCGGGAGTGAAACCCGTCAGCCCTGGCCCGTGTCCTCCAGTCCCCAGGCTCGTGGAAATCCCTCCCGCTTGGCCCCTGGCCGTCTCTCCAGCTGACATGGGAAGCTGGCGTCTGTTTAGCAACAGGCAATGCAGAGGCAGGTCTAATTTCGCCCACCAGCTTCCTGGAGGCCAGCACAGAAGAAATCCCGAGGCTCCAGAAATGAGTCCACCACAGCCCTAAACCCCTAATCTTCAGATGGGAACACAGGACCAACGCCTCGGCCTCTGGCGCAAGGGTGGCTGCTGTCCTGGGAAACCATCTCGGGTACCAAAGACGACCCCACGAAAATCAGACGCGCAGAATCCCACAAGTGGGCGTTTAGAGCAAGGACCCGGGCCTTCCTGCTCAGAGGCGGGGCCTGAAATCAAAGTGGCATCAACAACCCGAGGGGGTGACCATCAGAGGCGCATGGACCCGCCAGCCCCCCAGGCCATCCCCCCCACCACCGCCGAGCAAAAGAACGTTCATTTCATTTCAACTGCTTCGCAAGGCTGCGGTGTATCCCGAGTCTCCCTCATCCTTGCTCCTGTCTTCTTCCTCGGCGGACCCCTGACACACCACCCCTAGAAAGTGCCACCTCTTCCCTCTCGGCCTCGCTCCCCCGGAGCTGGCCCCTCTGCCACCTTCTGGAGGTGGGTGATGGACCATCTCTTCCTAAACTGCCTGCCCCCAGAGCCCCACGTGGATAAACCAGAAGCTAAAAGAGGGGGCAAAGCTATCAAGAACCATAATAAAAACCCCACATTGCATGCGTGTGTTTTCTCATCACTTGCTCTTTTTCCTGTTTTGACTCATTAATAAGCCTACTGGGTGCAGACGTAGGACCCATCAAAGTCAACGGGGAACAAAGAGGCCCAGATACAAAAGTCAGACTCGCTCCGTCTTCAGCTCATCAGAACACACGATTCCATGAGCAGGCCGGCGAAAGGCACCCAACTCTCATTCATCTGTTTGTTCAACCAGTGTCTGCTGACTGCATCCTAGGTGCCTGTTGTGGGGAGGATCGATGTCGGCAGAAAAGGTCCCCCTGCCTTCCCACCGCTCAGACAGGGAGGCAGAAACAGCCCAGAAGGATCAGCCAGAGGGCAAGCCTTTAAGCCCAGAGGTAGACCTGTGAAAGAACTGGAGGTAGAAGTCAAGGGCAGGGTGGCAGGAGTCAGGGCTAGTGGCTACAGTGACAGGCAGGGTGGCTCGGGTCAAGGACAGGGTGGTTGGGGTCAAGGGCAGGGTGGCTGGGGTCAAGGGCAGACGGCTAACTTTAAAGGAAGGCCCAGGGGCGGCCATGCGAGGCAGCTGGGTTTATGCTAAGGGGATGGAGAAGCATGCAGGGCTTCAAGGCGGGGTGTCGGTTCCTGTTACTGTTCTAAAGAGGACCACTCTGGCTGCGGGATGGAGCATGGGAGGGGCTGGGAAGCAAGCCCGGTAGGAAGCTGAGGCAGTCTTCTAGGAGAGCGACCCAGAGTGGTGACAGTAGGGGCAGGAGGATGACCCACTCCAGAACGGGTCTCTGAGGCGCCCTGTGGCGGCTTCCGGCTTGAGCCAGTCGCTCAGCGTGTGGACGACAGGATAGGGGCTGGGAGGGCCGAGTTCACACGTGGACCCGCCACGCTGGACGTCGCAGGTGAGGATGCGGGGGCAGAGGGAAAGGAAGCGGTGGGCACACCTGGGAACTGTCAGCACACAGAACCTGACAGTTCTGCTCTGATGATTTTGACAGAAAAGAGCAAGTGAGCAAAAAAAAAAAAGAAAACCTGAGTTGAGTGCAGCCCGCAAAGCATTCAAGAATGGCACACATCACTCAGAGGGCATGGGGCAAGCCACCACGGTCCCACCAGCTCTGAAGAAACATCCCATTTTTGAAAGCAGAAAGATCTCGAAGCTTGCTACAGGTAAACTGAGAACGCTGGCGAGGGTAGCCACGCAAACAGCTCTGAAGCCAGTTATCGAGGTTCTGAGATCCTCCCGGGGCCTCCAGGTTAATTTTTTTGGGGGGAGGGGAGATAAGCCCTGAGCTAACATCTGCCACCAATCCTCCTCTTTTTGCTGAGGAAGACTGGCCCTGAGCTAACATCCGTGCCCATCTTCCTCTATTTTATGTGTGGGATGCCTCCCACGGCATGGCTTGCCAAGCGGTGCCATGACCGCACCCGGGATCCGAACCGGTGAACCCCAGGCCACTGAAGTGGAATGTGCTAACTTAACCACTGCACCACCAGGCCGGTTCCCCCAGGTTAATTCTTAATCCTTTCACCCAGCAAAGGCTTCGGAGTAAACAGGAGGCAGAGCTGTGCACGGCACGCATCTTGGCAGATGAAATGATGAGACCGGCGACCCTCTCAACGATTTACAAGATCTGTCAAGGGCTTTATGCAGAACGTGAAGGGATTATTAATGGCCATAGATTCAACAGCAATATAGTGTCTGCAGCCAATTTTCTCCAAAGGTTTGTTTGCTTAGGAACCTGACTTCTGCCAGACAGAGGCAGGCAGACTGAGATTTATAGTCTAAGCGACTTACGGTCACTTTCCAAGAGTAAACAGCCTTGTCAGAACTCTCTGAACTTAACTAAGGATTTATTTGTTTTGATTGATTCAGACTAAGAACCAAATGAAAGAGTCCTGAACGCCCCCAAAATGGACAATTTGGTTTTCTAGTTTCGCAGCAGCCACCACAGCGGTCCTCAGCCAGCCTCTCGCTCTTCCAGCCATACGCGAGGCCTTGCGAACAGGACACGAGCTCGAACGGCTCCCTGTGCAACTCTAACGAGCGAAAATTCCACCACGATCCTGGCAGCCAGAGCCTCGTGCTTAAAAATATTTATATTTTGTAACCCCGCCTCCTGCAGCCATCAGGGAAATGCAAATCAGAACTCCGGCAAAAACCCAGTTCACTCCCACCAGGATGGACGATCCAGTGCTGGCAAGGATGTGGGGAAACCAGAACCCTCAGGCACTGAAGGTGGAGAGGAAAATGGTACAGGCCCTGGGCAAAACAGTCTGGCAATCACTCATAAGGTTATGCACAGAGTTACCACATGACCCAGCTATCCCACTCCTGGGCGTCTGCCCTAAAGAAGTGAAACCATATGTCCACACAAAACCATGGAGGCGGATGTTAACAGCAGAATTATTCATAACCACCAGAATGTGGAAACAACCCAAATGGCCTTACACTGAGGAATGGGTAAATAAAAGGTGGTCTCTCCATATAACAGAACGTTCTTCGGCAATAAAAAGGAATTAAGCCCTGACACCGGCTACGACGTGGGTGAACCTTGAAAACATTCTGCTAAATGAAAGAAGCCAGACACAGAAGGCCACCCATTGAATGCTCCATGTACTTGAAACGCCCACAACAGGCCAACCCACAGAGACAAAAAGCAGAGTAGTGGCTGCCGAGGGCTGGGGGTGATGCCCAAGGAGAGGAGGTTTTCTGTTCGGGGTGACAAAAATGTTCCAAAGTTGACTGCAAACTCCTCCTTTCTCCCCGAGTACGCCCACCCTAGTGTCCATTCACACTGACTCCTGCGAACAATTCTTACCTCGTGGCATTATGAAATTACTGTTAAATTTTTTGGGGGTGGCCTAAGGTATTTCAAAAGAGCTGTTATCTTTTAGCAATACATATTGAAATCTTTACCAATGTAATTTTATCTTTTATGGGCTTCGCTTCAAAATCATGGTGGGGGCCTGGGGCACGGATGGACAGAGGTATGAACTGGCCAGGTGTGAGAACTGGGAAAGCTGGCCAGTGGGTCCGTTATGCTAGTCTCTCTTCTCCTGCATAAGTCTGTGATCTTTTCTAGTCGTTTCTTTTCTTTTCTTTTTTTTTTTAAAGATTGGCACCTGGGCTAACAACTGTTGCCAATCTTCCTTTTTTTTTTTTCTGCTTTATCTTTCCGGGTCCCCCCCGTACAAAGTTGTATATCTTAGTTGCAGGTCCTTCTAGTTGTGGGATGTGGGACACTGCCTCAACGTGGCCTGACGAGCGGTGCCAGTCCGCGCCCAGGATCTGAACCCTGGGCAGCCGCAGCGGAGCGTGTGAACTTAACCACTCGGCCACGGAGCCAGCCCCTCTAGACGTTTCTTAAAATACGTTTAATGAAATAAACACATGTCTGCTGAAGCCGGTGCGAAATCTCAGGCTTGCAGAGCAACTCTCGAAGCTCCCCAGACCCTTCAAGGGCTCCTCTGTGGCCGCCTTCTGGGGAGCACACACATCTCACCCGTCAGCCACACAGATCCGCAATCAAGCATCAGCCGAGAGACAGCCAGGCCCCACAGCCCGCATGGAGAGAAGATCAAATCAGGAGGGGCAGAGGTCTCCAGGGTCGTTGCCGTCCACAACCCTGCCCTGGCACTCATCCACGGGGTCCGCAGCATAGAAACACCTGCTGGACCCACCCACCTCCATCTGGTGCAGTAAGAAAAGAGGGGGAGCAAGGCGGCCTGTCGGTCACACACCCTCTGCCCCGTAGCACCCTCGAAGGGACAGTCACCTCTGCACTGGCACAGAGCACGCACGCCCAGCGCCTACCTTACCCCCAGGAGTGTGTGGCTGCAACCTGACCACACTGCCCTGCCTGTCCCACCTCCCAGCCGCCCTGAAACAGCCACCAGAGTAAGTGATGAAGACACGCCTACCATTGTTCCCCAAAGGCCGGCCTGCAGGGGTCCTAACGTCTCTAAACCTGGGGACCTTTTCCATCAAAGGGAAAGTCAGAGGATAAAGCCATTCGCCCCACCCCGCTCCCCACGGCCCGAAAGGATGGCGTGCTCCCAGACCAGAGTTTGAGCAAACATGGTGAGAATGGTCAGATTTCCTGCTTTGACTGACACATCTCCCCACCAGAAAGCCAACCTGTCCCTCAGGTTGCGACACCTGCTCCAGGAAATCAGGTAAGCTGTCCCCCCACCCCTGCCCCGGTGCTTGCATAAGTGCCTGGAGCTGACCCAGGCCTGGGGCCACCCAGGGGTGCCCTGCCCACAGCGGGCCGACCACACCTGCCTCGTGAACAAACAGCCGCCAGGTGAAGCACCTGGGCTGGGTAGCAGGGGAAGGGGGACCTGCTCCAGGTGGAAGGCAGCCAGCCCTTACTAGGTTCACAGACAGTCAGGGATCACGAGGGCTTCACAAGAGCCCCAGCGAACTTTACTGGGTTAAACACATGCCAAGGCTGTCGTCTGTCTGAAACGGTTTAAATCATGAGATACTGCAAACACAGAAGAGCAGAGAACAGCACCGACGTGCCCCTCCTGGAATGAACAGATAGTCCTATTTTCCCATCTTGACTTGACTGCCCCGTCCCCAAGGCTCCCGTCCCGGCTTGGCCTCCCTGGAGTCCTGGGGCACACCCGCCAGGATGGGCATGCTTGTCTGGTCACTCTGTCATCGCAGCTGGGAACACCAACACACTGAGAGGACAGCCTTGGGGCCACGTGGCAGGCCAGGGCTGTGTGTGGATGGATCCAGGCCACCGACACTGGGCAGCCTCTCCTCTGGATCCCCTCGGCCTTCCGGGATGGCAGCAAAGGGCAGGGCCGGGCCGCAAGGGTCAGGCGAGCAGGCGCCCCTGCCCCGCAAGGCCCCCCGGGGCTGGAGGGGGGCTCTGCTATGTCCTACCCATGGCGTACAACAAAACCGTTGCTCTCCGTGCGCCGGCCCCACCTCCAGTTTCTTCTTCCTCCTGGAGAAGGTCACCAGGCACGTGGACGGTCTTATCAATTTATCAGCTGCTGCCACAGCCCCTCTCTGGCTTCTGAGCTGGGGGTCACCGTTCCTCTTCCGGTCCCTCTGCACCCACAGGGCCTGCCCAAAGCCTTAACTGCTACCTGCGCACACAAGACTCGATGTTTCAGGCTCGTCTCCACCGAGGCCAAGACGAGCCAACGGAAAATGAATCCCGCCATCTTTGCCACCCCCTCTCCACCACCTCTCCTCCTGTAACACGGCCACTGCCCGCCACGCCTGGGCACGGACAGGCTAAGGATTCCTCACCCTCGTGCTGGGTACCGGCACCAGAACCTGCTGATTTAGAAAGGTATGCTGGCCCCCGTCCCAGTACCACCTGGGCACCCATCTACCTAGGCAGAGAGAGGCGACTTCCCCCGGGACTACGTGTACGCGGCATGACCGCTGGGACCCGCCAGCACAGCAGAGCATGCACCTGCGCCCCAAGCTCTCGGATGGATGGCCAGAGGAGAGGACACACGTACTGGCAGGAAAAGCAGAGAAGAGAAGGGGAGAGAAAGGATGCAAAGAAGAAATGAGAAGAGAAAATAGAGACGGATGCAAAGGGAGCTGAACTCTCTCTTCTGTCATTCACCGTCCCCTCAAATCATCATTGAGCGACTCCTGGAGACCCTTTGGGAGAGAACTCTAAACTGGACAAAACAGTGACAGCAGAAGCACCGTGTGGGAACAGGCTGGCTGCTCCTCCCCCAGAAGGGCTGGCTGGGTGATGAGAGAAAGCCCCTCGGGGACAGACAGCTCACAGGTAAACTGGAGGTGGCTACTGGTAGCAGCACCCACCCAGCTGCTGGGGCGATGTCCAGAAAGTCATGCAACGTGCTGAAGACAGGAGCCCCCCCTGTCTGAGATCTGGGACGTCGAGGGGCTGCAGATCCGTCTATTCTCCCCGGCTGTAGGAAACCACCTCCGGCTGCGCCAGGGGGAGCGTGCCCCCCAAGAGCCGCAGCTGACAGAGAGCTCACCAACCTCCCAGCCTGGAACCCCCCCTGGGATGCAGAAGCGCCCAGGCTGAGCGTGGGAAGCACACCATGGTGCTGCTTTAGAAACCGTGAGGGCCACTAACAGAGAGAGATTCTCCAAGGTCCGCAGCAGAACACTTAAGCATCTTATGCTAATCGGCTCTCGGAAAAACGCAGGGACCCAGAACAAGACGTTCCAACTGAGAACGACGACCTATTTATCACAATTTGCAAAAATTCACACCTCTGGTCTCTTACGTGGCTGTTCTCCGGGTCACCTCGGCCTCAGCCAGGCCCACCAGCCATGACCATCTGCCTGCTAACTCAACTCACAGCTGGGAGGCCTTCTGGTCTTTTCGATTTCTATCTCCTCCGTGCTTCACATCTAGCTTTAAGCTCCCCTGTCCCAGGGGCCCACCTTTGAACACACATTCCCAAAGCACACGCACAGTTCCACCGGTTCCTTGTAGCAATTGTGCCTGCACTTGCCGCCATATGACTTTCACTTGTAAGTTATTCGCTTACCCTCCCAAACTAAGCTGTAAACTTCTCAGGGACATGAATCCGTGTTTAATTCTCTGAATCGAAGCATGGGGCCCACTGACAGTTCTGCAATGCCGAATGTCAAGTGAACAATGTGGGGGGGCGGCGACGTTGCAGCATCTCCTTCAATTTTGCTAAGATAACCTTAATTATAATAACTTTGCCCAATGCCTCCTCCGCAAATCCTTAGCCCATAAGTTGGGCTGTACTTTTTCAAACGTGTTCACATTGTCCTCTTTCTCCACAATCAATTCCTTTTAACCAAAAACCTTTCACCTCGGAGGTAAGTGACCTGCGCGTCATAACACTGGCCACGTCATCAGGGAGCCACTCGTAAGAGGGGTCCCGTTCCCCTCAAGGAGAAGACCCTGTCCTCTCGCCAACAGGGGCCGCACTGCCCTCCTGCAGTGCGGTACCCCCCCATCCCTCCCGGCCACCCAGGTTTGGCGACAGGTGGCAGGCTAAGGAGAGGAGATGAAAGGTCATCATGACACAAAGAGCAGCGCAGCTTTCAAAACAAGCCCTGGGGGGAAACTGAGATGTGGAAATCACTTCCATAATATACAACAAACAATAAAGCTTGCCATGTGACAGCAGACTAAAACGGTCTTTAGGGCAACCAAGATATGGAACCAAATTACGTGCCTGTAAGAAGTCTCTCACCATAGGCTTGAAATCAATAGATAAGTAGAGAGATCCGTAGGTGAGCAGGTAGATACACGTGTAGGTAGGTGGGTGGGGAGACAGACAGACGGATACATAAGGCGCACAGATGAATGTCTGTGCTACTAACAACCAAGGTACAAACTCTTCCTCCCACCAGTCTCTGGCATATGCCCGACAATGTGATCCGGATTTCACCTTCATTAACCCATTTCATTTCCACTAGAACCCTAGGAAACGGGGACTATTGCTATCTCCATTTACTGATGAGAAGACCAAGGCTTGGATGTCAAGGAATTTGCCCCAAGGTCACAGCCTGCAAACAGCAGAGCTGGGGGCCAGCCCCAGCTCCAACTCGGCACTCACGTTCTTACTTATCAAGTGAAGTGGTTAAGTATTCGGCAAAAAGTTCCACTTAAGATTCCTACAGTTGCATCACAGATGTAAAATTAGGTCACCCCGTTGTAACCAAAAGGATGTGACTGCTGCCGGCAATAAAACTATAGTAACTACAAACACGACGGGTGCCAACTCTAAAATTATTCGCGCGACCCAGTCTTCCCGCCAGAATTGCACAATTCAGTCGCATACAGGAGCTGGCCCTGCCCGCTATTAAAATGCAGCCACCAGTGGCCCATCTCATCTAGCGGTCAACAACTGTGCTCGAAATCCTCTGAGAAAAGGGCGCCCGCAGGAAGGCACAGCTTAGCGCAGCTGGACTAGCAGGCAGGGTCTCCAGGAGCACAGGCTGGAGCTGTCATCGGGGAGAAAGAGTGAGTCTGGATGACAGCGGGGCGCCGCTCCTGGAAAAAGTCTGGAGTGAAGACACCGCAGCAGGCAGAGAATGTGCAGCAGCATCTTTAGCGGAGGGTGAAAAAGTTATCTTATCATCTACAACATACTCTTCCAGTCTGGTGACCAACACCTGGGAGAGTGCTGCTTGGCTAAACAAAGCCAGTGTTGTTCTTCAGGACTGGCTCCACCTTGGGGAAACCACATTTCCGCCATGAGTGACTATCAAGGTGGCACCCAGGCTGGCCTCAGCGCTGCCATCCCGGGAACTGAAAGGAAAGCATTAGGAAAGTTCCGGAAGGGCATCACCAGCCCAGGGGTTTCCCTGAGACCTGCATGTGCGGCAAGGTTCCTGACTCTTCTCAGGTCCCCCACTGTGCTTTGGCACTTAGTATTCCTGCCATTATGCTGCTGGTTCGGGTGAGAACTTCAGTGCAGGCAAAACTTGGCAAGAACGGGAAGCAGAAACAGCTCCTCTCCACCCCCGCGAGGCACACACCCTCTTTGTCCGAGCCACATCCTTACTCACTTGCAGACGTGATTCTCTGTAATTGTGCTCTTTTTCAGCACAATTGTGTGTTTCGCCAGTAAGCATGTATGCAAATACAAATTACTATTTCCCTAACCTCAGGAGGCACCTTAGAAGTGAAACTGTGCCAGTCAAAACTCACTTTATGGGGCCGGCCCAGTGGCACAGCGGTTAAGTGCACGCGTTCCACTTCGACCGGGGTTCGCCAGTTTGGATCCCAGGTGCGGACGTGGCACCACTTGGCAAAAGCCATGTTATGGTAGGCGTCCTACATATAAATTAGAGGAAGATGGGCATGGATGTTAGCTCAGGGCCAGTCTTCCTCAGCAAAAAGAGGAGGATTGGTGGCAGATGTTAGCTCAGGGCTACTCTTCCTCAAAAAAAAAAAGAAAAACTCACTTGTGTTTCTGCGAGGGCTTCACGTACAAGAAAAGCACAGGAACCTTCATTTACGAAGGGCTGGATCTTGAATGCATGACTGCGCATTCAATCTTTGCATGATTGAAACCGGCCCACGGCGAACTTCATGCGGTGAAGTCTATCGTAACAAACCATTCAGGTGTACAGGGTCAATGTGCTCAGTCAAGGCAGGTCATTCAGTGAATTCTGAAGCATTACACTTTTCTTCTACAGCTTGCAAAAAACAACACAGCTTCTGCCTACCCAGGTACTGTAAAAATAAAGCAAATTCAAATGTCACCCTTACAGCGCACCACGTCAACAAGTAATGGCTAATAGATAAATACAGAGAAATGCGATCCTAGCAAGAAAAAGAACTGGGGGAAAGGTCATTGAGGGTCAGATTTTTGCAAAGAAAATACAGAACGTCTTGGCAGGCCCCGATTAGCTGCACTATCTATTCTGGTGTTTTCTCTGGACGCGGTCCCAGAAGGACCTGCCTCCAGGGAACAAGCAAGGACTGCTGGGAGACGCATGCATCCACCCCAGAGATCCCGGACCCTTCCCTCGTACCAGGATGCTGTTCCCACAGACGTTCCTAAAACCACGGGTGGGTGCCCTGTATCTCCCACGCACGCTCTTCACCTTTGCAGCCAGAAGTGCAAATGAGCTCGTCAAACCACACATTCCAATTCGGGGACTGCCGAACCCACTCGTCCCCATAAAACCCACCTGCAGCCACGGCAGTGTTTGTCAGAACCTCTATTCGTTTCACACCCTCAAAACTATTCTCACATCTGGCCTCTTGCTGGATCCTCCTAAAACCCCTGTGAGGCAGAACAGACATCAGAGACACCGCCTTACAAAAGAGGAAATGGAGACCCAGAAATGTGCCCGGTGGATTCAGCCCAATGACATCCAGCAGGCGCGGAGGTGATGGGAACACACAGGCCCGCGGCCTGCGCCGTGTCTGAGAAGCAGCCTGGAAAAGGGAGGGAGCACAAGCTTTGCAGAACACAGATCCGGGTTCGAATTCCAGCTCTGCCGCTTTCTCAGACGTGTGCAAGGCCTTGAGCAAATGTCACCAGCTTTTGTAGGACCTGTTTCCCGGCAGATAAAGTATGCACGATACCCGGCCCTCACGTCAATTGAAGGAGAGCGCATGACAGGCCCCACAAAGCGGCACGGCTTTATTTAACACAGGAACACGTTCTTTTTACCCTCCCAACCTCAGCCACCTGCTGCCAGATGGTCGTCCAAGAACGTGGGTCTCCATCCTTCCTCTTTCCACTGCCCCTCGCCAGCATCTGATACCCTGGCCAGTTGTCTCTGACACTTAACTCTCAGCAGCGTGGCTGACTTATTTTGAACATACCTTATTGTGCCTCACATCGCACAACAGGGTCTGTTTGAAAAACCAAAACTCTGCGCGTTAGATCTTTTTAAGGACCATAGAGCTGACACTCGGGAAAAACCAGTGATAAATGCATAATTTTATAAATGAAGAATTATTCCACAGAAAGCAACGTTTGAGTTGGAGAATATGACAATTTCTCAAAAGCAAGGTTATTTTGTGCTTGCTTTTAATACATGTTATTTTTAACAGAAAAGGAGAATTCTAAAGAGAGAATTAATCTCTTAACTTGACCCCTCAGACACCCAATGACTCTCTCCTCATGGAGCATACCCCTTACCAAGGTGTCATAACACAACGTGCTGGGGCTGGCCCGGCAGCGCAGCGGTTAAGTGCACATGTTCCGCTTCGGTGGCCCAGGGTTCGCTGGTTCGGATCCTGGGTGTGGACACGGCACCGCTTGGCAAAAGCCATGCCGTGGTAGGCGTCCCACGTATAAAGTAGAGGCAGATGGGTACGGATGTTAGCTCAGGGCCAGTCCTCCTCAGCAAAAAGAGGACTGGTAGCACTTAGCTCAGGGCTAATCTTCCTCAAAAAGATAAAAAATAACACAACGTGCTGAATGCTGTGCTGGGGATCAAGAGCCATGGAAGAGGAAGGCAGGACTGGTGGGAGAAGGGGCCACTGACCCCTTGACCTGGGGAAGGAATGAGCTTGCCGGTGTCCACTCCAGAAGTCCTTGACCACAGCTATAAGGTGAAGCAAGGTGCACAGAGAGGAAGGACCCAGCAGCTCCCTCTGCTCCGTGCTTCCTTCCCAGGAACTCCCCATGCCCCGAAGGACCCCCCCACCCCCACCCCAAAGCAGCAGCAGTCCAGGCGAGAAAGGGCGTTCAAACTTCCTGTTGCTCATTCAACAGACATCCGAATGCCTACTCCAGCTCACAGAAATGGGAAGGAAGGTGAGTTTAAGAGCCATTTAGGAAGCAGAAGTAGCCAGTGAGGCTTAGGGGACAGCTGGGAAGAATCTAGATTTAGTTTCCTGGGATGGGTGCCGTATCAAGAGTATGGAAGGGGTGGCCCGGTGGCGCAGCGGTTAAGTTCGCATATTCCACTTCTTGGCGGCCCGGGGTTTGCCGGTTCGGATCCCGGGTGTGGACATGGCACTGCTTGGCAAAAGCCATGCTGTGGGAGGCGTCCCACATATAAAGTAGAGAAAGACGGGCACGGATGTCAGCTCAGGGCCAGTCTTCCTCAGCAAAAAGAGGAGGATTGGCAGTAGTCAGCTCACAGCTAATCTTCCTCAAAAAAAAAAAAAAAAGGGTATGGAAGATCCCTTTTTAGGCAAAGAACTCGGAGTCCTCCAATGGGTTGATCATTCTTGGGAAGCAGAAGAGCAGCCGCCCTATTTCCCGACCCTCCACAGGGCGACTACCTTACTCTACACCCTGGAGACGCAAACCTCACTTGGCAGCACAACTTCTTTCAATTATTAACTTCCAAGAACATTCCTGGGCGTAAAAACAACCCACATAGGGGCTGGCCCCGTGGCCGAGTGGTTAAGTTCCCGTGCTCCGCCGCAGGCGGCCCAGTGTTTCGTTGGTTCGAATCCTGGGTGTGGACACAGCACTGCTCATCAAACCATGCTGAGGCAGCGTCCCACATGCCACAACTAGAAGGACCCACAACGAAGAATATACAACTATGTGCTGGGGGGCTTTGGGGAGAAAAAGGAAAAAATAAAATCTTTAAAAAACAAACAAACAAACAAACAACCCACACAAAAGTAAAGGGGGGATTTTCCACAGAACTGAGGCTCCCGGGGACCTTAGCCAGAAAGGTCAAGTTGGTCTCAGCCCAGGACCAGCGGAAAACCTAACGTCCACCTGATGTTTGCTAGCAGTAAAAGGTGAAGTTCATCAACCGGAAACAAAATAATCGGAAATCAACAAGCACAAAACATCCCTTACAGATTCTTTTTAAAACATGCCCTGTTCATCCTAGGCTATTTCTAGAACCATCGAAGAAGCTACTAATAGTGCTGGCTTCGGCAGAGGGAAACTGAGTGAGGAGGTCACCTCTGCACCCCTGTATGCACTCTCCCCCCGTTTCCGTTTGCACCATGCGCCTGTATTATTGGGGAACAGAAAAGTCCTCGCAGGAAAGGCTCAAGACTGGCTCAAGCCATTCAAAGAACGTTAGAGGCCCCGTGCAAGCATGAGACACGGAATCTCCGAAACACACAAGCCTGAACCACAATTCTATTCTGAAAAGCACCAATTCTTCTGGAATTCAATTTCAGGCTTCCACCGGCAGCACAGCTCTGGCCTGCCAATAACCACCATGCAGAGTGACTAAACACTTTTTCCAACAAAGGAAAAAAGGCACCGGATCAAACTGCAGAAGCAGCCCCGGAACGGGTGCGCGTTCTTGCCCTCCCACCTCCGCGCCGCCTTTCGACTTCAGGCTGCGTCTTTTCATTGTTCGCTCGGAACTCCTCCTGTCCCCTGGGCCACCGCCAGCAACTGCGGCCGGCACGCCCCGCCCCCGCCCCCGCCCCGCGCCTCCCCCCGCGGGCGTCACGTGACGCCCGAGAAAAGTAGGGGAAAGGTTACGGCGAGCCCCGACCCCGGCCTGGCGCGTCCCGGGCGCTCAGATCCTGTTCCACCGGCAGTGCCCGGAGAGACCTTCCGGAGCGAGCTGGCGCGTCGCCGGCCCTGCCACCCCGGCGTCAGCGGGCGAAACGCGGTGCCTGTTCCTGGGGAAGGCCGAGCCCTGCGTGGCCAACCTTGGGGACACTTAAGAGCAGAGGGCGCCTGAGGACATTCCACGCCAGGAACGCGGCACTGCGCCCCCGCGAGCCCAGAGCGCGTCTGGAAAGGGCTCGCTGCGCAGCCCGAGGAAGCATTAACGGTGTTTCTATGAATGGGCAGGCGAGGCCGGGGTTGCCCAAGCGCGGGCTCGGGCCCCAGGGCTCCCCGGAGACTGAGGCTTGACCGCTTGGTGACCGCGGGGTCGGGGCCAAGGGCGGCAGGGACGCCAGGTTCTCCTCTTCGCCTCCGCTTGTTTTCAGTACAAACTCGAAAAGTTATTTTGGCCTGGGCGTGATGCTGATGGCTGCCACTCGGATGCACACACGCGCACTCCTAAAGATGGCCCTTTTTGCTGTCTGATTCCATCAGCTGTTCAGATGGAGTTCAACGTGCAAGGTCAGGTCTAGCAACATTTCCTTGGAAGGAAACCGGTCATTTAGGTGCGAGAAGAGCCCCCCCCCGGGCACACCGAAGCCAAACCACCCAAAACCCTGCCTCTCGATGCTGCATTCAGTTCCCACCAGACACCATGGTCCCAGATGACTTAGCTAGGCACTCCTTCACCTCAACGATAAGCATATCAGCAACAGTAATGTCCTTATACTTACGCCCCACTCAGTGCGAGTCACCTTAAATACTTTGGGGTGGGGGAGGGGGGATGCTGGCTGGCGTCAATCCAAGACCAGCGAGTTCGGCCATTTTTTATTCATTTGGTTTGTGGTTCACGAGGAAAGAAACACGCTTGAATATCTGGACTGACCAGAAACAGGACGCCTGTGCAAGAAAATTGTGTAACAAAATACAAAGTCTGTCCCGAGTTGGGAGTATTAACCTGGTTAATTACTTGGGATTTTTTTTAACTCCTGGAGTGAAAAAAGGAAACCGGCCCTCATCTTTGTCCCCTTCGGCTGTAAGGAAAGCCAGCCCCCGATTTACATTACAAACACGCTGACCCACGGCCCTTCCGAAGAAAACGAAAGAACTGGCTGTCGGCTCGCCGAGGGAGTTGGGTCAGGGGATGCCCGCGTCGGTGCCCCGGCCGCTCGGACGACCTGACCGCGCCGTCCAGACTCGCACACCAAGTTCGCCCGGATTTGGTCACATGACGCCCCCCACCCCCACACCCCCTCCGGCGCCGCAGCTCCGTGGCCCGGCGCGACCTTGGGCGGACTCTCCGCGCCCACCTGCCCTGATGAGCGCCGCACCGGGGCATGGGGAGCGCTCGCCAGAAGAGACCCCGGGCCGGCACCCCCATCCGGTCCACGGCGGGCGCTCGGACCGCGCCAGGAGTCTCCACGCCAAGGGCGTGTCCGGACCGCAGCACTGCGGGGGCAGGCGCGGGGAGGGGTCCGCGGCGCCCCGCGGAGTCCCGACGGCCGAGCGTCCCTCTGGCTCCCGCATGGGACTCGCCTGCGGGCTGACCGACTCTCGGACTGACCCCTAGACCCAATACTGCAGAGCGGGGTAAGATGAAGAGGAAAGAGAGCCGGCGGCCCTAGTGGCCCCAGGCCGGAGGCGTCCTGCCAAGGCAGGAGAGCCAAGCATCCCCGCAGCTCCCGCACTGTACCTGTTCGCGCGCCGACTGACTCTGCGGCGGACCCCCAGGCCCGATCCACTCCTGGGAAGTGGGGATGAGATGGGGCGGGGAAGGGAGCCGGTACTCCTACAGGCCCCGGGCCCGGGGCGTCCTGCCAAATCCAGAGGGTTGAGCATCCCTTCCCACTGCCGCACTGGACCCGGCCGCGGGCAGACCGACCTCCGGGCGGACCCCCCACCCAACCCACTGCGGGGGGTCAGGATTCCCCATCCCCTCCGTTTCGGGCTCTCTCCCAACTCCGCCGTCCGAGGGGGCTGCTGCGGGTGCCCCTCGGAACCCCCGCCTCGGCAGCCCCCGCGCCCCTCCCGCCCCGGAGCCCGCCGCAGCCCGCAGGGCGCGCCCCCCTTCCTCCCCGCGGCGCGCGGCCTCGCCCCGGCCTTACGGAGTCGGCGGACGGACGCGCGGCGGCGGCGGCGGCGGCGGCGGAGTGAGCGAGCGGCGGGCGGGCGCCGGGGGTGGGCGGCCCGCGGGCGAGGCCGGGTGCACCGGCCGCCGGGCGCCGCCGATTGGCTGAGGCGCGCGGGGCTAGGACGCGGGCGGTGACTCGGGGCGCGCAGCGGGACTTGGGGGGGGGGACCGGGGCGGGGCAGGGGACCGGGGGCGGGGCGGCGGGGCGGGGCCCCCGGGGAGCGTGTCAGGTGCGGAGACCGGCTGGCGCGCGTGGACGCCGCCGCCGCCTCCGTCGGGATGGAGCCTAGGGCGCGATTCCTCACCATCCTGTTTCCCCATCCGAGACATGGGCCACCTCGTTAGGGCCGGGCTCGTCCGAGCGCTCGGCGAGGTGCTGACCTGGGTCACACTCGCCCTTGAGCGGCGTTAACCCCTTACAGTTCCCACGGCCCCCCTGGGCGGAGAAAGGGTCCCTAACGTGCCCAGGACCACACAGCTGAGAGGATGGATGTGACACTGGGCCCAGGGCGACTCCACATCAGACCTCGTCCCCCTGTGACAGCTGATGCGATCCGGAGGCCAACACGCTAATGGCAGTTCCGGGTGCCTTTCTGAGCCGCCTCCTCGTCTAACTGGGGTAAAAATGCCCCTTTTTCGGAGCTTTGGCAGATGTCGTGGACTAATTAAGCAGGCGCCTAAGGCATAGGAGGTGTCAGGGAAGGAATGGCTGGAGGTGGGGACCGCCGAGAGACCCATGTGCCAGTCGCCGGGCTCCGGAGAGGGGCCGGAGTGGAAACTGCTCAGGCGCCCATCCCGGGGGTCTAGTCCTGGGGGGCTCGGGGGCAGAGCGACCGGTGCGCTTCCAGCCGGGGGAGCCGCCCCTCCCCTCTCTTTGCCCGAAATTCTCCCCAGGCCGGGGCTGGCGGCCCTGCATACAGCAGGTGCTCCATAAATGCACCCATTTTATGAACAAGCACCCGGATCTCCTAAAGGTCAGTCGCTCCTTTCGGCGACGGAAACTCCGTGCTGGCATCTGGCTTTCTGTCGGTATCAGTCGGTGGCGGCGCAGAAGGATTCGGAAGAGAAAATGAAAGCTCCCTCTTGTTCCCGCCCCCACCCCTGCCGCTACTGCTACGCTTAAATGTCGGTGCACACTCTCCAGGCTGCCTTAGATGAAGTCACAGGCCCCGTGTCAAGAGTGACCGGCCGGTATCACTCTCATTTTCACTCGGCGGATGTGGTGGGCAGAGTTCCCTCTGGAGGCCCAGAGATGACCTCGTCTTTCACAGCAGTTAACCGCCCTATGGACACGGGCACCCCTTTTTGGCCATCGCAGGTACAAATAAAGCTGCATTGGCCGTCGACGTGGGTCGTTGAGCCCCTGTTTCTCTCTGCAGATACCTCGAAGTGAAGCGACCTGTTCATAGGACAGGCTTGTGTGACATTTTGGTGCCACCTGCCAAGCTGCCCTCTGGGAAAGCTTACTAGTGTCCACTCCCCCGGGCGCCTAGGAGTGCAGCCTTGTCTCCAGGAGCTCACCCACGCTGGCTGTCATCTCGGTTCTTTTCATCTTTCGCAATCCTAAAAGGCGGGGAGAGGTTGCTCCATATTTGATTTGCATTTCTTTTTTTCAAGGTATGCTTTTTTTTTTTTTGAGAGGAAGATTGGCCCATCTTCCTTTTTTTTTTTTTTTTTTTTTTCTCCCCAAAGACCCGGTACATAGTTGTATATCTCAGTTGTAAGTCTCTCTAGTTCTTCTGTGTGGGATGCCACCGCAGCATGGCTTGATGAGCAGTGGGTAGGTCCATGCCCAGGGTCCCAACCTGGGAACCCGCTGCAGCTACGGGAAACGGAGCCCGCCAATTTAACCACTTGGCCACCAGGCTGGCCCCCCTAATTTGCATTTATTTAAGGTGAGGAGTTGGAGATTTGTTCTCCTGCTGGCTTCTGTCTGGCCCAAGAGTGATCCCAGGCCCTTCGAAACCCAAGAAGGCAGGGGGGCTGGCCCAGCGGCTCCACTGCACCTGCCCTGGCCGCTCCAGTGTCACCTGCGCGTGGCCTTCCTGTGCTTCAGAAGCTGCCTTGTCCCCCTTACCTCAAATGCCCTGCTCTCCTCTCCCTGGAACCCCAGCAGGTCCCTACCGCAGCATCACTTTCCCTTCCTCCCTAGGTGCCCCGTCCTGTGCCCCGCTGGGATTGGCCCACGCCCAGTCTGTTCTCAGGGTCTTGTGGCCTTGACCATGCACTCCTCCGGCGTGCCGCCTCGGTGCCACCTGCAGGCCAGGCGGGGCAGGGGCGGGGACCGTGAGGTCCGAGGGAGCCCCGGGTGCTGCGCCTTGCCCGCCCCCCCCACCCACCCCCCGTACCCCGTGGCCCTGCTCTCTGCGGCGGTGCTGAGCCCACGCCCACCAGCCGCGCAAGGGGGGCCCCATTCCACGCCCATGCTCTGCGCCCGGACTGCCCTCCCCGGGCGGCCTGGCAGCGGCTTTTAATAAACAGCCAGGAACTGAACCCCTGGGGAGCTGGGGCCCGGGCGATCTTGAGTTCCCTCGGGGCCAAAAATAGCCCCGAGTCTGCCTCCCAAGCAGGAGTAATCTTTCTCAAGCTCTGTTTTTTTTCAAATTTTCCCCAGTTTGAATCGAACATACTGTAGCAGCTGCCTATTGTGGCTATAAGGACAGCTTTATAAAAAAAATGCATGTCATGTTTTTATTATCACTAAGATATTTCCTTTTACTTTATTTTATTTATTTATTTATTTTGAGGAAGATTAGCCCTGAGCTAAGATCTGCTGCCAATCCTCCTCTTTTTGCTGAGGAAGACTGGCCCTGAGCTAACATCCGTGCCCATCTTCCTCTACTTTATATCTGGGACGCCTACCACAGCATGGCTTGACAAGCCCTGCCGTGTCCACACCCGGGATCCGAACTGGCGGACCCTGGGCCGCTGAAGCGGAACGTGTGCACTTAACCGCTGCACCACCGAGCCGGCCCCAGGAGATTTCCTTTTTAACTCTAAAAATACCTTTTTATGGAAAAATTCAAACCTGTAAGAAATTAATGAGAATAGTATAGTAAAGCCCTATGTAACCAAAACTCAGGTCCAACAACGATCAAGCTGGAGCCCGGTGTTCGTCCATGTCCCTGCCCGAGTCATCTCTTTAAAGCAAATCCAGAAATCCTGTTGTTTTGTCCACAAGTTCCTGAGTAAGAATATCTAAAAGATACAGATTCTTTTTTAAAAACATAACCACAATACCATTGTCCAACCTCAAATAGAGGAACAATTGTAAGGCAAACTTGTAAAGCCTGTCAGTCTGCCAGGAGGGCAGCCGAGTCCTGCTCTGGCCCCAGCCTGGTTTCTTGCTGGCAGCTGCCAGCACGTTCTGATCCAGACCCGCCTGAGATTTCTTTGGAACTCAGCTCCCGCTTCCCATAGGAAACAATGTTGTCATCTCGGGGTTCTGAACCTGTCTCCTCTCCACGGCCTTGAGCCCCTCTGAACTTGAACCTTGAGCTCCTGTGGGCGTTGCGTAAACAGCGGCAGTTCCACGTGAGGGTGGTGACAATATTTGCTCGGCCGGCATCACCGGGGTTTGGTGAGGACAAAATGAGGTAAGGCAAGCAAACCCAGCTTAACACAGGGGAACAATACGCCAGAGCAAGGAATGCACAGCAGCAACGAAAATGTATTTTTAACTGAATAGGCTTGCCCTGAACCCAGGAACCCTACACCTGGGTGTACACAGAGAGATGAGAGCTTGTCACGCAAAGACGCGTACGGGAATGTTGGCAGGAGATTCGCTCAAATTGACAAAAATCCGTAAACAATCCAAATGTGCACCAACAGTACAATAGGTAGAGAAATTGTGGTTTCTCCATACAGTGGAATAATAAGCAGCAAGAAAAAAAGACCAGGGGCTGGCCCCGTGGCCGAGTGGTTAAGTTCGCGCGCTCCGCTGCAGGCGGCCCAGTGTTTCGTTGGTTCGAATCCTGGGCGCGGACATGGCACTGCTCATCAGACCACGCTGAGGCGGCGTCCCACATGCCACAACTAGAAGAACCCACAACGAAGAATACACAACTATGTACCGGGGGGCTTTGGGGAGAAAAAGGAAAAAATAAAATCTTTAAAAAAAAAAAAAAAAAAAAAAAAAAAGACCAAACTACTGACGCACGCAACGTGGGTGAATCTTACAGATCTTAGGTCAAGCAAAAGAAAGTCAGACACACACACACAATATATACACTGAGTATAATTGCAATGACATAAGTGAGGCATCTTAACGACAGGGATGGACATTGACTGCGAAACGCATGAGGGAACCTGCAGGGGGCTCAGTGGGGTGACGTGAAAATGCATCTCGCTGTGTGCCTCAGATTATGCATTTTATGCTCTTTGCTACCTGGACGGTAGGCCTCAATTGTAAAACTTAGGGTGGTGAACATGATGTCATCTACACAGGAATCGAAATATAATGATGTACACCTGAGATTTATATAATGTTATAAACCAATGTTACTGCAATAAAAAATAAATAAAATTAAAAATTAAAAGAGGGGCCAGCTCAGTGGCATAGTGGTTAGGTTCACACACTCTGCTTTGGTGGCCCAGGGTTCGAATGTTCGGATCCTGGGCATGGAACCTACACACCGCTCATCAAGCCATGCTGTGCTGGCATCTCACATACAAAATAGATGAAGATTGGCACAGTTGTTAGCTCAGGGCCAATCTTCTCCACCAAAAAAAAATTAAGGATTTAGAGGTGAGTGGGGCATTGACTGTTGGTGGCAAGAGTGAGGTCATCGAGGTCGTCCATCATGAAAGAAAGACCTGATGACCCGTTTTAGGCCACAAGGAAGGTCAGCAGAGCTCCACCCCCCCGGGGAGGCATCAAGTAAAGCAGCACGAGCACAGCCTGGGAGTGGGGATGCCTGCTGCCGGCCCGGGTCTGCCTCTGGTTGGCTGCGTGGCTGCCTCACTCCTCCACCCGGGCCTCAGTTTCCCCACTGAAAAAAAAGTGAGACTTTGGGCTCAGGCACCAAGGAGCAACCTTTTCACTGCCATATTTTATTTCTCTGGAGAAGCAGTAATTCTAGCTTCTCAGGAGTGTGCACGCCAGAGCCGGACGGCCTGGGTTCAAATCCTGACTCTGCCACTTACCAGCCAAGTGATTTTAACCCCTCTGTGCCTCGGTTTCCTCATCTGTAAAATGGGGAGAGTAACAGAAGCTGCCTTGGAGAGTTTTAAGGAAGATGACATGAGTAACAGATGGCAAGCACCTGGAACATTCCCTGGTACACAGTAGGCGCCACATAAGCGTTGGCCGTGATTATTATTTTCTTCCCCTTTGTGGAGCCCATGTTTTTTAAAAGCCTTTGTTTGTAAACAGCTCATGTGATGAAAGAATAACTTATTTCCTTGTTTATTAATGAGAACCGTGGGCACAGTTGGCAGCTGGAGCTTACGATTAGCATGAGGTGCGTTCATCCCTTCACGGGATGCTGGTCCCTAAGTACAGGGACGGCAGAGCCCCGGCGACTGCAACCAAGAGCCAACCAGCTGGACCTTTTGATCCGTACAGGTTCACTTCAGACAAATGGGGAACCTATTTAAGGCTTTCTGAAAAGGTCAGAATAGTTCAAAGGTCGCCATTACGACCTCCTCAGATCCCAGTCATCTCTGAGGCCCCCACTAGCCCAGCCCACCTGGAGAGTGCGCACTTCTTGGCGTGGCCAGAGCAGCGTGCGGGGCGCAGAGCGGGTGACGTCTCAGTGGGTGCTCTTTGAGATCGGCGTCTCCACAGGCCTACAGCCAGCGCCAGACCAGCCTGGACACTGGGACCTCAGAGACGGGGAAGAGGTGACACTCCTGTACTCCTTTTCGCAGACGCCTGAATATGCAAACGAGAGCATTGGCAGCAGCCTTCTGGTCAAGATGCAGATTCTTCCCCTTTGGAGGAGAAGGAGACAAGCAGGTAATGCCTTGAGTCCATCGTTTTCAAGCTTTGGGGGGGGGGGGGGTGATCGCTGACCCTTTGAAAACCTGACGACGGCTACAAACCCTTTCCCCAGAAAAATGCACACACACACAAACGGTGCTAAATAATTTCACTCACGGACCTTCCAAAGCTCACTGAGAGACTCCTGACACAGAGGTTAGGAAAAATTATCCGGAACTTGGAAATAAGGCAAAGGATGTCGGAACGTCCTTTCACTGGCTCATTGTCCAACAGGCCCATCCAAGGATTAGCTCATTCTCCGGGAAGAGACCTTGGCCAGGCCTCAGACTCTATGAAGTTCTGTGTTAACTGGTCATTTTTGTCCAACAGAAACGCAAAGGATTTCTGTCGGCAGGAAAAAAGTATTCCCCAAAATTAAGGTTTGATTGCCCTGTAGGATATTAACCAGTTTCGTATCTACTTAGGAAAAACTCAGATTTTGTCTACCTTCTGTGTAGGGAAAACCCCAGATCTTCCCTACTGTGTGTTTCTTCCCCGTGTCCTTTTCCCCCAGTTTGAATCGAACATACTGTAGCAGCTGCCTATTGTGGCTATAGGACAGCTTTATAAAAAAAAATGCGTCATGTTTTTATTATCACTAAGATATTTCCTTTTATTTTATTTTATTTATTTATTTATTTTGAGGAAGATTAGCCCTGAGCTAAGATCTGCTGCCAATCCTCCTCTTTTTGCTGAGGAAGACTGGCCCTGAGCTAACATCCGTGCCCATCTTCCTCTACTTTATATGTGGGTCGCCTGCCATAGCATGGCGTGCCAAGAGATGCCATGTCCACATCCAGGATCTGAACCAGCGAACCCCGGGCTGCTGAATCGGAACATGTGCACTTAACTGCTGCACCACTGGGCCGGCCCCAGGAGATTTCCTTTTTAACTCTAAAAATATCTTTTTCATATCCTTTGATAAACTGGTAAACGTAAGGAAGTGTCTCCCTCAGTTCTGAGAGCTGCTCTGGCAAATTAATGGACCTCAAGGAGGGGGCCGTGGGCACCTCTGATCTACAGCTGGTTGGTGAGAAGCAGAGGGCCCTGAGCCTGGTGTCTAAAGGGGTGGGGGCCGTCTCGTGGGCTCTGACGCCACCTCCGGGTGGGCAGCCTCAGGATCCAGTTGAATTCTTGGATGCCCTGTCGGTGTCCGAGAATTGCTCTTTCGTTTGGAGGAGAAACCTCCACCCGTTTGAGGACCGCAAGTGTTGTCCCCCAGGAGGAGAACTTTGATGGATTTTCTTATTTGAGTTTAGTATATATCTTTTTAATTACATCTGAGGAAGTCACTGTAATCCTTTGACCAAGTAGTGCTTCTGAATCCAGCTCTGGTCTTACCCATATCCATCCATTTGTTCATTCACTCATTCATTCGGCATATATGCACTGAGCACCCACTACGTGCCAGTACTGTCCTAGGTACTGGGACTCCGCAGTGACAGAGCCTTTAGGTCAAGCCCTGTCCACAGGAGCCCTCGTTCTGGTGGGAGAGGCAGGCAAGAAACAAATGCCCTTTCATGTGAAAAGAAAGGGCAAAGGAGAAAAACAAAACAGGGGTGGGACAGAGTGTGCATGGCCTATGTCAGGCTGGTTGGCGGCTGGGGCATCGGTGCAATAGACCATAAGCTGCTAAGGGTGAGGGCCCTTGTAACCAGCACCTGATACATCACAGGGTCTCAGAAATGTTAGCTGAATGATTGACTGAGGATTGAGTAATGGATGGATGGATGGATGCATGGATGGATGGATGGGTGGATGGATGGTTGGATGGATGGGTGGGTGGATGGATGGATGGGTGAGTGGATGGGTGGTTATATGTATGTATGTATGGATGGATGAGTGAATGAGTGGGTGGATGGGTGGGTGGATGGATGGATGGGTGAGTGGATGGGTGGTTGTATGGATGGATGGATGGATGGATGAGTGGGTGGATGGATGGATGGCTGGTTGGCTGGATGGATGGATGGGTGGATGTGTGGGTGTATGTATATATGTACTTATGGATGGATGGGTGTTTTATGGATATATGCATGGATGGATGGATGGATGGATGGATGGATGGATGGATGGATGAGTGGATGGATGGGTGGATGGGTGGATGGGTGGATGGGTGCATGCATGGATGGATGGATGGATGAATGGGTGGGTGGGTGGATGGGTGAATGGGTGGGTGGGTGGAGGGCCCTCCAGGCTTAGCTCCCTTACATCTCTCATCTAGTCCTTCCTTTCGAGGCCCTCACCCCATCTCAAATTCTCCTGCAGGAATCTCTAAACAATCCTGTCTGTCCTTCTTCATAGAGTGGGGACCTGAAATCGGCCACCCCAAGATATGTCTCTTTGGCATCAGGATTATTTGAGGCTGATTGCTTTTGATAAACTGGGACAGGGAAGGAGGAATGGAACTTGCCCTTTGTTAGGACACATTTACATTTGTAAGGTGAATCTCTACCTGTAAAAGGTGCCTCCCTCTCTGTACCAGGAAGAAGAAAGGAGATGACCTTCTCTCTAGAAACTCTTAATCAATACCAAAGGCAAGGACTTAAAATCTGCATTTTATTGTGCTAGTCTGGTAACCTCCTGTAACTGACTTCCCTCCCCCTCCCAACATTGGCATCTCCTTAAAGATTAAGCATCTTTCTTTAGGCTGGGAACCGACTGCAGCTCTCATCTGTGACCCCCCAGCCCGAGGTAACACACCTGCCACCCTGCGGCGCTCACTGAGACAGCAGACCTATCTGCCGTTTCCATCAAGCGCTGTGCTGACAGAGCAGCCTCGTGACTATTGTAAAAGGGACTTTTCAATCATATGTGAAACGCCCCGTTTGGGGGCTATATAACCACTCTGTGCACCCTACTTCTTCAGTGCCCTTTCTTCCTTCGGGAAGAAAGGCCCCGGGCCATGGTTCCTCATAAAGCTTTGTTTAATTTTCTCTTGCTATTCTGTCTCATGTGAATTTAATTCGTTCTCCAGCCAGACGAACCCCCATTTGGGGAGAAGAAATGTCCTCCTCCCCTACAATAGTGTGCCTGAGGTCACCTTCCACGTCTCAACAACTGTGACGCATCCTGTGGCCTCAGGCACACCTAGCTATATAATTTGCCAGATCCAGCACAAAAGGAAAATGTAGAGATGCTTGTTCAAAAACTATTAAGAATTTCAAGACAGTGACAAGTGAGCGTTCAATCCACCACAGGGCTGTCTGGGTGCTGGCTCTGGGCCACTGTGTGGGTTGCACACCCATGAAGCCAGTCCTGTCTCCAGGGCAGGCCCGCAAGACCCTTCAAGATCTGGACCCAAAGGACCACCCCAGCCTGTGTTTACCACCTCAACGAACTCTGTGCTCCTTCCTCTCAAGACCTCGCCCCGCTTCCCACCTCTGGGCGCCTGTTCTCTTCCCGATGCCCGGGCACCTCATGTCTTTGTTCCCAGCCGTGGGCTGGCTGCCAGGAAGGGAGATGGGGTAAACCAGACCCAGCCCTGACGCTCCCGAGAAGATGCTCGGAGGGTATCTGCGTTCTGGCTCCTCTGTGGCCCCGCCCAGCGGTGAGGCCCAGAGCAGGTAAATTTTCTTCTGTTGCAAAATGGGCAGTAAGGAGGATGCTGCCAAGTCCACATGGGGCCCTCCCTCTGTAAAAGTCTCCTAACATATGACTCATGGATACCATTAAATCCATCCTTTTAAAGTGTAAAGTTCAGTGGTTTTTACTATATCCACAAGGTTGTGCAACCATCACCACAATCTAATTCCAGAACATTTCCCAAAACATTTTCTCCTGAAAGAAACCCTATTCCCATCAGTTGCACCCCCCCCCCCCCCCCCGCCGCACTCCCAGCCCCTGGCAACCACTATCTCCTTTCCTTTTCTATAGATTTGCCTTTAATGGACATTTCATACAAATGAAATCCTCTCATATGTGGCCTTTCGGGTCTGGCTTCTTTCACTTCGCATTATGTTCTCAAATTTCATCCACGTTGGAGCGAGTATCAGGCCTTCATTCCTTTTTACGGCTGAATACTATTCCATTGTCCGGATACACCCCATTTTGTTTGTTTATTTATCCGTTGATGGATGCCCACGGCTCTTTCACACACCAGCTGCCAGTCCACCTGGGACCACGCTGACATTGACCCTGCACTACAGCCGCAGGGCTGTCCTTTCCCACTTGAAAAGTTCCCACTCAGCCTCCAAAGTCCAACTCAGACACCACCTGCTCCAAGAAGGCTACCCGGATTTCCCGAAACAGACTGATCATCGGTTCCTCAGGGCCCTCCCACGGGGCCTGGTTCCAGGACACCAGGCCTCTTCTAAGCTCTGAGGCCCCTCCCCCGGCCCTTTGCAGAGCTGGAACTTCCGAGGCCCTGGGCTTGGCCCCCCCCACCCCGCCAAAACTTTGGTGGAACGGAGAAGAGGGAAAGTGGCTGGGCGCTCACTGGCCACCAGATAAGCTAATTGTTTCCTTGAGGTCACTTGCTTTGGATGAGAGGAGAGAAGAGCCGAGAAACTTCCAGGGGGTGGAGTAGGGTGGGGAGGAGGAAGTGACAGGCCCCAGCGGCAGTGGCGTGGAGGGAATGGGGTGGGAGCGGGAGCCGGCGGTGGCAGGAGGCAGTTTCACTTCCTCGGCTGGGGCCAAGGGCGCGGTCAAGGTCCAGGGCAGGTCAAGGTCCTCGCGCAGCCGCGGATGCTGCCCCCTGGGGGCAGTTGGCGGCGGGTGGGGAGGGGGCGCCTGGATGCCCCGTTTGCTCGCCAGGGTGCCCCCTAGACCCCTTCTTTCACGCACGAGGAGGACCTGGATCTGAAAGGGGGAGGCGGTCGTCACTGCGCCCCGGGGCAGGGGTCAGTCGGGGTCAGCCGGAGGGCGGGAGGGAGTGCTCAGGACGATCGCGGCTGGTCAAGGTCATCCGGCCCCGCGCGCGCGGGGGCAGAGTTAGACCGCGGGAGGGACCGGCCGTGCGCGGCGCTCCAGCCCCGATCCGCATCGCCGCGGGGGTGTGAAATCGCCCGCTGGCCGATCCGGGGCCACGAGTGGGGAGGGTGGGGGCGGCAGCGTGACCCCCGCAGGACACTGCACCCGGCCCGGGGGGCGCCCCGAGCCGGCCCAGGAGCCCAGAGCGCGCCCCCTGCGCCCCTCCGCGCGCGGAGCGAGCGCTCCCTTGTCGCCACGTCTGCCCCTCGGGGTGCCCTCGTCTACACTGCAGCCAGCCGGATGGATCCGCCCGCGCCGCGGCCCAGCGCCCCCAGGGGCTGGAGCGGGAGTCGGCTTCCGGGGCTGGCTGTTCCGGCCCCGCTTGTTAAACCTGCCAATTACACACTCAAGGTGTTTTCCTTGTGGAAGAACTGAACGCTGAGCCACAAAACAAAAAGCTCTCAAAATTGTCTGAAGTCTCACCCCCTGATAACATCGGGCAGCGCTTCTCTTCGCTCTTCTGTGCCGGTTTGTGTGTATCTTTTCGCGCTCATTTCGTGCGTATTTGCAGAATGGAAGCCATATGGGAATAAGCGTTTCCATTCTCTTTTTCTTCATTTAACGTTATTCATTTTTCCCAGGGAATAAACGGGAATAAATGGAAACTGGCCGGAAGCCCCCTGGTCACCTTCTCCCTCCCCGCCCCCATCCAGGTCCGCTCTCCAGAAGTACCCGGGGCTGTCAGTCGGCTGTATACGCTTTCAGACATTTTTACATTTTTTTACATTTTTTACATATATATATATATATCCAGAAACACATAGTTTTATTTTAGGGAGCGCTCTTACATCCATCAGATTGCGTTCTGTGTGTAATTTTGGAATTTGCTCTTTCTTCTCCCACTCAGTATATTCTGGAAGTCACTTGGTCTACCTCCTTCCTAACTGCTTTAGGATACTGCCTAGTTTGAAAGCACTTTCATTTATTTCAAGCATCCTCTGTTGTTTTTAGTTTGTTTCCAGTTTCTCTCCTCATCCACTGCCCCGAATGTTTCTCCAGCACCTGCTGTGTGCAGGCTTCTTGTAGCTTCCAGAAGTACAACCTTGAACAATTTAGAGGCCAGGCCCCCCCGGGGCTGCCCTTCTCCAAGGGCGGTGAACAGGGACAGTGCAAGTGGGTGAGGAGGGGCGCTTTATTTTTTGACCTGGGAATTTGTTCCAATCCTTAATATGTTTCAAATATCAAATCAATATTTAAAAAGTGTCAAGGGGAAGGGGACGTCTTACTCCCACGTCCTCCCCGTCTGACACACAGGTAGCCGCGTGTATTCATTTCTTGTGCCATCCTCCCGGTATTTCCTTATGAAAATACAAGCAACGATGAGTATAGATGTCTATTTCCCTTCTTTCTCATGTAAAGGGAAGCTTGCTGGAGTCGCCTGCTCTGTGTTCGCCTTTTTAAAAAATGCACTCACGTGTCTTCGCATTTTTTTTCCCCATCATCACATGGGGAGCTGTCTTGCTTAACGTTGTTACATATTAAGAGCACACAGTGTTCCATTCTGTGGTTTATTTCCCCACAATTTCTCTGTCCTGTGTGACACTTGGGTGTTTCCTATCTTTTGCCCTATAAACGTTGCAGTGAGTAACTGTACCAAGGTCAGTTTTCCTGAATCTGTCCGTAAGGTGGATTCTCAGAGTTGTGATTGCTGAGTCAAGGCCATGTGTGTGCACAGTGTTGATGGATGTCACCGAATTGCCCTCAGTGTTAGAGAAACAGAACCAATAGGATATAGGAGTTTTATATGTATATCTTATTTTAAATATAATATAATATAATGCAATATAATATAATATAATGCAATATAATATAATGAGATTTATTGTAAGGAATTGGCCCACACAGTTATGGAGGCTGACGAGTCCCAGAATCTGCAGTAGGCAAGCTGTAAGCCCCGAGAGCTGATGGTATCGGTCCAGTGCAGAGGGCAGCAGGCTCAAGACCAGGAAGAGCCGAGGTTTCAGTCTGAGTCTGAAGGCAGGAAGACATCAATGTCCCAGTTCCAAGTCAGGCAGGAGGCCTTCCCTCTCACTCAGGGGAGGGTCAACTTTTTTGTTCTATTCAGGCCTTCGACTGATCAGATGAGGCCCACCCGCATTAGGAGAGGAATCTGCTTTTCTGAGCCCACTGAGGCAAATGTTAATCTCCTCCAGAAACCCCCTCACAGACACACCCAGAATAATGTTTGACCAATGGGTCCCCCTGTGGCCCAGTCAAGTTGACCATAAAATTAACCCTCACATTCCCCTGGGGTCTCCCAGTTTGCCCTCCTGCCAGCCAGGTATGAGAGCACTGTTTCAATGGGTCTCACCAAAAGTGTATGTCAAAATGCTGGATTATTCATAGTCTGAGAAGTGAAAAATGGTATCTTTGTGCAGTTTTGATGTGCATTTCTTTTTATATGAGTAAGGCTGAGTATTTATAAATTTGAGGACTCTCGTATTTCTTTCTTCTTCTTCTTTTTTTTTTTTTGGTGAGAAAGATTGGCCTTGAGCTAACATCCATTGCCAATCTTTCTCTTTTTGCTTGAAAATATTGTCACTGAGCTAACATCTGTGACAGCCTTCCTCTATTTTGTATGTGGGACACCTCCACAGCTTGGCTTGATGAGTGGTGCGTAGGTCTGTGCCTGGGATCTGAACCAGTGAAGTCCAGGCCACTGAAGCAAAGTGTGTGACCTTAACCACTACACCACCAGGCTGGCCCCTATATTTCCTTTTTTAAAATTTTTGTTTATTTACTTATTATACACACAGTGAACCCCCTTCTCCCGTTTTGCCCACTCCCCAACCCCTTTCCCCTCTGGTGACCACTAATCTCTTCTCTGTATCTATGAGTTTGTTTGTGTTTGCTCATTTGATTTCTTTTCTTTTAGATTCCACATATGAGTGAAATCATACGATATTTGTCTTTCTCCCTCTGACTTGTTTCACTTAGCCTAATACCCGCAAGGTCCATCCATGTTGTTGCAAATGGCAAGATTTCATTCTTTTTCATGGCTGAGTAGTAGTTCATTGTGTATATGTACCACACCTTCTTTATACATTTATCCAATGGTGGACACTTAGGTTGTTTCCATAACTTGGCTATTGGATGTATTTCCTTTTTAATACAGTCGTGCCCCACATAACGACGTTTCAGTCAACGATGGACCACATATACAACCATGGTCCCTTAAGATTAGTACCATACAGCCTAGGTGAGTAGCAGGCCCTATAAGCTAGGTTTGTGTGAGTCCACTCCAGAATGTTCGCACAACGACTGAATTGCCTAACAAGACGTGTCTTAGAACGTATCGCTGTCATATCCCCACATGACCAATGGCTGTCTACACTTCCCCTGTTTTTCTATTAGGTTGTGGATCTTTTTCTTGGGCTGAAATTTTTTTTTTTTTTACCAGTGTGTCTTTTTTAAAACAGCATTGTCAGGATATAATTCACAGATGATCCAACTTTCCATCTAAAGTGTAAATTTCAATGGTTGGTATTTTTACGGACTTGTGCAATAATCACCACAATCAATTTGAGAAAGTTTCCATTACCCCAAAAAGAGCCCTCCTACTATAACAGTCACTTCCCATTTGCCCCACGCTCCAGGGTTAAGCAACCACGAATCTACTTTTGGTCTGTATGGATTTGCTTGTTCTGAGCATTTCATAGAAATGGAATCATACAATATGTGGTCTTTTGTGTCTGGCTTCCTTCACTGGCGCGATGTTTTTGCCAT